AACCCGTTTAAGAACTTGAAGTGTTTCCACCGGATCGCGAACCACCTGAACATATTTTTCCAATGTAACAAATTGAAGATCACACAAACAACTTTCCTGAGAGCCGTCAACCCTGGCCAACGCCGAACAACATTCTTGTTATTCTAGCACTTGAAAGCGCTTTACCACTAAGCTCATCTCATGACATGTGGCAGCTATCTCAAAACCATGTTGCAGCCAAGGCTTGGGTGTTATTGTTGCATGTTAGGCCAAGGGAAAGAAGAATCAGAATGCAGACAAGACGCAGAAGGCGGACAAGAAGAATCAGACGCAAGGCGGACAAGAAGCAGAAGGGAGGACAAGGAGGGCAGGTTAGTGGCCAAGAAGCAAAAGCAGAAGGAGGACATGCAGGGAATGATGGTGGAGAAGAAGAAGCAGAAGGAGGACAAGAAGGGCATCCACCCTGATGCTGAAGAAGAGGGGGGCAAGAAGGGCATGGTGGTGAAAGAAGAAGCAGAACTGGACACGACGGGCATGATGGTGGACACAAGAAGAAGCGGGAGGGGGACACAACGGGCATGATGGTGGACAAGAAGAAGCAGAAGGAGGACACCATGATGGTGGTTGAGAAGAAAAAGCGGAAGGTGGACGGGCATGATGGTGGCCAAGAAGCAAAAGCAGAAGGAGGGCATGCAGGGCATGATGGTGGACAAGAAGGAAGACCAGAAGCAGACCAAGAAGGTCATGCTGGTGGAGAAGGAGATGGAGAACAGGAGGAGGAACAAGGCCCTTCCTGTGGACAAGGATAAAGACAAGAAGGACATCATGACTGAGAGCAACAAAAGGGGCATTGTGAATGAGGACACGGTGCGCAAGAAGAAGGGCGAGAAGGAGAAGAGCGAGAAGGAGATGAGCAAGAAGGAGATGAGCAAGAAGGAAATGGAGCGAAAGTGAGGACAAGGTGCGCATCAAGAAGGCGCCTAGGGACAAGGACGCTCTCATGGACATGCCGGAGACCGTGCAGAAGCAGGACAAGCCGGTTGAAAAGTCAAAATAGCAGTTCAAAGCATCCACAGGTTCTAAAGCCCTAATCTTTGTGCCACACCTTTCCTTTTGCGCCCTTTGATTTTGACATTTTCTGGAACGGTCTCGGGAAAAGCATTATTGGTCAAAATGCATCATATCATTTTTTTTTTACAAGGGGCCTTTTCAGGCAAACGTGGTTTGAGGGAGCTTACTAAACAGAATCTTGATCTTGATCGTTAAAAACTAAAGTTGTGGCAAGTTTTGTTGTAAATAAAAAGGTTTTGAGTATGCCTAATCTGTCTTTTTCTTTCAGGACCACTCTCGGCCACGGAGATGCCGGAGCCGGTGCACTCTGTGCAGGAGCCCTTGCCCGCCTGCGCAGGTCCGCACGGTCACAGGCATCCAGGGCAAGGTCATGCCATCAACAGCACCGTCGCCGATCCCGAATCGCATCGCACGAGTGGTGCCACCATGAGCGGTGCCACCGATGCGCGTGGCCCAGAACAAGGACCAATTGTTGAAACCGACATGTTCGTTTCAACATTTAGTTTTTGTTTGATCTGCGCGGCAATTTACGGATTCAAACCGTCAGCTTAAACATGCGCTGCAAAAGCAACGAAGCTTCCTGGCACCGAAGGTGTCTACAAGTGCCGACTGAAAGCACTGTGGGATGGCAAAGCTGCCAAAGACCAATCCTTTTCGACATTGCAACAACATTTAGCTGGCCGACTTTTCAGACAGTCCTGGACGCCTTTCCGATCAGATAGTTGGTGAGCCCTGATAGAGAGAGCCTGAGTTGGAAATCGAGGCAACCCTAAACATTAAAAGCACCCGCCATAAAGCTTCTTCTGGTGGAGTACCTGAAGGGGAACCCCAACTGGAAGCCTTCAAGCCAAGTCGTGAAAAGGAAAGCCCCAAACCTGAAAGGAAACCCCAAACCCAGCGCAGAAGAAAGATAAAGGTTAGTTTTCATCCAAATCCCGGAAAAACAAAGCCCTACCTTGCAGGCTGCCACATTGGAGCGGAACACGCTGATTGGAAAAAGTGCGGGGGATCGCGCCACACGAATCTCCATGCCGTCCGGTCCTTCTAGCAGAATGCCAGTCACTTGTAAGAAGACTGCTAGTTGCCATGAGATGGGCTTCACTGGATTGAGGATTCACAATCCAAGACTGCAGGCAACTTTCCTGAATCCTGGCCAGCCCCAAAAACCTTTCAGGTTGTTCTAAATCGTAGGCAGTGTTTTACAACTGGATTGAAGATGCAAAATTGAAACCTTTCACAAAAAGACTGCTGAGAATCTCGTCCTCTCACTTTGAATCCAGCCATTGCGGGAACTTGGAGGGTTGCAGATTAAATGACTGTAGATCGGTGCGCATACTTGGTTGCAGAAGTATGTGTTGAAAACCGGGAATATTGATTCCCAAAAAGAATTTTCTCCTATTCTTGAATCTGGAATCTTGAATCCCAGAATGTTTAAAGGTCTTTAACAATTCCAGAATTGTCTCAAGACTCCACACTCTGTCAGATAGCAGATGTTGATATCATTGCTTACATTACATATGTATGTTTATGTATGCATACATATGGCGCATACATATCTCCCCTCAATTTCCACAAAATCAAGGAGGCAAAAAGTCATAGAACACTGGCAAAACAGCGGAAGCTCACCCAACCAGGGTCCATTGGCGGGGTACCATTTATGCAAGATAATGTACATGCTGTCTTCCGCGAAGTCTTCGCTGAGGTTTGCCCTGAAGAGCAGCATCTGCTTCTTCGTGCTGAACTTCTTCTGCGTTGCCTGCGCCATCATTGTCTTCTCCAAGTTCAGCTCCTTAGCTGAGGCTTTCGGACAAGCGGCGTAAATACACCACCTCGGATTTCTGTCCACCAACCAGGTATTGCTTGGTATTCCCCATGATTCACAGGGTTTATTTTCTATTTGATGGTTTGCGAGTGACAATTAGGCACATTGTCAGTTGACTAGCGACCAGCAAGCTGTGGCATTCGTTTGCAAGATCTCCCATGTTTCCTTTTCATGAAAGCCCAGGGGTCCCCAAAAGCGGCTGTACTAGCACTGTGGATGGCATCGAAATCCCATTTCGCACCACAAAATGAAACCACTGTTGTAACCACAACGTTTGTTTGCATTTTAAAGGGGTTCCGAAAATCATCTTGTTCCGAAAATCATCTTGTTGGGTTTCTGAATGGTGGTGCAAGAAGAGGGTTTCGCAACCATTTACTGTAGTCCCCGCAGATCGTTGGGTGGGTGATCTAAGCTGCCAGCTTAGGTGGCTACTGAAGAGCGTGCGACCTCTCAGGCGCAAGCGCGATGGCAAAAAGGAGCGAGAGGTGCCCGCTTGCGTTTCGAGACCTTTTTGTGAAACACCCGTCAACTTTCTTGCTTAATTTGAAAACCCAGAAAAGGATGCCCCCAAAAGTTGCGACAGTAGGCAACCAGGGGACACCATCATGTGAAACGAGGTAGGAAACCCAGGTTTGAGATGGGGGGATGGTAAACCATTGCGCGTTGATATTTGCAGCGGAATCATATCATTCCAGGGCTTGCTAGAACATCCGTCCACAGTACCCGGACAAACAACAACTTGGAGACTCCCTGGTCCCTTGTCACCCTGACCAAACTTGGTCTATCAAAGTAAACAGGGCATGTTTAACGGGTCATGAACACTCCAGGAAGACATACGGCGTGTTTCTTTTGGGGAAACACCCTCTTCTGGTTGGTGAACACGTTTTCGGGATTGCCCTAAAAGACAGACTGACATGGCCAGGTTTGCTTGTAATGTTTCATGGTACCAAAAAGGTGGCGCTTTGATTTTGTTTGCAACTGCGCCCTTTTTCCTCAAAGCTATGTTGTCGATAGGTTAAGGTGTGGTTTGGTGCAGCCTTCAGGTTTTTGTTCATGCCTTCTATGATTACGATTTCTACTCGGTCATTCACGCTGAAAGTCTCCACTATTTTTGTTTGGCCCCATTCCTTGGTTCTGGCTTAGAATGCATCATGTTTCTGTGCTAAAGCTATAGATATCATGATTATGCGCAAGATGAATACGGATATACTCTGGACATCGTGGTTATCGTACATGGTATTTATCAGGAAAAAGCGGTTTTATTGTTGCATGTCTTATATGATCACTTCCCCCTTGATACCATCTCATAGATACCTACTTACCATCTTCACAGTTTAATCATAAGCACAGAACTATCTTCCTGACACTCTGTTCTCACGCATAGTCTTCATAACATTTCATAACGTAGCCGTTGTCGTTCATTGTCTATGTTGCCTCACCTGTTTCATCTTTAAGATATAATTTGCTGTTCTATTATGATGCCTTCCCCCACTCTGTGTGGGGTCTCTTGCCGGTATAATTTAGGCTAGCCTTGTTTGTTGCAGTGGGCCGCCCCCCCCTTCCCCAGCAAAAAAAAAGAAAGAAAAGACAACACAAAACTTGGAGGCCTTTTTTAGCAACATAGTTTACTTGATGGCGCTCTCACCCTTTGGCTCAGGGTTTATGATGCTCTTGGGATGTCGTGCGAGGAACCTCAGGGCGCCGAAGCCGGACGGCAACCTGGACCCGCAAAGAGCCCAGAAAAGGATGGAAGTCGCCAGCCAGAATTGTGGGTTGTAATAACCCAACTTGAGGTTGGAACCCGCAAAATTCCAGGTACCCACATGCGCACCGCCATCGCTTGCGACGACGCCCCGCAGCTCTTAGGTTTCACCGCGCCCGCGCGGCGCTCGCCTTTTACACGCGAAGTGACGCGGCCGAACGTAGCTGTGAGAGGGCTTTGAGAGGTTGTTTACTGAAGGTGCCCAAAACAAAGACCGCGTCCAAGCACTTTCAAGCGCCCACAAATTCCAGTAACCCTCACAAACAAAACTGCGCGATGCATTTACCCCAAGAAAGCGGTGGTTTTCCGAAAAGGACTCCGGGGGGTTCTGTGGTTCTTGGCCCCGAGCGCTGCCATTGCGGGGCCATGAACCTGGATGTGGCCAGCAAGCCCACGCTCGCCAGCTACAACATCCGCCCGGACGCCTTTGATCCAAAGCGCCCGGGGCCGCCCAACGCGCTGCAGACCGCCAAGGACGGCATGGGGAGTTAGTAGGTTGCAAGATCCAGCTTTCGCGCCACAAAATGAATCCATATTTCAATACCACCGGTTTGTTGGTATTTACGTTGGGGAATCGCATCTGTCCGTTGGGTTTCGGAGGTGGTGCCGGAGTTCCTCCATCCACAGTATGTAGGTTCTCTGGAAACCAGCGGCGGGAATGAACTGAACGACCCGCTCGGAAACCAGACAAGATGGCTGAAGGGTGTCATCCCCTGAATCCCTGAGAGCCAGAAAAAGCCCAAGGGTCCCTTGGTACTATGGTCTTTTAAGTGCTTACCTCTTAAAAACACAACTTTTCAAACTTTTTGGGTAACATGGGCTATATGTCTGTAAAAGATTAACTTCCCCAGGGCTTGGAGTTTTAAGGGGTAAGAGTGTCATCCCGTACCTGGCGAGAATCACTCTGGGACCCGATCCAACCAACAAAGTCGTCCAATCATATCTTGGTAGAGCCTTGGCCCCGGCCTGCAAAGTGTGGAATCCAAGGGGAAAGACCCACTCTGTCAACATGATTTATAGTTACCTTCAAGGAAGATCATCGTGTTTTGAGGAAGGGAGGGGGGGGCATCACGACCAGTAACAGCTCAGATTAAACTCATTGAGCGCGCAGACCTGAGGTCCTATATTGAAAGCGCAGACTTAAGGGGTCCTAATGCAAAGGCGCTGCTTCCAGTTGCCACTACAGTGGGCAACTACGTTTTACCTCTAGGCACTGCACTGTTCTTAGTTGCGTGTGCATCCCTTGGAACAAATGAACCTGAACCTTCGTCCTCCTGAAAAAACACGTTGTTTCCGCCTTTGACTGGATATTAGCACTTTTTGCCGCAAAAACCTGAAACCCTTAAAACTCCTAAGCATCACACTATTGCAGCAATGCTCGCGGCCTTTGACAGATTCAATCAGGCTTTGCAGGGGTAAGCTTCTTCATGCAGCCGGCGCGTTGGCAAGTGCTGCGAGGTGTATTTACTTTGTATGTCCAACGCGCGCTAAACCACTGGAATTCGGTTCGGGAGCTTGAAGGTCCAGGAAGCTATTATTTATCTGGACCCTCAAATTCCCTTAAACATGGGCTATTGCAACCAGCATGGCTGGTGAATTTCAACTGTGTTAGTGTGTAGCTCTTTCAGGTCCAGGTACGTGGGTTTGGTCGCAAATCCATCTCTAAACGCAAGCCACATCTCCAAGCCAGGCATGGAACTCCAGGCAGCATGGCGAACAAATCACCCGTCCTCGCACACACCCTTTTTCCAAGTGAAGAACCACCAAGTTCTTGTCCTTTTCTGGGAGCCCTCGGGCACTGATTTGAGGGCTTGTGTTGAGGTGCTGTCAATGGCGGCCTGGGCCACTGCAATGGAGGGTCCTTTCTGAGAGTGGGAAGTGAACCAGAAGGCTCCCAGACCCACGGCCGAAGCAACAACGCGAGGACCGGGATGATGCCCTGCTGGCGGTACTGGACCGACACTGCGAGGTAGTGGATGGGCCACCCAGCGGCACCCAGTGGCATCGTGTTTTGTGTTCTGTTGTCGTGTTGTTTGTTTGCTTGTGTGTTTGTTTGTTTGTTTCTTTGTTTGATTGATTGATTGTTTGTTTGTTTGGTTGTTTGTTTGTTTGTTTGTTTCTTTGTTTCTTTGTTTCTTTGTTTGTTTGTTTGTTTGTTTGTTTGTTTGTTTGTGTGTTTGTTTGTGTTTGTGTTTGTCTGTTTGTTTGTTTGTTTGTTTGTTTGCTTGCTTGTTTGTTTGTCTGTCTTTGTTTGTTTGTTTGTTTGTTTGTTTGTGTGTTTGATGCAACCATGTCTGTTTGCGTTGCTTGTTTTGTTGGTTGTCGTGTGCGTTCGGTTTTTGTTGTGTTGTGTTTCCTCCCAGACACCAGTATGTGTTTCTTCAGGGGTGGGCTTGCCTCGAACATGTTACATGTTTCCGATTTCCTGCCTCATATTGGGCCGGGGGTCCCCTTTCAAGGGTTACCCCCCCGCCCCCCCCCACAAAAGCCAATTGCCAGGTTGGCTTAAGGCAAACCAGAAGAAAGGCCACCATTTTAAAGGATATGCAGCCAGAGAAACTCCATGTAAATGGGAATTCGGACCCCCTTTTGGTTGTATAGGGATAGCCAAAACGAGACCCTTGCCAGTTCAGGAAATCCGAATTGTATGTCGAGAAACACCCATGCCTCTACCTTTTGGGCTTCCCGCCATGGTCCCTTTCAATCAGCCAAATGTTACCTTCTTGAGGGGGTCTACAACTTGGTTGTATCTGTTGGGGCGATTAGGGAGTCGGTGGTCCAAGGGGGGGTCCCCTAAGCAACCCACACCTGAGGAACCCCAAGTTGAGCAGAAATGTAGGGAACTTTGCAAAAGTATAGGAAACCCAAGAGCCCTCCACCTCCCCCCCCCCTTACCTAACGTTGATTGCAGATCTGGGTTTGTCTTTTCTTGAGGGACCTGGACCCTCAAACTGCCCCTCAAAAAGGGACTTCGCACCATACTTTTGGCGCACAGACCGATGTTTAATTGAATCTTCTATGGCCCAGGTAGCCTTTCCCTTGTTGGTGGTTATTTCAAGGGAGACCAACTTGTGTTGGGTCCAACCTTAAATTTGCATCAATAAACATATACTTAAATTTCTGCAAATATATAAAGTCACATTGTACATATGGTTATTCACTTGAGAATAACCTAGCAGAAAAAGAAGACAGAAGACCCTTTTTGCCTGGCGAGGAAGATGAAGGTCAGGGACTTCAAAGGCGCCGTCACCTTGCTGAGGCGGTCCCAGGCGGGTTGGCACGTGACCGGGACTGACCCACACAATCATGGGTAACGGTCATCTCCTTTTGACGCCCGGAAGCAAAAACACAAAAGCCAAAAAAAAAAATCACCCCCCGAGAAATTCGGGTCAGAAGGAGACTCCAGAAAGTATGAGATGGGTCAGAAGGAGACTCCAGGTATGGGTACCCAAAGCAGCCACTTTTTAGATGCTAAAGCTTGCCTGTGTTCCACAGCCGTCAAATCCGCTAGGGGCATCAACCGCAGTAAGCTTGTTAAAGCCAAGCCTGCTTCTTTCTTAAGGGCATGGGGAGGTATGATTTAGAAGGTATGGATGCCACAGCACCAATGCAAACTTGCAAGTCAGGACATAGGTCTCATATTAGTAGCATATAATCTGCATACCTTCAAAACCCATACCTGAAACTGCCCTTGATGAGCTCCAGAATTTCAAGAATAGCAACCAAGCCAGTGCGCCAGTTGCTGTTGGTAAAACAAGAAGGACAAGGGTGTCCGACTCACCAAGGTAGCACGTGCGTCGCCACCTCGGTTTTAACCCACAAATCACAAGGCTCACCCCACTTGGGGGTTTGGGAGTGGGGTTGTAACCCAGGCGCCGAACCACTTACTATCTTGGCGAATGCGAATCGGACACCTAAGTTACTACGCCCACTTCAAAGTTTGACCAAGCCAGTGCTTCCATTTGCTGTTGGTAAAAAGTCCAACATGGACAAGCGTTGCAAACAAACAACCGAGGGCTCGGGTTTCCTGCCCTTGACACCACGGCGAACGGCGCTGGGAGCGAACGCACGCGTCGCTTCGCTGAGACTTTGGTGCGGACGCACGACACCGGCAGCGACATGGCTAGGGCCTCGGACCGATCGCGGCGAGGGATCGTCTCTCGGACTCTCGGCCGAGGTCTTCGAAGTTCAAAGGCGTGTTGTCTTTGCTGCGATAGGTCGGGAATGGCCCAGGGTGCTGGCAAAAGTATGTAACATTTGTTGGGGCGGTGGGAACTCCTGAGTCATAAGTCCCTGGTGGATGAATAGAGGGGTGTCCTTGAGGTCCCTGCTTTAGTGGGGATGCATTGCTGTAGTGGGGATTCATCAAGAGGTCTTCGATTTACCTGGACCCTCAAGATTCCAGCCCAGTTTCAGGTAGTTTGTTGGGGTAGGCTAAACATGGAGCAGAGTCAGAAAATACTAGGGTGTGTCTTTTGTTTGATTTGTTGCATCCCTTAAAGGGGCTGTTGTCCGTTTGCTGTCCCTTCAAAACTCAAAAATAACATATGTATATTTTTGGGGAAGACTAATGGCAACATAACACCTTTGTTCCGTAGGGTGGGTAGGGAGCGGGTAGGGATGGTCATGGCCGTCTGGATTTTAAGCGACACCTATAACAGAGTGCATGGATACAAGTATACATATTTACATATTTATGTGTATCATAGCTCAAGATATGCCTAACGTCATGTTGAAGTTAATTCACATTGCATGTCTTAATCACATTGAATATGACTTAAGAGGACTTAACTTGCAAGTTGATTTCTCTGTACAAGAAGCAGGGGACCCCCAAAATGGAGGTTTTCCCTTTGACATCTCTTGAAACCAACCCGGTGTTGGCCTTCCCCAACAAACAAACAAAACAAATAAACAATAAACAAAGAAACACACAAGCAAGCGAACAAACAGACAAACAAACAAACACACACACACACACAAACAAACAAACAAACAAACAAACAAACAAACAAACAAACAAACAAACAAACAAACAAACAAACAAACAAACACACACACACACACACACACAGACACACAGACACAGACACACGCGCACACACACACACACTTGTGGTACTTCCCAAAGGAAAGTAGTCTAATGCCATCTGACCTCAAACATATCCCCCTGCTGGTAACAAATCGGAAGCTGTGGTCACCAGCCCTCAGCGCTCGACTGTATTGTTTTGGCGGGGCCCCCAAACCAACCAACGTCGCCGAACACATCCGAGAAAACGGAAGAAAACCGAAAAGAGGGGCTCTGTCAAACGTGTTGACAGATCCAACTTGCGCGGCCTCTCCGCTCCAATGAAGAACGGACAGGTGTGAGCATGAGACCTTAGTTCAAATCAAGAAGAAGAGAAACTAAAAAGGAAGGGCCCAGTCAAGGATCCCCCCGGACGCAATTTGCGTCACATGTCTTTGCAACGAGACGTACGCACACACACACACACACACACACACACACACGCGCCACACATGCATTTGTGTTTCACAAAGTTGGTTAAACAACCAAATGAACTCCCCCAAACTGGTGATGTTTGCTTTCAATTTCCTTTTGGAACCCCCCCGAAAGGGTACCGTCAAGAACACACACACACACACCCTTTTGGGCCTTTTGGGATTGTTTTGTTGGGGTGGCAATATACTAAATTCACTCGAGGGTCCCGATGAAAATTCAGGCCCATAAATTGTCTATCCAAGTCCTGCAACTGGAAGAAAAAGGAAGCGTGGCACTATGACTTCTCTGACTGCCCGGGTACCCTCCCCTCAAAAACACAACAACTTGTTGTTGCCCATCTGGGTTTGCTCGTAGAACCACCCCACAAAGGGCACCCTCAACAACAACAAACACACACACACATGGGTTGTGTGTTGTTGAGGCTACCCTTTTTTGTTTTTTTGTTGAGGCTACCCTTTTTTGTTGAGGCCACCCTTTTTTGTTGAGCCCACCCTTTTCTCTTTTTGGGGAGGGTTTTTTTCTACGGGCAACGCCACCAAACCCCAGGCAGCTTCTTGGTTCTGGGGCGCGACGCGGGCTGCGACTCGAGGTGCGAGTGCTGGCCTCTGCAGGTCTACGTCTTCAGCTCTGCGTGGCCCTGCGCCTTGCGGTCGATTTGTTTGATCCCGGTCGAGCCTGGGTGGGGGGGCAATTTGTGTGTTTTCCCGTGTTTTTGCAAAAGGCCGAGCGGGGAGCGGGACAAAGTCGGGGCACCTTTTTTTGCGTTGTTTCTTGTTTGGGGGTGGGTGGGCATTATTTTTCTCCGCGGTTGCTTTTTGTTTGTTTTGGGAAACCACCCTGTTGGCCGGTGTGACGGGAAAAGGACACCAGCTAGTCTGGTTTTCCAGGGGGGGTGTATGTTCATGTAGTTGCAAGGGCAGTTTCCTTGGCTACCTACCCTAAACCCTTCTGATGTCTTCAGCCGGTGTCCAACCCCTCAATCTTGCCTGATGGTCCCTGGTTACAATAAACACGGGAAGGGCTGGGTTGGCGACCGCGCAGCAAAAAGGAATCACTGGGTGAAGGGGATGTTCAGGCATCGCCATGAGGAGTTGGAGGCTGCAGGTCATATATATATATATACCACGTAAGCATGCATACCTCCACCTTGAGTTTTGGCCCATCCTAAGGTGAGAGTCCCTTAGGGGTGATGTTTAACCCCTGAGGTTTCTTCAATCGCGCCAAGACCACCCGCCTTTTAAGGGAATGATTAGGGCCTTAATACGCCTTCTTGGGGACACAACTTGCAATCTGGACGTTTGGGGCTGAATACCTGGACGCTCGAACTACCCCATAAAGAAAGGGACCTTTACCAACCATAACTTTGGGTTGCATTTACCCATGTTTGATTGAATCTTGGATGGTCCAGGTAGCCTTTTTGTTGGCAAATGAAAACCAGCCAACAATTCGGGGCAATAAAGGATGGGTCAACATTAAACCACCAGCGGGCTAGGCTTTTGGTGTGACGCGCAGCTGCAGTATCGCAGGTTTAGTAGTTGTTGCCATTCACCAGGGTTCCATTTTGAAAACTTATGTTTGACCCACACCCATTTGTTCCGCGAATCAACCACAAGTCTTTCCTAGAAGAGTACTCTCAGTTCACAGGTTCTTGGTTTTCTCAAAGGCGTGAAGCAATCCTGAAGTGTCCTGCCGTTGCTCGCCGCGTTACATGGAAACCTCCGTTTATTAAAGCCCGTTGAGTCTGGGGTCCGAACTTGACTGCTATTGAGTTGGATCTTTAGACTTCAACTTTTTGGGAACTCAAGTTGGGTTTTCCACGAAACCCACAAAATGTTATGTTTTGTGCAGAGGGATCAACAGCAATCAAGCGAAGAGGGTCATCGTTTGGTCTTTCTATGTAACCCTAGGGTCCACTAGCGCCCTCTGGTGGGATCAACATTCTTCCGCGGAATCCGCTGTTTTTTCCACTTTGTTCAGCGGAAAAAAATCCGCGGACTCCGCTCCGCGGAATCCGCAGGTCCCAGATGGGCCGGCACGGGCCTGCCTTACAGGAGGCCGAGGGGGCGAAGGACCGGGCGATGGGATCTTTGGCAGGGTTGCCCATGGGGTTTGGTCGAGTAAGAATGGTATGTTGGTTAGTTATCTCACTTCCTGAGTTGATGGACTTTAAACTTTTTGGAAAGACCATTTTAGTGGCAAATAAAAAGTTCGGACTTTTTTTGGCCAGTCAGCTTGGGAAGTGACTGGACCCCTTTTGTTTTGGGGGTCATGTTGCGACTTGACCAACATACCCGCAAATGGCAAGCAAAGATGTGTGAGTCTAGCTGGACCCTCGAAGTACCCTTCTCCCCACCCGCTGGAAGTCGGGGAAGCTGCTGGCCGCGACTGAACTTGGCTTAGGGTGTGAAGGGGACGAGGGCAGTACCTGGATCCTGAAGATTCCAACTTTAACATGGGCTATGGCAAGCCAAGATTGTAGTTTTTGGTGGCTTCCTACCTTTTTTAGTGGAATCTTGAGGGTCCAAGGGAAGGATGTGCGACTCCCCAAACTAATTACATCAGCAAACTATGGTTTTAAGCATGATGTCAAAGCGGTTTAAACGTGCAGCCAGCAACTGGACCCTCAAAATACCCGCAAAATATGGGTGATTGAATCAACATTATGGTAGGCGAATTCCATTTGTTCTAGGTAGTTTGAGGGTCCAGGTACTTCTAATGGAGGTCCCAAAAGGTGAACACCTTCCAGCACCCCCCAACTGCTTTTCGGACTCGAGAAGAGGGACATGGGAAAAGCTCTACGGGTTGATTCCTTCAACCATCGTTCTTTCCCTCGGTTTCCGGAGGTTTTCTAGAAAGAAGGAGCCCTATAGAAAGAGTGGGGAAAGTGCCCCTTGAAAAGCAGTTAATGGGGGTGCTGTTTTTGTTGTTTCCATGTCTGAGTAACCTTTTCTGGTGTTGTGACCGAGTCACTCAGAGCATTGGAGACGAAATGGCAGGCCCAGAAAAGCAAACATGGCGAGTGCCGGGGGGGAGGATAGTGTTTTTTTTCGTGGGATGGCTGCGGACCTTAGCCCTTAATTGTGGGGTTTGCAGGCCTGCTAGGGTAAGTGGGAAACCACCAACAACCCCTAACCTCCAAACCGCGACTAATGGTTAAGCCATGGCGCTAGACTGAATAATCTGACTTCTTGCCCGGGTCTTTGTCTGTGGATGTTTGCGAAATCCATTTCGCACGGCGAAATGAAACCGTGGGTGAAACCATGCTACCCCTAAGGGTCCAAGTACCTTGTGCGGATGTATGTTGACCCTCTTTGACCCCTTAAGCACATCTTCAGAAGGTTCCAAGGGAATCAGACCTCATTCCGTTGGGTTTCTGAGTTTGGTGTGAGACTCACAGAGTTCGCAGCCCACAGTAATTGTCATCCACCTTTCACTCAGAAACCCAACGGACTGATATCTGAATCCCCAGTAAATGCCAAGAAACGTGATGGTTTCATTAATCCATGGTTTCATTAACTGTGGTGCGAACTGGAATTCTTTCATCCACAATATCCACTCTTAACAAGTCTAAGTGGATATGTGGGCGTGTCTTTCTTGGAGGTATCGCCCTTTCGGAAAATCAAGAGGGAACATTACCATGTTGGTGAGTTTTTGGGGCCCCCAAAAAAGACACACCCATGCAAGGTGACATGTCTACCTGACTGACCACAAGTGCTCAATGGCCCCATCAGTCTGAGTTATAAACCCGGAAAATCGGTGATAAAATGGTCACCCAAAGCTTGAAAAGTCAATTCAACGAATGGTGGGCCAGTTTAGATGATGAATTTCCTCTGGGCTGTCCCTTTTTTAAGATCCCCTGAATTCCTCTGGGCCAAAAAGACAAAAACATACACACACACACACCAAACAAAAAACACATCCCCAACGCGCGGATCGGACGCCCAGGAGCAGCTCGAGGAGCTCTGGGTGGCTCTGACCGGCACAGCTATGGATATGGCCATGGCGGAAGCAGGAGACGGAAGCGGAAGTTACGTCTCAACGTCTCAACCCGCCATGAAAACGAACAAAGAACGATGGTGTTTCCTTTTTTGGTTTCCCAAGCAAATGGGGTTGTTTTGTTTTGATTCCCCAAATGGGTTGTTTCCTTTTGGCTTCCCAAACCTTTTGGTTTCCCTTGAAACCTCCCAACCTCTCAAGTGAACCACCCAATGGTCAAACTCAAGATAACTCCCATTGCGGGCAACCAAAAGACTGAACCCCAATTCCCTGCACGCTGTGAACCGACCACTCAATAGCAACAATCAGCTACGGTTGTCTCGGGCAAAGCCCCCAGGCTTTGCGTGAGGTTAGCGGATGGAGGTCCTTAAGTTCTTCCCATGGTTGTTGTTGGGAAACATGTTTTACATTTTTGCTTATTGTGGTTTAGTGGTTGAAATCCCCACTTAAGCGCTAAAATCTAAAATTTTGCTCCCCTTCCAACGTCAACCAAGTTCCCCCAACGGGGCCCCTGGGATCGGGGGACCTACCAGGAGGCGACCCCAACAAGATCCACCCGGTGCTGCGGGCTCACATCGTGCGCCCGCCCCGCTGGCTGGAGCGCGCCCTCTGCTGCTCCGTGCAGGCGCGGCTCTGCGTGGCCATGGAGATGGAGCCGCTCGGCTTGTTTCGCTTCGAAACGAAACCCTGGGGCTCAGTTGCCACCCTAGGTGCTCCAGTAAAGTCCTTGGACCGTTTCTTTTTTGGGGGAGGGCTCCCCTACTAAAATAGACTAGAACAAATTGCTAGCCTTATTCTAACCTCTCTACTGGAGGACCTCTATGGAGCCGCTCGGCACCGAAACCCTGGGGTTCAGTTGCCACCAGAAAAACAAAGGCCAGGACCCAATTTGGATGATGGCAATCCTTTGGTAATTAGAGAACCCCCCCCCTCCTTAAAAAAAAGAGGCGAGAACAGAGTGCCTGGGGTGAAGTTACCACCATGAAAACAACTGGGGTTCATATTGCACCACCATTATCTACCTAATGATTGTCATCATCTAAAATGGGTCCTGGCCTTTGTTTTTAATGGGGGCAAAGAACCCCAGAAGAAACGAAACGAGAGAGATCCATCGGATCGGTCGCCGGGGTTTCCGTTGAAGCAAGAAACCGGTTAAACCGAAATGTGGGTGCCTGGACCCTCAACATTCCAACTTAAAGATGGGTGATTGCCCCAAATTTGTGGGTGAACGCGCTGTTTTAAAAGTAGTTTGAGGGTCCAGGTGTGACCTGCAACAATTTGGAACCCCGAAAAAGGACTTAACCCACCACAAAAAGGGGTAATTATCGAGCCTAAGCAAAATTGAACCCCAAATGTATAAAGGCCGAAGGTGAACCCAGAGTTCCGTTTCGGACTTTAGTCACTTTTTGGGTTTGGACCATGTTCCCAGAAAGTCCCTTGGTCCCTACTTAGGGGATCAAAAAGGGGTCAAAATGCATCCTCACAAGGTACTTGGACCCTTAGGGTTCAGTGGCGTTGCCAACAAGTTTGGTGACTTTTTTAAATCCACTCGATCGAAAGTGAGTCAACGCTCAACGGGAAGAATACATTTTCTTGGTGGCTTCCAGCCATCCCCTCAGCCTTTTAGTTTTTTAGTGTTTTGTGGTAAACAAAAATATTGGGTTAATCTTCAGGCAATGGGCATTCCCCGCGCAGCTTGGATTCCAAAATACGCTGAGGTCAAAACTTTGTTGTGCGACTACCTCAACACATTCGGAAATGCTGCCAACTTGTCCAAGCCCTTGAAATTACCGCGGCGGAAAATGGACATACGGCCAGAAGATGGCATATACACATCTAGGGGATTGCTGTGCAATGCCAACAGGTGGCGGGTTGCATGTGCCGCAAGTCTCGTGTCCCTGTTTCGGGTGGGTCCTAATGTTCTGAACTCCCGGCCTGCAATGTGAATAGCACTTGGGCAGAGCTGCGCTCAATTCAGAGGCCAGACCGGCTTCTTGTTCGCCCAACAGCCCGGCAAGCTAACCGGGCAGCATGGAGGTCACTAAAAGTTAAACTTTTAGCGGGGGATCTGAAATCGGTCCAGCCCAGTTTTGGTGAACTCCCCAAATGGGCTCTTGGGTTGGATTGGCCACTTGCCACACCCAAGGCCGGTTCTGGGAGGTTGTTCCCGTACAGATGGGCTTCCTTCTCATTTTTTTGAGTGCACCTTTCTTTGAGGTGTAGCTTCTCCAGGGAAACCAACAGGAAGTCCAGAATGTTGAGGCTGCAACAAAAGACACCCAAATGCCCCCAAAAGTTTGGGACTCAGGGACCTTCAGACCTCAGAGCCTCCCCCCCCGAAGCCCAATGCTACCCCTGCTTGGGCAATCTTTGGGGCAGGGCTTGCTCTTTTTTTCCAACTCTAGACCCCTCTAGTGAATAGGATGAGCGCCACAACATGTGCTCTTTTGGGTGTTTTAGGCCCGCGGTTTGCCGTTTATGTTCTCAGCAAGGTTCTGCAGCAAGATGTGCTAATTGTGGTTTACCAACCAACACAGCCACATGCGGTAAAGCTTGCCCAGTGGTTACCTAACTGGCCGCGTGAAGGGGGAATTTCAGGGATACCAATGAAACCCCTCCCTGCCCTTCCCCCCCTTACAGTGACTATGACTATGATACTGTTAATGGGCGAAATCCATTTCGCACCACCGAAGAAACCCTGGAATGATTCGATTCCCCTGTAAATACCAACAAACACCTTGATCTTCCAGAACCCTGAAAAAGCAGGCCTTTGCTTGATTTTCCGTTTTCAACCAAGAGCAAAATCAAGAAGGACCCTGTTTTTGCAGGCTCTTGGAAGACCAAGGACAGGGTTTCAAACGTGGTTTTGAGGTGGCGCGCAATGGATTTTGTACACAGGGATTGACTTTGGTAGCGCAGACTTCGGGTTTTCCAGCCGCTGCCCTTTTGTCCGTCTGTTGGGAAGGGTTGCCCTTCAAAGTGAACCAACCAAAAGGATGCCTTTTTTCCCTGGAACCCACTGGGCATCTGAGTTGCGGTAAGGTTTCAAAGTGGTTTGAAAAACAAGGGTTTTGTCCATGCACAGTAGGAATTCACGTAGTGACTTTGGTATCAGACTTGGGGTTCTCCACCAGTGCGATAAGGTTCCTGCTGTCCAACGACGAGCTGCAGAATCAGAGGTCAACGCTGCCACCCATCGCCTCGCCGTCGGCTCCGGCCTCGCCCTCGGCTCCGGCCTCGCCAGCCTCGGCGTCGCCGAAGTCGCCGAAGCTGGGCTTCGTTGAGTTGGATCTGTGCTCGATCCGAGCGAAACTGCCCGGAGTCTCCAGGACCCTTTGAATATGGGGACCTAGAGTCTCCATGACCAATCAAAAATGGGTCCGTGACCCCCTTTAATTTGGGTAATGACGCATTTTTTAAGGGTCATGGAGACTCCAAGTGCATGTTTAAAGGGCCACGGAGGCCCCCGCCCCTTTATTTTGGGCAAGTATCTGTCATTTTTCAAGGGTCAGAAGACTCCATCTTAAAGGGGCATAGTACTGGGTAAGTGGTCAGCAAGCCAGGTTATGTGGTTGTAAACCACAGGAGGAGACGGGAAACAAACAAAACATAAGCCTGGTTATGTGGTTGTAAACCACAGAAGGAGACGGAAACACATGCTAGGTAGGAAAGGTCAACGGGGCTTAGGAAGTGACCCACTCCAAGTGCCTTTCATTCAGCGCGGGCGGGAGGGGGGGGGATGTTGGCGCCGAGGAAGCCGCCGGCGTCGCCAAAGTCCCCGGCTTCGCCGGACAAAGGGCGGTTGACGCTGGAGGAGAGGTTGGGGGTCTTTGCATGGTCGTTGTTGGGAAACATGTTTTACACTTTGCTTATTGTGGTTTAGTCGTTGAAATCCAACCACTCAACAGCTAAAATGTAAATGTTTGCTCCCCTTCCGACGTCAACCAAGTTTGGGGTCTTTGCCCTACCCGGAGTCTCCTTCCAACTTCCGACCCCTAAAAGTGCCGAAAAAAAGTGGTTGGTACCCAAAATAAGTGGGTCGGACCCATGTTTTCAGGGTCACAAGGAGACTTCAGGGAGGGGTTTCTGGAGGGGGGGTAAAACCTGGGCTTATGTGATGTCCGGCAGATGTCTTGTTGGAAGAAATGCGGCAGGTTAGTTTTGAAGCCACCAGATCAACTTGGCAGCTCACGGTCCCTCAATTCTCAACTTGAGCTTAAAATACGTGTTCCTTACTGAAAGCGAGCATGTTCTCACCATGACAGCGGATGTTGTTTCCTTGCAGCATTTATTTAGGTTGAAGCTCTAGTGCAAACGGACCTCCCCCCAAAAACCACCATTCCAAACCACCATTCAGAGGGAAGCTGATACGTCGTGCAGACTTCGGAAATTGGACATCCGTGAGGAAGCCATTGAGGCTGAGGAGGCTGAGGAGGCTGACGCGCCCGAGGCGAGCGATGCACATGCAAGTTATGGGGGGCTGTCTTCTGGTGGTTTCTCGCCAGTTGAATGGATTCTTGGGGTGCGGTCCGGTCTCCTCCAAAATCGTGTTGTGCTTGAATACAATACAACAGAGTCTGACAACATGTTGGGACAGGATTCCAACCTCCAAATTCTCTGGCGTTTTTTGGGTGAAAATCCCATTGATTTGGGAGGAACATGGAAAAAACTCGAAATCCGCAAAAACACAGGGGACTATCTTAACCCGGAGTCTCCTGTTGACCCTCAAAACATGTGGACCCATAGCCCATAATTGTGGATAATCACTCCAATGTGTAAGGTTCATGGAGGCTCCAGGAACACAAACAAAAACAGGAGACTCACGAAGACTCGCAAATGTTCCCACCAAACAGTGCTTAGATGTTAAGCCCACTTAGTAAAGTAGTTTGTTGTTGTTTTACCATACTTAGAGGTGCGACAACCTCAGTTGGTCACCATCAGATGGTCACAATCCACTTGCCTGGAACATCCAAGTGGGCTTATGGCTTATTTGGATGTGGGTGCTTTTTGAGGTACAGTACCCTTTTTTTACCTTGGGTTAAGGGAACACAAAAGGAAACCAACCGTTTAAACCTCAGTTGCCCAAAGCCGACCTTTTGACATTTAGTCATGGCCCCAAAAGGCTAACCCTTTCATTTCTGCATCCTTTGGGCAACTGAGAAACACAGAACAAACAACAACCTCTGATGTCCAAGCGTTTTTTTCCGGCGAGCGTTTTTTTCTTTAAAAAGAAAACAAAAAAAAACAGTCATACAGGTGGGCCTACCCTTGGCCAAGTTCTCCGAGTTGCAGCAGATGCACCAACTCTACCAGGAGCGAGACCGAATCCGACGGGCCCCGCGGGCCATGGGCGTGTCGGAGATGTTTCGGGGTTCCTGGAGTCTCCTTCTGACCCATAAACCTACAAAGTGGGTCCATAACCTTTTCGGGGAACTGACATTATCAACCATTTGATAAGTGTTATGGAGACTCCAGGTACCCTTTTTATAGGCTGTCCCGGGTACCCGTTTTAGGATTGTTTACCAAGCCACCATGGGTGCCGTTCCCCTATATCAAGAAACATGATAGGGTGTGTGTTTTGAGCCTCGGTATACCCCTTCTTGGGCTGGTTTAACTGGAGTTCCACCCACCCATTTTACGGGTTCCATATTCTATTCTGACACCTATGAACAGGCCGGAACCCCTGTGAAGCCTTTAAAACAACCCTGTGGATGGATGAACTCGAGCCTGGCCCAAGTCATCGGAATGCGATGATGACATTGCTTGAAAGTCTTCTATTCACAAGCCCTCAATGCCCCACAGAGTGAACACCTGGAGTCACCATGACCCTTCAAGAATGGGGTCATTACCCAATACAATTGGGTCATGGACCCATTTTTGAAGTTCGCAAAAGTACCATCAGGGCCCACCAGGGCATGAATGTACTGGGCCCTTTGGACATCAGAATTCGGGGATGAAGTTCCACCACTTTCAAGGTTCCAACAGTTCCAAGTCTTTCAATTCCTAGCCAGACGCAGTGAATCCATTTTCTGGCATAGGTAGCCAAGGGGAACCACACTTGAAGCACTGAAAGGACAACGGCTGAGTACCTCAAGGATCACTCCATTTCCGGTTTTTGGACCCTTGAACAGTCGGCACTTAAATAGCGGCATCCAGTAAATTGAGCAACAGGGGACAAGTGTAAATTAGTGAGAGTAGTTACTTACTTGCTTGTTCTCAGCATGGAATGAGAGTCGGAATGACCCCGAGAGAAACCATCCATCGTATGGTTTCCTTTATTCGGGAATCCCAAAACGATTCATTCCATTTCTCATTCCCTGCTTATCGCACCGATCGCAAGCTAAATGGAAACCCAACCACTAAACCACTTAACAGGATATCTCAAAACCTTTCTGCCACCGGATGGCTTTTAGCCAAACGGGACATGTCCAGTGACAGTAGCTAAAACCGCCCAACAAATTTGGGTAGCTTTGAAACCACCCCAAAGCAAAGGGGTACCTGGACCCAATAATAAATCCAACTAAAGAAATAAGTGATGATGGTGGGTGAATTCTCCTTTTTGAAGGGTAGTTTGAGGGATGATGATTGGTGAATGTCCCCGTTTTTGAAGGGTAGTTTGAGGGATGATGGGGTGGGTCCCCCTTTATTCTGGGCAGTTTGAGGGATGATAAGGTGAATTTATGCTGTATTCTTGGTAGTTTCAGGGTCCAGGTCGCTTCAAGACTGGCTGCCTGGCCTAGGATCTCCGTCGCTTGCAGGAGGCCCGGTTCCTCGCGGAGCGCTTGCTGCCCAAGGGCCACCAGCTACAGCTGGACGCGGACCCGGCCTCAGAGCTGTTTGAACGGCGCCGTGAGACCAATTTGGGTATGGGTCAAAATCAAACGACCAGGGTCACCCTCTCAAAACTAAGTCACCCATTCCGTGCCAAAAGCCAAATCGTACCCCCCAGTGAACATCCCTATCCCCACCAAAAGAGGTTCTAAAATGGGTGGTGCACCGAAAGCCCCAAAATGTTGATACTATTGGTTTTGACAACCACAGCCATTTGTTTGGACCCAGGCCGGTGGGTGGATGCCAAAATGTTCTCCATTTTTGTCCGAGTTTTTTGGGAGGTTAGGTTTGGCAACCTGTCCTATGGCGACCAGTGGGTGTTTGGATCTCACATTTCTTCATGTGTTTGTCCGATCTTCTTTTTGGGGAGGGGCTACCAGAAGATGTGCCTGGATCCTGAAGGTGCTTTGTGAAAGGAATTCGCCAACTATGGTTTTGGATTGCAAGAACCCAGTGTTAAGGGAATTTTGAGGGTAGAGGTGTATATTTGGGAGGGGCGGGCTTCCTTTTCCAAACAGACTACCAAAAAACCTGTCCTTTTCCATGGCAACTGGGAGTCTGGGAGAAATGCGGGCAGAAGGGGTTTAGGAGAATCACTTGGATGTTCAACCTGCTAAAGGTTGTAACCAACTTATTCACTGGGGGGGGGGGGAGGGGAGGGGGAAGAGCCTTGAATAAGGCCCTAATAATCGCTTAACAAGGGTTTATTTGGGCTCCTTCCCCCTCCCCTCCCTCCCCCCAGGACCCCGTGAAATGAGTTGGCTGACTATCCAAGCATTTGTGAAATTTTGTGTACGCTTAGACCGTTTTGGGTCACCCAAGCTTTCGCTGTCGTGTCTGCTTTTTGGCGGGCCCATGCAAACACGTTGTTCCTGTCGGTTTCTAATCAAGAACCACACACAACACCGCAAAAAGCAACCAAAACCAACACACATGGTTGTTTTCCTGTTGGCTCCCCTTCAAAAACCACAACACACAAAAGAGACAAAACAAAAAAAAACGGGGTGCCCCTTAAACAAGATGTCGACCAATCATTCTCAATCCCATCTCATGGACCCCAGGCGACCTGTTGCAGCAGGTCACCGCCCTCAAAGCAGCCTCCAATGCGCCCGTGAAACTCAGCTTCAACTGATCGAAATCGACTCAGAGTCTTTGAAAGCAACAAACTTGGAACAAACGCGTGAAAATCATTCAAGCTCTTGAGGCAATCTGCGACACAATGTCTTCCTTGGAACCAAACCTGATGACGGTTTCGCATGTGGTTCCATACGGCTATTACCATGTTTTTTCACATGCCCCGTAACGCTTGCTTCAGTTCGGGGTAACCCATAAAGAACCAGAAAGGGGAAACTGGAATCCAGTCGAACGATAACTTGAGGATGCCCCTTTTGGGCTTCGCAGGTCCCAGGCAAGCCAAGCGATACCCACCCATTTGCCCTTGCTTTTGAAGGTTGGTTCCCTTGGTAGCCTATGGCATATGGAATCACAGGGCTTGAGCTAAACGGGGTTTCCCAAAGGGAAACTGGCAATCACTGGGATTGAATTAAACGGGAAGCCAAACAAAAAAAGGCAAACAAAGTCACTGGGCTTGCTTTACCGGGTGTCCCAATGCATTTCCTTGAAACAGCACCAGGGCTCCGATTCTTCGCGCCTTGGCTCCGATCAGACTCGTTTTGTTTGACGACCCGCCGTTTTGGGCGCCAGGACAAGGCGGCCGAGCGGGCGCTGTCACGCTGGGAGAACCCCCCAGACCTCAAGGACCGGAGCCGGCGGGTTTTTTCCGGCGCCCAAGCCGCTGTGGCCGTCCGCTTTCTGGAGTTTCCAAGCCACCCCTTTGTGCTTTAACAATTATGATTATAAAAGAAAAACACTTGTTTATTATATTATTACTATTCTCAACAAAAGAAACACCTTTTAGTCGGCTTTTTCAGCTTTTTGCCCTCCGGTGTCTGAATGGTTGCTAGATCTGTTTTGTTGGTTTATTGGTTGGGTTTCCCCATTTAACCCACTAAAAGTGTCCTGGAGTTTCCAAGCCATCCAATTCCTGAAAGGTTTTTAGATCTTTTTTGGGCTTGGGTGTTGGGTTTCCCCATTGAACCCACTAAAAGTGTCCTGGAGTTTCCAAGCCATCTAATTGCTGAATAAAAGTGTTCTGGAGTTTCCGGTGCCTTATATTTGTTTTATAGATCCCCATTCAACCCACGAAAGTGAACAACTTTTAGCACGGAATCGGAAAACGGACAGCCCAGGTACCTGGCTATCACCGAAAATAATAATAAAGGGATGGCCCATTTGCGCAGGGTCAGACGGAGACGGCCCAAAGTCTTCACCAAAGGGCTGACCCACACCCGAAGGCCCGAAGAGATCACAGACACTCCAGGTTCTTTCGGGACCTACAAAAAAACACCGAACCCTGAAGAAAAAGCGGAGACCAGCACCCCAGGAGCTCCTCCAGGTAATTAGCGACCTACACCACGCGCCTCGCAGCGAGCGAGCGAGCCACTAGTGCCACGAGCAACGCGCCAGGAGCTGCGGGGCAAGCAGCTGCGAGCGCTCAGGGCCATCAAGGCCTTGGACTCCCTGGAGGCGAAACGGAGCGCAAGATGGGTCCCGGAGGTTCCCTAGGTCCCCAGTAAAACCAAGGCCTTGACACCCAATTTAGATCATGACCATCCTTAGGCAAGTAATGGTGGTGAAATATGAACCCACCCATTGTTTTAATGGTGGTTTGAACCCCCTCATTAAAACCCTGGTAATAAACCATCCAACTGGTGGTTTCCTTTCAAGGGAATGAGGGAATGACCCTTGAATCTTATCTGGGTCGCCCAGCCAGGGGTGGCTTCGTGTGTTTTGTTCAAGATATGGAACCACTTATGCAAAGAGATGCTTGGCGGTTGTTGCCCCTTGAATAAAACATGTGCTCACCTCACCTCTCAGACACCATGCACCATTCTAGGGGTACCTTCCAATCATTCTTTCCAGGCATCCTTCTTTTTACAAACCCACCCGAAACCCTGGGGAAACAGCTTGTTAAAGAAGGATGCATGGTTGCAAAGAATGGGGAATCACCCCCTAGAAACATGGCCCGTGAGGTTCCTTGCCCCCATTAAAACAAAGGCAAGGACCCAATTCGCATGATGAACCATGGTTGTTACTGCTGGCAACTGCTTCAACCCAACTGAAGCCCAGGCTAAGGATGTTCATCATCCGAGTTGGGTCCTTGCCTTTGCTTCAATGATGATAATCCTTAGCCTGGGGTTCAGTTGGGTTCAGTTGCAGTTGCCACCAGCAACAACCATGGTTCATCCAAGTTGGGTCCTTGCCTTTGTTTCAATGGGGGCAAGGAACCCTAGGGGTGTGGTCGGTAAATTCCCTAGAAAACAACTTAAACATGGACCGTGATAAACTAGGTTGCCATTCCCCAACTCACTTCCTGAGGATTGGCCAAAACTCCAAACTGTCTCAAAATTGCACCTAAAAAATGAGTTCACCCCCTGATTGTTTCCAAGACCAGCCAAAAAAGCAAACCCAAAGTCGCCGTGGGTGGTGAAACCACCCTTTTGCGAGCGGGCCCATGAGACCTACGACTTTGAGGCGTTACGGATCTGCTTCAACCCGTGAGAGCTTTGATCAAAGCTGCAACGACCACTCGTGTCTTTTGGTTGCCCAGTGGTGCCCCTTCTTTTCCTTTTTTTTGGGAGGGCTCCCTTTAAACTCAACCCACCAGAAAAAGGATGCCCCTTTTTCCCCCTGGGCATCTGAGCTTTTTGTTGCCAGGCTCAGCTTTCTGTTTTGACTTGTTGCCTTTGTTGTCCCTGCAAACCAGAAACAAGTTCTCAGCTGTTTGCAGGTCTAAGTCTCGCCAAGTTTTGAGAATTGCCTTGCAGACGAAAACCGAAAAGCGGTCAATGGACCTTTGCGGGATACATGACAGGAGTGGTTGTAAGCACTTCCTACCCTTTCAGCGTCTCAGAAATGGCAAATGCCTTCCAACACTGCAACGTAGGGGGCAAACAAATAATTTACCCGCATTTGTGTTTTCTACCCATGGCCGCTGGTCTTAAAGTACCCCGCCTTCCACTCGCTTGGCCCCTGGAGACTTTACTATCGGAATGCACTTCGCAGGTCGGTGCTTCGGCTTCAGGGCCCATGCCAAGGGGCCTTTCGAGGGGCCCTTGGAACCCGAAGGGAACTTCGGAGCTTCTGCTTAAGGCACCTTCAGAAGCGGTGGCCTGCCAGCCAAATCGAGTTGTGCTCAGTTAGTGTGTTTGTTTGATCAGTTGGTTACCTAGTTAGCGAGGTAGGTAGATAGTTAGCTTAGTTTAGTTTAGTCTAATCTAGTTAGTTAGTTAGTTAGTTAGTTAGTTAGTTGGTTTTGTTATTTGTTGTTTGTCAGTTAGTTCGTTAGCTGATTAGTTAGTTACTGAGTCATTCAGTTTGCTTGCTTGTTGCTTGCTCGCTTGCCTGATTCTTGGTTTGTTGTTGTTTTGTCTGTCTATCTGTCCGTCTGTCTGTTTGCCTGTTTGTCCATCTGTCTATCTTGTTTGTCTGGTTTTTTAGCCAGCTTGCTGGCTGGCTGGCTGGCTGGCTGGCTGGCTTGCTTGCTTGCTTGTCTGTTTGTGTGCGTATTGTTGCTCGTGTTTGTTTGATTGCCACTTCCTAGCACATCCCCAGCCGCGCAGGATCCCAACGCCAAAGCCGCGAAGGCCAAGGCAAAAGCGGAGGCCGGGCAGTGGAGACGGCTGAGCTCAGAGACGTGGATGGCTTCCTTTCCATCTGCTTTTGGAGCAACCACCAAGAGTCGGGTCTCCCCTTGGCTTGGGGCAAATGGTGGGATTCTTTGCCTTCTTGTGGGTGGATGGGAAACTACCCGCCAAGCCACCGGGCTCCAAACCACCCTTGTTTAGATTGGGTTTATGATCCATTGTCGAGGGAAGCCCATCTAATGTCCTCAAAAGACTGCCACGATTCTTCCCAAAGGGGGCCCATGTGTCTTTTTTTGGGTTTGGTTTCCCTTTAACAACGACAAACAAATGCCCAAATTCTCAACGTCGGGGCAGCAAAATATGGGTATGTCTCAAAACTAGAGGACGATTGGCCCGAAAGCATTTTTCCACAGGTGCTCATCCAGCCGCGGAGACACCTTTTTACATCGCTGCGGCGAGCGTGTCTGCGCGCGGCAATGCTCAGTGTGTATGGTCACATGAGAGCTCCATCTCATCATCCTACTTTCCTCTCGAACTGCGCCGCACGATTTCTCACGAAAGTGGTCTGCGGAAGCTGCATTGTTCCAGGCTGCTGCGCGCAAGTTGCTCTCTGCAAGCTGCTGCGTGCAAGTGCTCTGTGCAAGTTGCTCTGCGCAAGTGCTCTGAGCAAGTTGCTCTGCGCAAGTGCTCTGCGCCAGTTGCTCCGCGCAAGCGCTTTGCGCATGTGCTCTGCGCAAGTTGGTCTGTGCAAGTTGCTCTGCGCCTGCTCTGTGCAAGTTGCTCTGCGCAAGTGCTCTGAGCAAGTTGCTCTGCGCAAGGGCTCTGCGCAAGTGCTGTGTGCAATTGCTCTGTGCAAGTTGCTCTGCGCAAGTTGCTCTGCGCAAGTGACTCTGCGCAAGTTGCTCTGCGCAAGTGCTGCCGGAGCTGCGGGGGTGTGCTCCGCGTACTACGTTTGTACTTAAAAGTTGCGATTCTCCAGCCGGAGCTGCGGGGGTGTGCTCCGCGTACTACGTTTGTACTTAAAAGTTGCGATTTTCCAGCCTGAGCTGCGGGAGCACGCTCCGCATACTACGTCTGTACTTAAAAATTGCGATTTTCCACCCGGAGCTGCAGGAGCACGCTCCGCGTACTACGTTTGTACTTAAAAGTTGCGATTTTCAAGCCGGAGCTGCGGGGGTGTGCTCCGCACACTACGTCTGTACTTAAAAGTTACGATTTTCCAGCCGGAGCTGCAGGAGCACGCTCCGCGTACTCCCTAGGCTTCCAAAGGCCATTAAAAGAATGGTCGAGGTCGCTAGACTGGTTTTTTCCGAAAGACCGTTTTTTGCGCCTGGCCCTGAATATCCCAAAAATCATGTTTATTGTTGCCCAAGAATTGCTTAGGGTCAGGTCACTGAAAGTCACGCCGCCCCATCCTCCCAGCTGCAAATGACTGCACCCAAGCCACTCATTCCCCGGCTTGCCAAATGTATGGTCGCATCACTTTAAAAAATCGCCAGGTGTCCCGCCTACTGTAAAGGCGTGCATAGATTCTTCGCATGTTGGTACTGAAGTCCGGCTTTTTTGAAAATGCTGCAAACTTAGTGGCTTCGGGGCATCGCTGCCGATCAGGCATGCGTTGTGGGCTTCTGGGGGTATGGTTGTCCACGCTTTTAAACGTACTTTCCACGCTTTTAAATGTGCTTTCCACGCTAAAAAACGTACTTTCCACGGTTTGTCCATGGTTTGTCCACGCCTCATTTTCTTTCGAAATCGATTCAACAATCAACGCACAACACGCGATCAGACTCTGTGCAGCTGTGGACAAGAAGTGGAAAAGCACGCACGGGCATGTGAGGGACAAGCCAAATTGACACAGCATGGTGACGGGTGATTACAACGGGATGAAGCGACAGTACAACATACTTAGCTGATTTCAGAAAAGGCAGCAATCAAGTTCTTCAACCTCTCACTGCACAGAAGCGCGCGGGGATGTCAGGAGCCAGCCGTCTCGAGTTGGCCAAGTTTGTCTAGACCTACTTTTAATGGTCGAGGGACATTACTTTTATAGCCTTTCGTTTTTTAAATGGTCGAGGCTATTTAAAGAATAGTCGAGGAAGCACAGGGTACTACGTTTGTACTTAAACGCTGCGATTTTCAAGCTGGAGCTGCCGCGGACCAGGGGGGAATCGAACCCGCGACCGCGGGATTGCGAAAGCAGGCGCGCAAACCACGAGACAACTTCCAAAGGCCGTTTCGCGAGCAAGAATATTGCACGGCGCCACAGCGAGAGCACTTCGACACGCGCAATCTCCGCAGAGGGTTCGCCGAGACTAAGACAAATTCGCACGGCGCCACAGCGAGAGCGCTTCGACGCGCACGATCTCCGCAGAGGGTCGCGCGCGGCCAGCAGAAATCGGCTCTCTATGTAACTTGGCTCTATGTAACTTGGCTCTATGTAACTTGGCTCTATGTAACTTGGCTCTATGTAACTTGGCTCTATGTAACTTGGCTCTATGTAACTTGGCTCTATGTAACTTGGCTCTATGTAACTTGGCTCTATGTAACTTGGCTCTATGTAACTTGGCTCTATGTAACTTGGCTATGTAACTTGGCTCTATGTAACTTGGCTCTATGTAACTTGGCTCTATGTAACTTGGCTCTATGTAACTTGGCTCTATGTAACTTGGCTCTACGTAACTTGGCTCTATGTAACTTGTCCAAGGGCTCCGCACGGAAGAACCCTTTGCGATGCTTTCGGGAATAAAGAAACCCCCCAAGATAGGTGCTTGTTTTCCTTTTGGTTCATTTTAACCCCCCCAGGCCGTCAAATTTCCGGTAATTCCCTTTGTCGGGTGGTTTGAGGGTTCCGGTTGCCTAAAAGCGGGTCCAAAGCATGCACGTCAGGGGTCAACCTTCACGGCCTCCTCAAAAGATATCATGGCCAAAAGGACGCCACGATTTCTTTGGGGGGAATGTTCAGGTGGGTGTTTGTCCAGACAAAAAGCCAACACGTAGTTTGCTTGTGGTGTTGTTCTGAATTAATTGTACGATTATGAGAACTTGACAGCCATAGACTGACCTCAGAGAGAGCATTATGTTATCAGTTGTTTTTTACATTTGGGAGATCATTTTGATTATCCGTATTTCATCATTTTTCCATCATGTGTGCATCATTGTTCATCATGTTTCATCATTTCGCAAGGGCATGAATCCGCAAGAAATGATGAACAAATGAAGAAAAATGACGGGGCCAAACGATGCCAAAACGATGAATAAATGATAAAATCATTGTTTGCACTTTTCTCCGTGTTTGGCTGCCCAAAGATCTCTTAAGTTTGGGATTTTCGCTCGTTTTGCACTCTTTTGCGCCGATTCGCGCTCGTTTTGCACTTTTGTTGCGCTCGTTTCGTTGATGACTCTTCCCAAACTCGCCCCCGTGAAAGACTATGAAACTACCGAACTTGATTTCTGCTCGAATCCGAAAAAATGCTCGAAAGCAATTGCGGAGCAGAAAAAACGCTACAACGTGTCGATTTGTGTATCGACCCAGGGGGAGGCATATTTTTGTTTGCCACGATGGCTCCAGGTATGGTGCATCCTTTTTGCCCTCCTTGCCTGGGGCTTTGTGTAGCCTCACCTTGAGCCCCTGGCTTGCATGAAGCTAGGTTTGTTACCAAGCTGAAGGTGTCCCAAGCATAGGTTCCAATATGAAGGTCGGGTGTGTTTAATTCATCCCCTTTGGTTTGATTTGGAGTTAAGAAAGCCCATCGCAAAGAATGTACGTTTGACAGTCACATCTCTTTTTGCGTTCCAAGTCGGAGATGTGCTTTCCCGTTGTCCCCTGAGTCTTCTCTAAATCACATACCCAGCAAGGCACCCTTTTACCAACAATCATGAAAGTGGGTTTCGGAGGCTTCCCCAAAAGGAGGGCAGGATTCTAAACGGCTGTCAGCTTCCACGATTGTTGGGAGGGACAAGTCTGCAGATCCCCAAAATTAAAAGTCTAAGGAAAGCAACGACTTTTCCCAATAGTATACCTGGACCCTCAAAATTCCAACTCAACAGCGTGTTTTTGCAACATAGTGCAACCCCAAATTATGTTTGGTCAATTTAACTTTGTTTTTGGGTAGTTTGAGGGTCGAGGTAAGCAGATCTTTGAGGAAATGGTTGCTTCAAGCTCCAGGCGCGTAACTCGCGCGTAACTCCCCTTAAAAACGTCAACATTGCCTGCCCCAACATTCTGGTGAGTGAATCTGCCCCTTTTGCCACGGGTACCTGGTCGTTTGAGGCTTCCCGTGGGTCTCTCTTTCGGGCGGTCGCCGGGCGGACGCCGGGCGGACGCCTCGCAGGCCAAGGCGGAGGCCAAGGCGGAGGCCGCCAAGGCGGAGGCCGCGGCCTTGCCCGAAGACGAAAGGCCCGAGAATTCCGCGGCCCAGGAGGGCTGGGGTGTGTGTGTGTGTGTGGGAGTTGAAGTGTTTTTTGTTTTTTTGTTTTTTCTCGCAGAAGGTGGTCGTTTTCCTGTATACGCTTTTAGGTGGGTTCCCTTGTTTTTCTTTTGGGGTTGTTCTTGGTTTGGTGTTTTTTTGGGGTTCTAGAACGGTTTTTAGTTGGTGTTTAGTTTGCTTTTGGTCCGTTTGGTTTCCCCTAGTGTTCCTTTTGATTGGTTTCCTTTTGATATTTTGTTTTTGGATTGGTTTGCTTTTTGGGGTTGCCTTTTGGTTTGCTGTGGTGTTTTCGTTGCTGTTCCCAGCCATCCGGTTCCTTTGTTGTTGGAATTGTTGGGTAGTTTAGAGTGGTATTTCCATTTAAACCACAAGTGAAACTTTTACCGGGGGTTCTGAGGCCCAGTTTGGTTGCCCTTTGAAAGTCCTTTTGACTGGTGTGCTTTATGATTTGGTTGTGCTTTCCAGTGGATCTCGGGTGGTTGTGCCCCCCCAAAGTACTGTATTAGGATCCCGAGTCTCGCACCTAGGGGGTGAACGCCAAAACGTTTGTCGGTATCTATGGAGTGGAATCGAATCATTCCAGAGTTTCCTTTCTTTTACAATCGGTGGCAAGCGCTTGGTTACCCACAAATCAAGGTAAATGGATCCACTGGGCTTGGTTTCCCTTTGGTTTCCTTTTGGTTGGTTTGCTGTTGGTTTGCGTTGTGATTGGCTTTTGCCTTCTGCTTCCATTGGTTTCCTTTTGGTGTGCTTTGGTATTGCGTGAATGATGTGTACCAATGGGTACCTTCAACAAACAATGCCAATGATGTTCAGACTTAGCTTGGCTGGTCTTTGCCCCCAAATGCCCCAGAAAAATCAAAAACATGTTTTGGAAACAAGTGGCTTTCCATTAAACCCACAAAGCCTGTTGGTTGTCAGCAGGGAATCAGGGAATGACCCCCATAAACCATGCCCTATGCTTTCCTTTCAGGTAATCCTCTTCCAGTTCATGTCCAATTTTCGCACGAAGGAAAAGGTCTTCAAACATCGTCCCTGGGCGTCGGAGGCCATTTCTGAAATATCCTAGTACCCCTCGGCCATTTTAAGAACATGCTCGGCCATTTGTGGGTCTTCACCAAAGGCCTACTAAAGAACATCTAACGGCCAATTCTGAAATGGCTCCTAGACATGGCATTGCTTTGTGATTCAGTGTGCTTCAGTGGGTTGGGGTTGCCTTTTGAAGGTCTTTGCCAATAGGCCCGAGAGCTTTTCATCAACGCAAACTACTAGGTCACGGTTGCGCTAGTCGCCTGGTGCTTCGGAGCCGCCAGAGTCAAAAACGTTGGGTTTTTGCTCATTTCGCTCGCTGCGTTGCAGGCATCAACATGCAAAACTACTTCTTTCGGCAAACGACGCAACAATTTCGCCAATGCCCCCAACAAAGCATTAGGCGAAGCGGTTGCCAAACTTCGTCTCCACATGAATTGGTAAGTTCTTCGTTTCAAATCAACATTCACATCCGAATTATTGTCACACCGACATTTGCGGTGGAGCTGCGCAGGTTCCAACGTAGGACAGCGACAAGGCTATGGCGCCAGGGTCAGCAAACATCCCTACCGAGCCGTGAAAAGAACCGCAGGGACCGAACGTAATACCCGCTTCACCCCCTCAACCCCCCACCGCGCTGAGTCGATGAGGGAAAAGAAGCACCTGAGAAGAAAAACCGTGTTTGATACCAGGCGACCAGCGCAACCGTGACCAACTACATATATACAAACCCTGACCATCCTCGACCATTTCTAAAAAGGCCTAGGTAGCCTCGACCATTCTAAGGCAAATGCTGGACCATTTCCTTATATACAAACGTCTGTATAAAATTCGTCGAACGGCCTTTTCGAAAATGGCTGTTGTCATGGCCCAAGAGCCTTGTGTGTCATGGGTTTGGTCGGCATCATGACGTGCTTGAAAAGCCACCTTAGCGCTCGCTCTTGCGTGAGCGTTTTGGTGCAATGGGCGTCTTACAGCAGTCTCGGAGAAGCTGGAGCGTGGACAAAGCGTGGAAGAGCCATTGGCGGGCGTGGAAAAGCCATTTCTGGGCGTGGAACATCCATATAGGGGAGTGGACAAACTGTGGACATCCCGCTGAATGCCACCTCAGACTGAAAAGCATGCAAGTTAAAGTGGCAGAGCTGAAGTCTACAGAGCTCAACTGCACGACCTTTTCACAAAAGACGATTCCAAAACGAGCCTGGCTTGAACAGGAACACGGGCCTGCGTCATGGCTGGACTACGGCCGCGGTAGCGTATTGGCTAACATCAGAGCTCCACAAACGGTTGTCCAAAGCCACTAAAAACGCGTGTTGCTTTGGTCCTCTGACAAACAGCCAGTTCTCAGAAGGAATGTGGGAAATTCAGGGGGTCAACATTGGGGCGTATATGATTGCCAGCTTTGGCTGGCGGGGTCTTGCTTATTGGACAACATGGGGATCCAGAAATGGCTCTTTTTAACCAGTGAAAACATGTATTCTTGCCACAAATGGCTCTTCGACAAACGGCCGTTTCTGAAAAGGCCTTCTGAAACCCACTCATGAATCCTGACGGGTCGGTGTGCTCAAAATGCTTCCCCCTAGCCGTTGGGCATTTGAAAGAATCGGAATCCGGATCATTCTATAACTTATTACCTCACAAACCAGCGGCCTAAACCTGCAAACGTCCCGCAAAAAACGGGATACTTCCCCAACATCATCTAGGTTCTGCAGCGCCCTTTTAGACTTTTTGGGGGGAGGGTTCCACTACTAAAATAGACGTCCTGAAAAACGTTGGTACCCGTATTATAACCTCTCTACTGGAGGACCTAGATGGGTCGAGGCTCCAGCAACACCACTTGACCACTCGCCAGGAGCATCCGGAGGAAGCGACCCAGGCGGACGGTGAAGCCGACAACGGTGACACAGCGGAAGCCAACAACTGGGACGACTTTTTGCGTCTGGGCCGCAATGAATCTGCACAAAAACCATACTGAATCCATTTTTAGTTTTTACTTGTGTTTTATTGTTCTTTTTCTTTGGGGGGGGGGTATGGTGGACACTTGGAGTCTACCTTGCCATCTTTGTGTTTAGGGTAAGGGTTTTGGTTCTTGGTAGACGTGAAATACACCTGGACCCTCAAAATTCCCAGCCTGAAAAACGGGTTGGAATTCAGAATGATGGAATTGGCGAGTTCAGTTTTTCTTTGGTTTGAGGGTGAACATGTGGCAAATGGCTGGGCAGTTGAAAGGTAATCTTACATCGACTTTAACTTTTTGGTTGAAACGAAGCCATGCGCCCATTGTCATTCCCTTCGGGAACCAAAAAGGGCAGCGATGCTATAAAACTAACTCGAACCAATGAAATAAACACAACCTCAAATCCGGCCGCCTTCTTAATTCTTTATTACAGTGTTCTGGGTAGACCATTTTAATACCGAGTTTCGATCATGACTCAGATGAGGGTTTTCGTTCCTCATTAACACCCCGTTGTTCAGGGGTGTTTCTCTCCTTCAGCTGGCTCCACCAGCCGCCCATCGCTGGCTGGAGGCCCAGGCTGCCCTCCATGCTGTTGGGCAAGGGCCGGCGGAAGCTTCTCAGCGCCAAGACGTGGCTCGGAGGAAAACTCAGTTGTTCAAAGGCACCATTTTTTCCCGTTTTGTTGGCTGCCCCACTAAAAATTGCCCAAGCCCTAAAAAGGGTTCCCTTTTTTTCCAGGGTCACTGAACAAGCAAGTGAGAATACGACATCCACCTGGCGTCTCCGAGACTGACCCGAAAAAAGAATTGGGCTTTTGGGCTTTTGCCGAAAAGAACGGGGTTATGGACCCATTCTTTGCATGTCGTGGACTTCCGAACAAATGGGCTGTTGGTCATTGCCAAAAAGAAGGGGGTTATGGACCCATTCTTTGCGGGTCGTGGGTCGTGGGGACTTCCATGTGCTGCATTGAATACTCGTGAATTTTCTTGTTCTCCGCCCGACAGGCTTGGGGTTGTTGGAATTTCAGTGACATCCGACCTTCCGTCGGGTCGCCCGCCTGTGACAGACAGATGCGACAGACAGCTGAGAGCCTATGACAGCGCCTGTGACGGACACAGAGCTACGACGGACAGATGTGACGAGCTGTGACGAGCTTGTGGCCGAAAGCTGCCCGACATCCCAAAGCGTGAGGCTCCCGACATCGGACGCGGCCGGTGAATCTGGCCTGGGGTCCACACAGGCTTTGGGAGCGTCACTTGCAGCACGGGGAAAAATGTATGTCTTAGGTGGGGGTCGCTCAGAGTAAAGCGCTTGGTGTTTTGTTGGAGCCTACCGGATGCAAAACAAATGGAGGAACACATTCTTCCCAGTGCATCCCGCCACCTGGTTTTGTAGGTATAACCAAAAGCTTGCCACCCGATAGAAAAACCCAAGCGGAAAATAGCTGGCCACCTCCGAAATGGGCAACTGGGATTGCCTGAAGTCGCCTCATGACCCCGAAAACATAGGGCCATTACCCAAGAGAAAAAAAGATGGGCCCATTGTTGAAGGGCCAGGCTTCTCAATGTTGACCGGAGGAGAACCCAACAGGCAGAAAGTTCTAAGTTCTAACAATGTGTCTTTGTTCAGGTTGAACCCCCCAAAAAAGGTTTCGGGTGTTCTTTTGGTTTTCCTTAAAAAGCAAAGCCGGGACTCCAAGAACCTTTTATTTTAAAGCTTCTCGAACATATCCTGGTTCTTTGCGGGAAAACCAACTTGTTTTGGAAAAGCATACAAACATATTTGGGTTTTGTATGGGTTTTGTACGGGTTTTGTATGGTTTTTGTACGGGTCTTCAGAGTAAACCAGGTCTTGGTTGGAAAGCCGCGTCTTTGGTAAGCAAAAGGTTCCAAGCCAGGTCCTTCGTTTGCATCCTTATATTTAAAGGTTCTGGGGTAGAGGTTTTGTTTTGTACCTGCAGCCTCCTTCCGATTGGAAGGTAGGGGTAGTGACCCATTTTTGGGGGGAATGTAGGAATGTCTCCACGTCCCTTACAAATAGGATCATATCCCCTTTTTTTGGGGCAACGAAACCATTTTTCTTTGACCCAGTTCTTACTCGTGACCTCCAAAGCCGATTCTGCACCCTCAACAATCCAACCTAAATGTGGTTTTGTGCCCAAAATTGTTGAATGGGTGAACTCCAACTCATTTTTGTGGGTAGTTTGAGGGTTCAGGCTCCCACTTGTAGCGACCTCAAAAGGCGATCATTCGCTGCGACCCAAAACTATGGAGTGATGTCCAACGTTTGCTTTTCATGGGTAGCTTTAGGGTCCCGGTATGCTCTTTAAGTTTTAAAAGCTGGTTTCTTTTTGGTTTCCTACTATTCAGTACCTTGGATCCACTGGCTGCCAGCGAAAACTCGCGGCAAGTGAGGTTGCCCTCTTTGTCCCTCAGCGCCGGCGACTTGGGTGATGAAACGGTTCCCGACGTCTCGGAACGACGCGCCACGGATTCCAACACCCACGGAGATTGGGTCAGGCGGGACCGTCGCCAGGGGGACCAAGGGAGGATGTTCTCCTTGGCACCCTTTCTGTGAGGAAATGCTCTCACCCCTCCAAGAAGAAAAGGAAAAGACAACAAAACTGGACCCGAAATAGATTCCAATTGAAACTGGGGCAAATTCCAGCCCAAGAGTATAGAAATTGTGATTTCCAACGTTTTCATATGGGAAGTTTGAGGGTTCGGGTAGAGCAAATGCCGCAATGTTTGAGAAGTCAATGACCCTGCAATGGCGGGGTTCCAAAGGTTTCGGTGTGCAAATCCCAGGTTCCCCACCCTGTGACACACAGACCAAGTTTAGCTGGTACCAAAATGGGCAACCCCAAACACCTCCCCGAATGGTCAATGGTCAACAAATCCCACCACAATGGTGAAGCAACAAATCCCACCAAAATGGTCAACCCCAAAAGAGGTCACCCCCCCAAACCTGGTCAACACATCCCACCAAAATGGCGCGCCCCAAAAATAGGTAACCCCTCAAACCTGGTCAACCAAAACAAGGGATTCAAACACCGCAATCCCACCAACATGGGCTCAAAAATCGCACCAAAATGGGGCAACCTCAAACAGGTCACCTCCACAAATGGTCAACAAATCCCTCCAACATGGTCAACCCCAAAAAGCGTTTACCTTGAAAAATGGTCCACCAAAAACAACATTCAAACACCTCCACTGGTGAAAAAATCACCAAGATGGGCAACCTCAAACTGGTCAACAAACCCACCAAAATGGGCAGGCCTCGCCAAGAATCCCGCCAAAATGGGCAGGGCACGTCATGGGCAAGTCGCGTCAAAACACCAAAATGGGCCACCTCAAACCGGTCACCCGTTTCGGGCCCCCCCTCGCCCACGGGTCAGAGCCCCGCCAGACGTGCCCCGCCCGGGGACGTCTTCTACCGCTCTCTGCCCTGGAGCTTCGGCGTCGAGAAGCCGAAGCGCCGGCGCAGCGTCAAGGGCCGGCGCAAGGCGATAAAAAAAATACCTCCAGGGAAGTGCTAGGCTTTGTTTTCGTGTATTTTCCTCTTCTTCTTTGTTTTGCGTAGGTTTCTCTCCGTTGTTGTTGTTGTTGTTGGTGGTGGTGGTGGTGGTGGGTGTGGGTGGGTGTGGGTGTGGGTGTGCGTGTGGGTGTGGGTGTGGTGTGGGTGTGGGTGTGGGTGTGGGTGTGGGTGTGGTGTGGGTGTGGGTGTGGGTGTGGGTGTGGGTGTGGGTGTGGTGTGGGTGTGGGTGTGGGTGTGGGTGTGGGTGTGGGTGTGGGTGTGGTGTGGGTGTGGGTGTGGGTGTGGGTGTGGGTGTGGTGTGGGTGTGGGTGTGGGTGTGGGTGTGGGTGTGGGTGTGGTGTGGGTGTGGGTGTGGGTGTGGGTGTGGGTGTGGTGTGGGTGTGGGTGTGGGTGTGTGGGTGTGGGTGTGTGGGTGGTGTGTTGGGGTGTGTGGGTGTTGTGGGTGTTGTGGGGTGTTGTGGGTGTTGTGGGGTGTGGGGTGTGTGGGTGTTGTGGGGTGTTGTGTGGTGTTGTGGGGTGTTGTGGGGTGTTGTGTGGTGTGGTGTTGTGTGGTGTGTTGTGTTGTGTTGTGTTGTGTTGTGTTGTGTTGTGTGGTGTGGTGTGGTGTGGTGTGGTGTGGGTGGTGTGGTGTGGTATGGTGTGGTGTGGTGTGGTGTGGTGTGGTGTGGTGTGGTGTGGTGTGGTGTGGTGTGGTGTGGTGTTGTGTTGTGTTGTGTTGTGTTGTGTTGTGTTGTGTTGTGTTGTGTGTGTGTGTGGTTGTTTCTTGCTTTATTTTTTTTTGATTTTTCTTTCCGACTTGTTTTTGAATTTAATAATTGGTACATGGAGTCACCGTCTGACCCAAATCAAACATGGTTGGTCATTATTCAAGGCGACTCCAGTGTTTTTTTAGTAATACCCTAGGGTTCCTTGCCCCCAATCCTTAGGTACACAATGGTTATATGAACCCCATTGATTCGATGGAAGTTTGAAGCCCAGGGAATACTATAGATCCGGGGTGAACAATACCCATGTTCAACAGCTGGAAGCTATGGGGTCTCTGCCCAGATTAGCTCTGGGTTTTGTTTGGGGCAGCTTTCAGGGAGGCTTCAAAAGGAGGGTTGCAGGGGGTGCAAGGGGGCTGTTGCGGACACACCCTATTCTTATTTATACACCTGGAGTCTCCTTCTGACTCTCGATGTTGTTCTTTTTTACTTATCTAGGTGTGATCTTTTGGATCATATTCACTTCGCACCAGTTGGTAGGTGGTTTATCCCACTATTTACAGGGAACTGGGTACCTGGAGTCTCCTTCTGGCTGAAATGACAATGGAGAATGCTGACCCCGGATCTAAGTAGAACCTGTCTGATTAAGGGGGTGTTCGCGCCAAAAGTGACGACTCCCCACTAAAGATGGAACCCCTCGGTAGTTTGGCTACAAGGAGTCTTCTTCTGATCCTTTGAACATGACAGGTCTCAAAGTGGAGCTGACCCCATGCTCAAGGGTCAGAAGGAGACTCCAGGCATAAACAAACCCATGAAGGAGGGTGTTTTTTTCAACAACAGTAGGTTTTCTCCGAATTGGGTGTCTTTTTTGAGGATACCCTGTCTGGTTTTGAAGCAAATGGAAACCACCCGTTCTATGGGTCCTCTTTTCAAAAAGACACACCCATTTGTGTCTTGCCTGTGTTCGATGCTTGGCTTTGGTGGAGAAACCCACTGAACATATGAGCAAGCATCAGTCGGTTCTGGAAACCCCAAACTGCCATTAACAAAGAGACGTGGCAATGTTTTTGGGGAACACAATATTTCCAAGTTGTTTAGTGGTGCCCGTGTTTCCTTTCTTGTTTTTCTCGGGAAGGGTTGCCCTTAAAATTCAACCAACCAAAAAGAAAGATGCTCTTTGCTTCCAATGGCCACTGGGCTGGCTGAGATTTTACATTGACCGGTTGGTTGAATCGTTGATTCCACCTCTAGGTCCCCCAGTAGTGTCTTTTACCCCTGTTGTGGGGGAGGGTTCAACTACTACAGTAGACGACAGAAAACAGGGTACCCGTATTCTATCCTCTCTACTGGAGGACCTAGAAGCTTTTTGTTCACCATTGGTACCTTTTTGCATCTCATCGTCTGTATGGACCAGTTCGAGCGAGTTTGGTGACAGCCTGCAATGTGTTGGGCGTGCCAACAAAAACGTGGCCCCCAACCGCCCGGAATGATTCCTGAGATTGCTTCAGTGGCGAATGCTAGCAACATGATGCGTGTGCCAACACAATCAGGTTTAGAGATTGTTTGAATCAAAGCCGGCGTTCAAGCAATTGTTATAGGGTGCTTGAGGGTTGGATTCCAACCGTTCTTTTGCACCACCTTTCTTTCAAAACCGATCACCGTTTTCCCAGGCTTTCCGGAGGTTTTCTAGAAGGATGTTTGGCAAGAAGGGTTGGCCGGCCTTTGTACCTGGAGTCTCCATGACCCTTTAAAAAGGGGTCAATGACCCCATTATTTTGGGTAATGACCAACCATTTTTTAAGGGTCAGAAGGAGACTCCAGGCAGAGGTGTCTTTTTCGGGGTTCCTACGTTGGCTTATTAAGGCAAGGCATTATTTAGGGATTATTTGGGCTCCCTCCCCCTCCCCTCCCTCCCCCCCAGCGCCCATTATTTTTAGGGCCCCCGGTGTCCTTGTGCGCCCAAGTTCAGGCGACGACCTCTGAGACCACGGCCGGGGAGAGCGATCCCTTCAAGGACAGGGAGCGGGGAGTATTGTGGATGGACAGAATCCTGCACCACTTTGAAACCATGGGAAACGATTTCTTGTTGGTATTTACAGGGGAATCATGATTCCAGGGTTTGTTAGGTGGTGCAAGATGTTGTCCATCCACAGTATCACTCGGAATTGTTTTATCCACCCGCTTCTGTTCATAAAATGTAAGAGGGCCAGATCGGGACAGTCTACATCGGGATGGGTTTTAAGACAACCCCAGAAATCTCTTTTGTGATCACTGGGAATTTATCCACCCACTTCTGTGATACAAGGGAAACAAGGGAAACAAATCTCCAGAGAAGGTCCACCTCCGATTTTTCTGGGTGCCCTGATCCCTGCAATATCCCGGTCCTCCAGTCTTCCCCAGAATTAGTTTCCCTCTTTTTGGTTTGTTTTTTTCGCTTTTTTGGGGTTTGCTTTGTTTTCCACTCACCAAGCAAAACGGAAAAGCGGAAACAAGTCGCTGGGGTCCGAAGTCCAGCCTTTAGTGGGTAGTCCCCTAACCAGCCCGGGTTCGGATATACGTGGAAGCTTGGAAGCTGTCCAGGTTACCTACCTGGAACCTCAAACTCCCCATAACAAACGGGCATGACCCCCTAATTTTGGGGCAACAACCATTCTTGCTGACATGTTTTGGGGAAGTTTGAGGGTCCAGGTTTTTGTTTATGGATAGTTTGAAGGAAGCCTAGGAAAACCCCAAGGAACCCGAAGATATCCGAAGGAACTCTCAAATACCCATCCCAGTATACTCTTCTCTAAAAGAAGCGCCCATTTTTCCATTCGGAATCCAGGGATCCGTTTTTCTTTTCGGGACATTTTCAATACCCATGGGACACGGCGATTCGGTGATGGAAAAGAGCAATGGTCGAAAAGAATGGAGAAGCAACCCCTGGAATGATTGTATGCTCGCATCATGACCGGTTTTGAAGTGCTCAAACCCAGTACCAATTGAGGCGCTGGGGCCTTCAAACCTTTCCTGGGGCCGATCCCAGAACTACATTTGTATTTTAGGGTAGTAGACTACATATGAATCAAAAATAGACCATATTATGTTTGGACTACTCCTGTTGGCCAAGTTTTCCCAAGGATTCTAAAGTCTATAGGTACTACTTTGGTTCACTTCCTACACAAATCTCACCACTTGAACCCCCCTTCTGGTCGCTCACTTGCTGAAGGCTTTGGGTTGTTTTGCCCAAATAAGCTCAACAATCAGAAGAAACAACCAGCTTGTCCATCCTTTCCGGATTCTCTTTAAGTTCTAATTAAGGTCCTACTTGGAAAGGAATTCCCATTTAACATCCAATTAAATCAAAAGTCAGACTACCAGTAAAAAGGGGAATTCACCCCACAATTGTGGGGTGAAGACCCGATGAGGTTCCTTGATGTGGGTCTGTCGTTTTGGAGTTTGTACTTTCTTTGTGTGGTTCTAAAGGGACACCAAGAGGTAAACTGGCCTTTGTTTGGGGGTCCAACCTAAAAAACAGACACACCCATACCAGGCCATGTGTGACTGAGCCAAAAAGACAGGCAGCGTTTTTGGAGCTTCACCCTTACCGCTGGTCCGAGTGCCTAAGCATGTGCATTGACCCTCTTCCTACTCCTCAAACACCATCCTCCATGCCGGAGGTAAAGCCCACTTTGTCAGCAGGTATGGCCAAGACAACATCTGGGATAGCCGGGGTTAGTTGGCTCGTGATGGATTCCAGGCCCCGGATTTGGTAGCCATTGAAAGACAAACCAAAAGGACGCCAACGATTCTAGGGATCCATGTACGGCTTTGGAAAGCGACTGTCGATGAGTCCAAGCGGGTACAGGGTTGGTGCCCGAGGGGGGAACTGACCATTCAACCAGATCCCTTTTGAGAAATGGGATGTGAACTTGTTGAAACTCACTGGCGAACACCCATTCCGGCTCCATGGGATGCCGGTTGCAAAGGAATGACTTTGACTCAAGGACTGGGCCAAGGAGTTCATGCACTTGGAGAGCCTCGGACAAATGTGATGCTGATCAAATCCAAGAAACAAGACCCTCAAATCAGGGATTTCATGCGGCTGGACGGAAAAAAAACCTCAACGCTGAATTTCATGCGGTGGATGGGCACAAAACAGCACCACTGCCACATGCCGGAAGAAACCACCTAGTGCAGTTGATCTCCACCAGTATGTCCAGTTCATGCCACTGCGTGGGATGTAGCCTACACATCACTTACTGCTTCTTGGGTCTCCTGCAAAACAGACTCCGAACACACTATTTTTTGAGTACGCCAGATGTGGGCCAAGAAAGAACCTTGGTCGAGATGCATCCGCCCAACGGTCCCAATTTGAACTTCCAACTGTGTGAGGTGAGAAATCCCGCATGGAGTCACTCCATCGTGGAGAAGCGTGCTTTATTTGGGAATGACCTGTTTTGGTATGGAAAGGGCTATGTCCCGCAACCCATTTTATCACTTTGCCACTCACAATGCCCACTTTTGTTTGCCTATGATGTCAAGGTCTGACTACAAAAGCAGGTATTTGCCGTGGTAGAAGCTGGAAACGGCCGCACAACCAACTCTATGTTGGGAGGAGAGTTTGAGTTGTAGGGATGGTTAAACAGCGGAGCCCCTCAGTACGTCCCCCTATCGGCTGCGCGGGAGGGATTCGAACCTGCGACCTGCGAGTTTTTAGCAGGACGTTCTGCTTCAATGTCTTGCGCAAGAATTAAAGTTCATAGTTGGGGCATTCAAGAGATTCCCTGGAACATATGGATCTGTGTTTTGGTGAGGGTGCCTTTTTTTTCTGGTTTCCCCTCCAAAAGAGACACCCATATCTATTGAAGACGCATAACTTGGTGGCTCCCAGGCATCCCCTTAGCTTTTTTGCCTTTTAGTGTTTAGTGGTAGTTTCCATTTAACCCACTAAAAGTTAAACTTTTAGCGGGGGATCTGAGGGCAGCCCAGGGAATAATGTACCCATTGAACCCTTGGTGATTTGAGTGGGTTGGCCAGATTCGGCTGAGGAACATGACCCTCTTCCAGCGGAAGCTTCGGACGCTTGAGGGTATCAACAGCTTGCACACCGACATGAAGATCGAGACCAAGCGCTTCAGGCGCTCACGAACCGCTAAAGCTGTGTGTGTGTGTTGTGTGGGTGTTGTGTGTGTGCGGGTGTGGGTGTGTGGGGGTGTGTGGGGGTGTGTGGGGGTGTGTTGTGTGGGTGTTGTGTGTGTGTGTGGGTGTGGGTGTGTGGGTGTGTGTGTGTGTTGTGTGGGTGGTGTGTGTGTGTGTGTGTGCGTGTGTGTGTGTGTGTGTGTGTGGGTGCGTGCGTGCGTGCGTGCGTGCGTGCGTGCGTGCGTGCGTGCGTGCGTGCGTGCGTGCGTGCGTGCGTGCGTGCGTGCGTGCGTGCGTGCGTGCGTGCGTGCGTGCGTGCGTGCGTGCGTGCGTGCGTGCGTGCGTGCGTGCGTGCGTGCGTGCGTGCGTGCGTGCGGGCGTGCGTGCGTGCGTGCGTGCGTGCGTGCGTGCGTGCGTGCGTGCGTGCGTGCGTGCGTGCGTGCGTGCGTGCGTGCGTGCGTGCGTGCGTGCGTGCGTGCGTGCGTGCGTGCGTGCGTGCGTGCGTGCGTGCGTGCGTGCGTGCGTGCGTGCGTGCGTGCGTGCGTGCGTGCGTGCGTGCGTGCGTGCGTGCGTGCGTGCGTGCGTGCGTGCGTGCGTGCGTGCGTGCGTGCGTGCGTGCGTGCGTGCGTGCGTGCGTGCGTGCGTGCGTGCGTGCGTGCGTGTGTGTGTGTGTGTGTGTGTGTGTGTGTGTGTGTGTGTGTGTGTGTGTGTGTGTGTGTGTGTGTGTGTGTGTGTGTGTGTGTGTGTGTGTGTGTGTGTGTGTGTGTGTGTGTGTGTGTGTGTGTGTGTGTGTGTGTGTGTGTGTGTGTGTGTGTGTGTGTGTGTGTGTGTGTGTGTGTGTGTGGTGTGTGTGTGTGTGTGTGTGTGTGTGTGTGTGTGTGTGTGTGTGTGTGTGTGTGTGTGTGTGTGTGTGTGTGTGTGTGTGTGTGTGTGTGTGTGTGTGTGTGTGTGTGTGTGTGTGTGTGTGTGTGTGTGTGTGTGTGTGTGTGTGTGTGTGTGTGTGTGTGTGTGTGTGTGCGGGTGTGGGTGTGTGTGTGTGTGCGGGTGTGGGTGTGTGGGTGTGTGTGGGGGTGTGTTGTGTGGGTGTTGTGTGTGTGTGTGTGTGTGTGTGTGGGTGTGGGTGTGTGGGTGTGTGTGTGTGCGTCTTGTGTGGGTGTTTCATTTTTTTCTCTCTGTTTGTTTCTTTTGTTGGGGGGGACGAGGGGCACGGCAGGTGGGAGAATCAACCTCTGATTTGTGTGTGTCCCAGTCACATGTACTGAGTGAGAGCCAACAAGGGGACTCTGAGCTGGTGATGCTCTCCTTGGCCGATCAGGACCATGGGCCATGAAGGTTCCGGATGCTCCCCTTATGGCTCTGAATTGATATTAATGGCTGTGGGTCAAAAGTAGGTACATGTAGGTACCCAAAATGGGTTGCTCTGATACATGGAGAAAAGGACTAAGACCTGCGGTCCAATTGCTGGTCGAATTCTGACCCATATCCCTGTTGGATTCAATACCCTTGGTGTGTTTTCCAGACAAGTGCCGCAAGACCCGCACCTGCTAAATTGGTCCGAAGCCACGCCCGGACGAAGCCGCGAAGGGGTTGGTACCGGTTTTGGTTGGAATCAAAGGGACACGAACAGGACACCTACCATTTTGACACATACCCATTTGGCGGTCCTTAGGCCTCCAAATGGCATCGATCGGCGATAGAATCTTTGGGATAAGAATAAGAGGGTTAATAGTATACTACTGCCTCTTGCTTGGTGTCTAGCTTGCCTTTCAACCAAGAAACGGCTGAGTCTCTAGATTTCCAAATGTTCAAAGCAGAGCTGCTTGCTTCAATTTTCTCCCACCACTTAAGTGTCTCTAATAAAACAATACTGGGGCCAGGGAAACGGCGATTTTGAACATCACCTTGTAAGGCCAATTTGGACTGAGTTTCCTCTCACTTGCCCAAAGCGGACCCTTGGTCTACGTTCAGTCAAGGTCCCAAAAGATGATCCGCTCTTCTGTCCTTTGGTTGCAAGTGAGTGCAAGGTGACTTTTATGGTCATTTCCTTTGGTTGCAAGTGAGTGCAACAGGTGTTCAACAATCCCCTTCCTTGCCAGAAAGTGGCTGCCGAAAGTGGCCCTTTTCAAGGCCCAGTGGTGCCCTGAAGTCCCATTTTCGCAGGGGGGTCGCTTTAAAAACGACGAAACCACCATGTGCGAATGACTGGCACATGGGATCCCCCAAATCAGTCATTCAAAGAGGTCACTGAACAGAGAATTTGCCATTGGGGCCTGGAAAGTCTGGGAAGTCTGGAACGTCTTGCAGGCAGTTCATGCAGGACCTTGTGGCCTACGGTGGAGAAGACCAGGAGACCAAGACGCCATGTCTAAGGTTTGGCGTCCAATCCTGCCAAAGACCCCTGATTTTCCAGGTCCCCCGGTAGTGCCCTTTTACCCTTTTTTGGGGGGAGGGTCCCCCTACACAAATAGACTACAGAACAAAGGGTACCCCTTTTACTGGAGGACCTCATTTTGCTTGCTAGTGCCATAGGCAGGGAATGAGGGAATGAAGCCAGGGGTGCCCTCAAAGGAAACCACAAGGGATGTGTTTATAAGGGTTATTCACTCATCAGTTCAAGGGTTTCAACCGTGAGGGTCTGGGTCAAAATTAAGCTACCTGGGTATGGACCTCACTTTTTAGTCCATGGTTCCCCTTAGTTTTGGTTCCCGAACCAATGCGGCGGCTGACGGATTTCCCCCAACCCTCGAGGGTAGGTTTGGAGCCTGGTTTGGATTTGTTGAGGGTAAATGGGGTTCCCCACCCCGTTTCCAGCACCAAGCCACCGATTCGGCTCCAAACCACCTGTGTGGGGGGAGCTGAGTTTGGAGACTGGTTTAGTTTGGGCGCTGAATTCCTGGACTTTTGCGTCGCTAGAAGGATATCCAATGTTTGAGTTGTTGGAGTTGAGTAGCATTTTACTTCAACAACGTTAGGTTACTCAACTGAGTTGAAGCAACAAGTTCCTTAGCGTTTGGAAACTGAGCAACACGTTACTGAGCTGAAATGAGCAACTTCCCTGCTGAGTGTCCAAGCGTTAAGCTTGTTGTTCTCAGGACCAAGCAGATTACACTTGTTCTAGCAAGTCAACCAAGTAGCAAGCAACAAATCCTCAGAAGATGTCCTTAAGTGTCCTGACTGCTTGGAAGCCTCCCGCGAACAAGAGGCAAATGTGACTATGTGTCAATAGGGTCTCTTTCAGGATAGACTTGGGCCAGCTAAAAATAATATTTTTATCAGCATGCTCTTGCAAAGCAGGTTGTGTGTTGGAGGATCCTTTAACCCCACCCAGACCCCTCCCCCAACACAACTTGTTTCAGTCAAAACTTGTCCGTCTCCTCCTGATTTTACATGGATAGCTTTGCCTTATCTTCTAGTGTTTTTTTCTTGGCTGCAGAAACTGAGTGAGTCAGACCCAATGGATATGGATTGCAATAGGGGAGACATGCTGGACTGAGTGGCCCATTTTGGATTCGGGTCAGATTCGGAGACTCCAGGTTGTTCCTCAAATTCAACCACTCTGGTCAAGACACCCCGCATACTCCCTTCAGGAGCGCCTCATGAACAACCGCATCCTCTATACGGAGGCCGGAGGGATGACCAATTTGGGTATGGCTCAAAATTAAAGAGCTCGGGTTACGCGGGTTTTAGTCCTTGGTTCCATTTACCAGGGGCTCCATGTGTTTTTTCGCCCTCCACACTTGTTTATTTAACCCTTCCTTTTTTTCAACCCTCAAACCCTGCTGGGTGAAAAAAAAAGGCTCCCCCATTTACCTTTTGGTGCCATTTTGGTACCACTGTCTTGAGCCACCGCCATTTGAGAGACGAGGGATTAGCGAGTTTGGTCTTTTCTCGTTCCCTGAGTTCCGAAGTTCCCAGACTGTACATGGAAGACCATTTTTTAGGGACGAAAACAACAACACCCTCTGTTCTCCAACATTTTTTTGGAAAGACCATGTGAAGGTAAAACACGAGAAAGTTCGACTCTTTTCGGGCCACTCATGAAGTACCTGGATGCTATGGATTCAGGAACCAGCTGACAGCTGTTTTTTGGAACTAATTGGATCATACATTTGCGCTTGCAAATTGTGACATTTGACCTCCCCCGCTTTTCAGTCCTGCGTAGGGTGGGTGTTCCTTTCCAGACAACAAACTGCTGGCTTTAATGTCTAAATATAGTTGTTGTTTTTGCGGACCACCAAAGCGAGCCCTTGGCGCTTCCCACGTAACACTCCTTGCATGATCTTGCCTGACTTGTTCAAAACGAAGCTTTCGATTAATACCTCCCCACCTGATCCAATGTTAAAGGCACGTCATGGGATGCTGCTTGTGGAGTATACGTATCCTTATCCAAGAGTTTTTTTTGCGGGTTTGCAGGTTAAGTCTACTTTCTGTTCGACCAAGGATCTTCAAAATGGCCAAGTAGACATAAGCATGTGAATTTTATTTTGTTATTACAAGGATTATGCCATGATTTCCCACAACCATGTGCCTGCGTTGCGGCAAGCCCCAGCACCTCTTTCATTTGTTTGTCGCAGTTTCCCCTGGTTCATGTTGGTTTCATGTTGTGTTGTTTGTAGTCTTCCTGGCAGCCTGGTGGTTTTGCTAGTTTTCCCTGGCTTCAGGTTTGCCGCAAAAACTGATCTCAGTGGTCTATGAGCCTTTGTCTTGCTACCAACAAAACCACGGGAATCTACGACAAACAAATAACAGAGGTGCCTGGATCCCAAATCCAACTTGAACATGGGTGATTGTGACAACCATTTTGGTTGGTGTTTTCTTTTTTTTTACGGGTAGTTTGAGGGTCCAGGTGTTTGTTTTCGTCCTTCCCGAAAAAGCCGACTTTCTAGGGGTTGATTCCCCATTCTTTTAAACCATTATTCTTCTCAAAAACCGGATCGTTGTTTCTCGGATTCTGCTGGTTTTCTGAAAAGATCCGGATCCCTGGATTCAGAATGGTTAGACGTGTCCCCTAAAGACTTGGCCCGTTTTTTTTCTTATTTTTTTTTCCCGCTGGCCCGGGATGCTGCGCTTCTAAACTTCTCGCGCCTTAGGCGGGGATGAAGGCTCTGCGCCAGGGCCAGCAGCGGAACGAGGCGCTGCGACGCTAAGCGAAACAAACTCCCGGCCTCAACTCACCCAGGGGCTCCCTTTTTTTTTGACCCTTCATACTTGTTGTCGTTCGGAGGGTTGAAAAACAAGGTTCCCCCTCACCCAGCCGGGCGCACTTTGCACTTGCTCCCTTGGTGACTCTCCGTTTTGTTTCTTTTTGGCGGCCCGAAACGTGTGCACCTTTTTTTTGCTGGTCACTGGCCAAGTGAGTCAATCTACCCAAGAAAGGAATTCACCCGATAATTTGGGGGGGGGGGGGGTAACCTATGTTTAAGGAATGTTTAAGGGAACCACAGACCAATTCCCAGCCTCAAACTAACCGAACATCTAGGGGTTGATTCCTTGTCCATTCTTTTCAACCATCGTTCTTTCCAACAACCGGCTCCGTTTCACTGGCTTTCCGGAGGTTTTGTAGAAAGAAGGATTTCTGGAAAGAATGGGGAAGGTACCGCCAGAAGAAAGGGCATTCACCCGATTATTGGGGGGGGGGGCGGTAACCTATGTTTAAGGAATGTTCGAGGGAACCACCAACCAGAAGTTTGGAAAGCAATCACCCATGTTTATGGGTAGTTTGAGGGTTCAGGGTGTCTGCAAAGGACTGGCATATGGGTGCTCCCACCAAAACCACTGGAAAGTGGAATGCTGAGTCGCATAAGTTCCGCCCTTGAGGTCCCCTTTCGCTTCTTGAGCTGGACTTGATCGAAACTTTTTGGGATACCATTTTACTTCACCAGAATTAGCTCCCCTTTTATTGCTTTTTTGCTTTTTTGGGGTTTCCTTTGTTTTCCACTAACCAGGCAAACCATTGTTTTTTGCTGGGGTCCTAATTCCAGCCAAGTTTAGTGGTACAGAACAAGTCCCTGGACCTGTTTTGGCCCTCGATCGGAAGTGAGCAAGCAGCTTCCATCGGCACTTGGAAGCTTGACCTAATGCGCCTGCAAGTGAGGGCCCGGGTTCCGATTCGCCCGCATGAAAGCCAAGGCCAGGACCCAATTTGGATGATGACCATTGCACGGTACATGGCGGGGAAATATTAACCCAACCATTGTTTTCATGGTGGCCTACCTGAACCCCAGGGTTGACCTTCTCGAGGCTTGGAAATGAGGCCAAGGAAGGGGGGTGTGTGTTTTGAGGGTACCAGAAGACTTCAGGTTTGCCTCAGAATTTGGTATACCAAGGAGGGGTCTTGCGTTTTGACTTCAGATTTGCCCAGAATTTGGGTGCATTGTCCCTTTCTAGCTTAATTACCCTGCAGTCAAACAGTGGAGCCCTGGTTGCTGCAGGCCTCTTGTGGCATTACAACTCATTTTCGGGCGCAGGCTCCGTCGATTCGCTGGTATGGCTCCTGCCGTGGCATTCGCAAATTCAGAGACACCCAGGCATGTTCCGAAACAAAACACATGAAACACCAAAAGCAAAAGAATCAAGGCCCTTTTGGTTTTCCTTTTGGTTCCCTTTGAACACCAAACAATTGTGGCACCAACTCCAAAAAAGGGCATAGCTCATGGGGAAGGAGCGTCAGCCTCGTCAGCCTCGGACTCGAGTCCGATCTCGGCCAAGGAAAGAGTGCGTGGCAGAGCTCCGCGTATGCCCAGAAGTTCGTAGCGCATCGGTTGGTGGGAGCGATTCGACGTTTGGGGTGGGGCTGGGTTTCGCCTGGCCTTAAGGCCTTGGACATCCCTCCACCGCCCTCGCCATGACAGGTTTCGACGGAGTCTCGTGAGGAGAAAAGTTTGGGTTTGCTAGGCAAACCTGCATAAGCCTTGTTGTACCAAAACCGATCTGATGGGGCTTCAGGCTTGTCTGAGTTGTTCAAAGCGAATCGACCTGATCTGACCTTTTGGTCTTCCCTTTTTGGTCCATTATTAGTCATGGACCCAAAAGGTCAGCCTTTTTGTTCTGGGTCTTTTGGGCGAGTGAGTTATTCATGATTATACAAATCCGTAGGCTTAGAGGCTGGCACAGAAGCCGATCATTCAAAGGCGCCCCTAGCAAGAGCTTTAGTTTGATGGGTTGTTATCGGTGTCATTGGTTTCTCAGGGATTTGTAGGAGACAGTTCTCTTGTTTGTTGAGGTTCGCATGTGTTTATCTGTACATCGTGAATTTTGATTCATTGATCCATGTGTTTGGCATATGTGCGTTTGACGAAGGTGCTAAACAAAGTGTTTTCTGCATTAGGCCGTTAGCGCGTATAGGGTCAACATGTCTGACTTGGGCTTCGGGATGGTCATCTGGAAATGATTCTGCGCGCTCGCACTTGGTCACTTGAGCCACAATCAAAACCCGGGTACATGGAGGCTAGTAAGGGATAGTCCCAACCATATATAGGTCTGGCCCGCGTATTAAATTCTTTACATCGTCTTGAGTACACCTTTTTCGATATCTGGTTTTGAGTATGACCCACTTGTTCTTGTGTTCACTCAGTTGCCAGCCGACCTTTCGACCTTTTGGTTTTCACTGTTTGGTCCATAGAGGTCTCACAAGCTGATCACCTGGTATTTCTTGGTCCTTTGGTCGAGCGGAGTGAGTACACCTTGTGTGCTTGTGCCTTGTGCTTGGATGGCTCTAAGTGTCAGCGACAACCCAATCGGGAACGGGCATAAGTTCCAACCATCCCAACAGCAAGCCATTTGGGTCTGTGTTGCTTGAAGTCGGTAGCCCTTTGACTAGGTCCCCCAGTAGTGCCCTTTTACCCTTTTTCGGGGTGGGTTCCCCTACTAAAATAGACAAAAACCAAAAACAGTTGGTGCCCTTATTCTAACCTCTCTACTGGAGGACCTAGTTGATTTGCTTTTGGAACTTTGCGGGGCTCTCCAAGGAGAGGGAGAAGCAACTCTTCGGACACTACGGACTTGGCACCTCGGACTCGTTTTTTTCGTTCGGCCGGGCTTGGGAGTATCCCTGGACCAGGGGGTGGCCCTCTTAGCCTCTTTTTTTTTTGGGGCGGGGGGGGGGGGCGGGTGGGTGGGTTCTCTTTAAAACAAGACTGCTAAAGGAAGGGTGGCAAATCTTTGAGCCCCCATTGGTCTGGGTCGTTGATTCAAGTCCCAACATGCAGTTTTTTTGTTTTTTTTTTGCGACCTAAAGCAAAGGAGGAAATGCCTGGACACTCAAAATTCCAACTAAAACTGTGTTTTTGCGGCCCAATTTTAGTTGGCGATTCTTTTTTTTGGTAGGTTGAGGGTCCAGGTTGAATGTTGATTTCTGGAATTCCAATTATGGCAGCCCATTTTCATTGCGGGGAAGACTCGATAAATGGAATTAGGTCCCGGACCCCGCATTGGCCCCCTGCTACGCTTGGGATGTAAAGATATGTAAAGATGATCCCTACATTACCCGCCTTTAAAGGAAAAGCAAGGGCTGAATGAGGACCATCCTTAGGTATAAGCGTTATGGTGGTTATATGAGCCACAATCAAAACCCGGGTAGAGGAAGGTTAGTAAGGGATACTCCCAACCATAAATAGCTGCGGCCGCCTTCTTAATTCTTTACATGGATACCGGGTTTTGATTATGACTCATATGAGCCCCCATTGTTTTAATGGCAACTGAACCTCAGGGTGAAGTGGTCAAAGGCCGCCTCGGAGTAGTTGGGACAGACTTACGCCTCGGCGCCAGCGAGCTTGTGGTACGGTTCGGAATGAACCAGTCCGGGTGTTGAGAATGACCCAAAAACTAGAAAGACCACGAGGGATGTGTTTTGTTTTTCAAGTTTTTGTTCATCAGCAAGCAAGACATTCCATCAAGGCAAAGGTGGCAAAGGCCCCAAGAAGTCGGTGGACAAAGATAAAGGTGGCAGGGCCCTGCAAACCAAGACGGGGGCCAGCAGTTCGCGGATAAAACACTAGTCCCAAACAGCTGGCATTGCCAGGCCGACTTACCTTGGCACTTTTTGCCTTCCCGCTGTACCACAATTGTCCCTGTTAGCCAGTTAAGTTGTTGGAGGAGGTCCCATTGACTGGTCCAGTGATTCCTTGGCACTAGTGAGTTTCCCACTCATGGATTGTTTCCCAAGCGATGGGCTTGTGGCTCTAGGCCATTGGGGTTGACAGATCTACGTGCAATGGTTATGGTTGTGAACCTCCAACGCGGGTTTCCTTTTAACCTGGAAATTCAAAGTTTCCTGAAAGAAGGATTATTGCTCACAATTAAGAGCTGAATCCCATTTTTGAATATTTTTCATAGTTTGAGACTCCAGGAACACACAATTGGATGCCTTTGCCTCACTATGTCTATCCTCTTTTAGGCTTTCCTAAACATCAAGCGGTGTCTCTCAAAATTGGGGTCCCGCAACTAAAATGGCTGGTTTTCCCTGTAACTCAACCCAACAGAGTGTCTACCATTTAGGGAAGCTGTTTGAACAGGAAATCTCGTCCAAGGGCTCAACCGCCACCCCCTTTCTCCCTAGTACCCGCGCCAAATAAATGGTGATCTACCCTCTACCCTTTTTATGAAAGACCTAGAGTCTCCAGGATTCTTGGAAAGAGTCTCGGATCAGAGTCTCCATGACCCCTAGAAAGTGGGTCATAACCCTTTGATTTTGGGTAATGACCCCATTTTAAGAGGGTGATGGAGACTCCAGGTATGCGTTTTATGACATATTCTGGGGGTTGATTCCCCATCCTTTTCAACCATTGTTCTTTTCAAAAACTCGCCGTTTCCCTGGGTTTCCTGAGGTTGTCTAGAAGGATCCCTAGAGAGCATGGGGAAGGCTGTGCATGGCCCAGAGGCGCACGGTGGGGCCTTTGAATTTAGGGAAAGTCTTTGCAGCTCCGGTGGGAATCCAGAACCCACACGCAGGCAGACCCGGCAGAACCCGCACGCAGGTTGCTTGGGTCGCGTGATCGCAGCCATAGAGGCTCGAAAACCGGACCGAATCGAAAACATGGAAGCTGAACAGAAGGGTTTTGGAAGCCTGAAACGAGACAAAAATGGTTAGAGTTCGGCAATTCCAGAAATTTGGGGTTGCACTACGACACCTTGAAGTTGGAATTTTAGTTGGGCCCAGGGAGTCCGTTTGGCTTCGGCGCTATCGTGGGTTGCCAGTGGTCGTTCAACGCCGATCCGGGTCGGTCAGTGTTCCTGGTGCAAAGACTGCAGAGCGGGGTGGTTGAACACGTGTGAGGGGTTTGCGAAAACTTCTCAGTTGCCCCAGTTGCAACCAGTGGCTTCCGCTCTTTTTTTTCCAACCTTTTTTGGGAAGGGTTCCGATTCCTTTAAAGTCAAAAAAAAAAAACACAAAAGGATGCCCTCTGATGCCCTCTTTTTTCTCATCACTGGGCATCTGAGTTGCTCAAAGCCCACCTTCTGACCTTTTTGTTTTTCCTGTTCGGTGAATGTTTGGTCAATATTCCAAAGGGTGATCACCTTGTATTTCCAGGTCCCTTGGGCAAATGAGTATAATACTACTTTGGGGAGCTGGCGGTTTTTCCTTAAGCCACCCTTACAATTCACTTAAAACTGGGTTATTGCTCAAAATTATGTGGTGCGCATTCCCTTTTGTTAGAGGGGCATATTGAGGGTCTTCAAATCACCAAGCTGAAATTCCAGGTGGTCCTGCCAATTGCTCACCGCATGCAATTATGTATTGTATAGTTCCATGTAGGTACAGCATGCACATATAGACGAGCAATACAAATTCCACGCACCTTGCGTGTCCTCGCGCTGAGCGCTCTGCGCTTCATGTGAGCTGCGCCATGCGCTGGGGACCGGAGTGTTGCTGCACGGCAGAGCCGGAACCGCCTGTGGAGCCAATCCAGACGAACTGTTTTTCGGAAGCCCCGGACGAAGAGGAGAAGGAAGCAACTCAGCGAGAACCTAGCTCCTTAACTTTTAGGAGTTTAAGGTTTTTTTGTGGTAGTTTCCATTTAACCCACAAGCCAGGGATCTGAAAACGGACAAGAGCCTCTCTGAGTCTCTTTCTGAGTTTCTGAACTGTGACTCTTTGCAAACGTTTTGGACGTGTGGGATACGAAAAATAATACTCAAAGATGACTTAAAACAAGACCACCAGGAGGAAAGACAGGTGATTTCCACAAGAAGTGCGTCCAAACCAGTTTCTCGACACTTGGGATTACCAGTGCGGCAAGCAGTAACTGTTGCCAAATATTTCAGGAAGCGAAGGAATCCTCACAAATCAACCTTTCAGCTTGCTACAAGTTGGAGCACGCAACCCAGCCCAGCTTCCTTTTGGTTTTGTTTCTCCCTCCCGGAGAATCATTGTTTTGTTTTGGACCACTGTGGTGGCAAACAATCACTTAGCTTTTTGTTGCCCAACACTTCCAGAAAGTGAGCCCGGAGTTGCCAAAACGTGCCAGCAGTGCTCTGGCACTTTTCGGGGGGCCTGGCAGGGCGGGCGTCACGCGTCGCGGCAAGGATACGGAATGCTCAAGCATTCACCTCTCGGCGCTTAAGAAGGAGCCCGCGACCCAGCTGAATGGCACCCTATGTTTGGCCAACGTCAGGTGTGTAGGTTGCAACCGTGGCTGTTGCGGGGGCAACTGTGGTGAGTTTTTTTTGTGCTTATAACCGTGGCTATAACGGGCAACTGGTCAGTTACTGGTATCCATGGCATTCTAATCTTCTGATTTGACGTTGGCTGAACATCCAAGTTTGTAAACTCGAGGAAATTACCCTGATCGCGGAGGAGGAGCTTGTTCGGGGCGTCTCTATCCATGCAACTTTGCACGGCGCTGGCTCCTTGTGGCGGAAGTCCCCCTGTGATATGTGTCTCGGCCTTTTTTAGTGGCGCCTTTTCCTTTGTTTTGGTGTGTGTGTGTGTCTTTAGCTGGGGGTTTCGTCCAAAACTACATATGAATATAAGCTAGACATACAGTATTTTGGACCAAGTTAAAGTCATCTACTCCAAAAAGTGTGCCTGTCTTGCACGGAACTCCACCGGGCTGAGGAGTGAGGCCGAGAAAGTTGGGCTGTGGGAGAAATCGAGGCGCGTCGACGAGTTCGACATGTTCTTGTCGCACGCCTGGGCTTCTTCTGGCAAAGTCAAGTTTTTGACCTTGCTGCTGCTTTGCCAGACTTAGCTGAGCTACGCTTCCTGTTGCCTTTTACTCCCTGCAAGCTTTTTGACCTGCTTGTTTGCTGGGGTAGACTTAGGATACATTTTACATTTTACCAGTGACTCAAAGTGAAGCAAACAACAAAATATGCATTCTATAACGGGCCTAACACTAATCATGTTTGGTTCATGTTTCCTTTCGCTGTTTCACCTTTTGCCACTTCTTGGCTGATCCGGGGACCCTCATATGCTGGTTTAAAGGGAAACTAAAATAATGGGGTCATTGACCAATTTTTAAAGGGTCATGGAGACTCTAGGTATGTTGAAGGGACCAAATTGTTTTGAGAAATTGCTTCGCTTCCTTTTCAAACTTTGAGCCGGCAAACCGTGATCGCATTTTTACTCGCCGTTTGGCCCAGGTTGTTCACTGGTGGCGGGTATTCTTTTCTTTTCTGGGCTGCTGCTATGTTGAGCGCGAGCTGGAGACATTGCCAGACTTAGCTCACGCTTTCTGTTCTTGCTATTTTGATTTTGCGACTTTTGCCTTTCTATATTTCCACAAAAACAAGCCCAAACAAAAAAGCACAAAAACAACAAACAAAGAACGAGTTGACTTCTGGCAGCGTAGCCGAGGCTATACATGCTCGATGCGCTCCCAATGCCATTCGTCCTGCCTGTGGACATGCCAGAGTTTTCTGGAGACTGCCCGGTCGGGGTGTGGATGCGCCTTGCCCGATCGCACATCGACCATGCGTTCTTTTTGCGCTGTTTAACCGTGAATGTTCAGCTTTCCTCTGATGGCTTGCAGCCCGGAGATTGAGTGGGCTGATGTCCCATCAACCAACCCTCCAGCACAACCAAGGCTTCAAATCTCCAAAAACAAATCAACCCTCTAGCATAACCAAGGATTCTAATCCCCAAAATGAAATGGAGGGGCTGAATGTTCCTCGTTTATGGTTGCGTTTGAGTTCCGAAAGTTTTAGGGCCCAAGGCGGTCCTGTGGTCCATGCGTTTGTTTTGTTTGGCGGAGAGGGAGTGGAAATGGGACAGCCCGGGTTGAATCACCCGGCCTACTCAAGGGATGCAGTATAAAGCCCTATGACCGCCGGGCTTTTTTGATTGGTGGCTCCCAACGATCCGGTTCCTTAGCTTTTTGGGTTTTTAGTTGGTTTAGTTGTGGTTTCCATTTATCTCACAAGTGAAACTGTTAGCCAGGGATCTGCAAGCAGCCCAGTTTTGGTTTTGGCCAAGTCAACCTGTTCCGCTCAGATGTGATGTGCTTTGCCAGCGGCCTTTGGGTTTAGAACCGCTTTGGATGTACCGCTTTGGATGTGGCCACAAATGGATGGGTTCCTGCTCTTCTCTACCGCTTTGGATGTGGCGAATCTGTGGATCCACCCCTGTAGATTATTGAAAGAGTATATACTAAACGATTAACAGGGGGGAGAACAGGTAAAATCCACAAAAAGCGCACCCTGGATGGCCTCGAAGCCACCAATCCAAATCACCGAGAGGGAAACGGATCATGACAACTGAGGCTTATCTTCGGCTTCATTGCTCAGCTTGCTGGCTTGGCATTGAGCCCTTATCTGCCTCACAGAATCATGGCAGACTTAGTTAGCTTTTGGTTCAATGGCAGGAGTTGGGGTGTGTTCCAAGACTAGTTCATATGTTTGCTTAGACTCAATGTGAAACAAAAACTCTGGAAGCTGAACCTTATTTTTTTCTCGCGACCCATCTTTTGGAAGAGGGTGAATGGGAAGAAGTCTCCTCAGGGGGCCCCCGAGAAAGCCCACAACACAGGGGCTTCACCTCATATGTTTGGGTTGCAATCACCCATCTTTCTAGGGGTAACTTCCCCATTCTTTCCTGGGATCCTTCTTTCTAGAAAACCACCAAAAAGCCTAGGGAAATGGCTGGTTGTAGAATGGGGAATCAACCCCTAGAATCTTTAAGCCAATGTGGAGGGTCCAGGTTTCTTCATTTTCCCTTAGCAATCCAAGACGTGTTTCTTTGCCCGGGAAATGCAGTGAACATCCAGGACCAAAACCTGCGGCTTTTTGGTAGGTTAATTTTGACCCATACCCGTCTAGCTGGATGTTCGACCTTCAACTTGATGCTTGCACCATCAAGTTGGAACGCAGGGTTGGGACCGCAAATGTTGGTCGAACCTGTCTGTCTCTTTGCTTTGAGTCTTCCCACTAGCCAGCAAAAAGCCAAGAGACGCTTTCCATCGCGACCCAACCAACAAGCAAGAGCAAGCAAGTGCATTCCCCTTCATGTGCAAAAGGACGGTGTGACTGCTTCCTGGACGTGGTGAGCATTAACCAGCACGATCCTTGGACGTGAGGGCAACCTTTTTCCTCTTTAACTCTTTTACCCCTTTTGGGGCTCGTCTTCAAACATGTTTCTTGTCGGGTAGACAAGGTATGGAGCAACAGGACATCTTCTGTCTGGAGTACCCCAAAAAAAATCGGCCCAAGTGCGGATTTCCAGGAAGAACCTTTCGGCAAAGCGGCTAGCTCTTTCGGCTCTCCTTCATGTTCGCTGGTTTCCTTTCTGATCTCCTTTCGCGAGAAGGGTTTTTGGCTGGAAATGCTTGGGCAACTACCTATGAAAAACCTAGTTACCCCAGGGGAGGCGCTGGGTTTTGCCAGGCGTTTTGGGTTTGAAGGATGAGCTGGTGGTATCTATCTAGTCCCCTATGGGACTGGGGCCTTGTGGGGGCTGAAGGGGCTGAAAGGGAGTCCCTAAAGCCTTCAGCTGAATCAAAACCCGGAGATTGATGAAAGTTAGGAGAATCCCCAAGCGTAACAAGCGGTGCGGCCGCCGTTCTGGGAGTACGACTCGTACGACCATTTGAAGACCGGGCTTTGATCATGACCCAGCCGTTGGGCAACAAATGCAAGAAAAGCATCGATTTGTTGGTTGCCTTGCTTTTGAAGGAGGGGTGCACCTCAAAGGGGCCCTTAGCACATGGAAAGACCCCCTAGCCCTTTCAACGTACCTATTCTGCGCCCCTTTAGCATCCAGTAAAGTCTCCTTTGCGAAGCCCTGTGGTTTGAGATTCCGGAAGAACCGGCCACCCAGGTGCAACCTGCGGATTCCGGAGGATTCCGGCCCCTGTTTTTGTTTGTTTGGAAAGACAAAATCCGATTTCTGGAAAGTCAAGCACCCAAAAAGGATGCCATGGCCACTGGGCATCTGAGATGGAATTCGCCAATGATTTTGGGTTGCAATCACCCATTTGTAGACGGATCTGGGTGATAAGAAGTATCCCCTATATAGAACCCGGTTTGTGAGGTTGGTTTTGAAGGAAATTGGGACCCCCAAGAAATATACGCCCCGGCCTGAGCAACATCTCGCGGAAGTCCGCAGCGAGCCACTCGAACCACCGAGGGCCATAGTTGGGCATTTTGGGCTCCTGGAGTCTCCGAGACCGACCCTCAAAAAATGGGCCGGGTCATTACCCAAAATAAAGAAACGGGTCATGGACCCATTTTTAGTTCGGGTCATGGAGACTCCAGGCATAGCTCTCAGCTGTAGAAAAAGAAGGGGTACCTGGACCTTCAAACTACACAGGGGAACTCACCCCGTAAATTAGGGTTGCAAGAGCCCAATTTTAATGAAAGCCGGAAGTTCGAAGCCTCCCAAGAAGACGCCACAAATCGGATGGTTCCCTTTTGGTCCCCCTTGAAAGCCATAAGGGGTAGCCTAACACGACGTCAGAGGATCCGGTGCAGATGCAGCGGGGGATCTATGCCCTTGGGGGCTTTCTGAGCCGGTCCAAAGAGCTCCGGATCTTGTGGAGTCCGCCGCTATTCACCAGGCACAGCCAAAAGGAGATGGGTGCTGGGGTCTTTGTTGCCAGGCTAGTAGTTCGCCACCTGGGTTTTAACACACAAATAACAAGGTGAACTCTACTGAACAGGGGCGTGTAAGTAGGTTATGTTCTAGGTGAGCAAACAACTTGCTATGTATACCCAAGTACCCTCCCAAAAAGCAAGCATGGAACCTGCGCAGGAACCGATCCTCTCAAAAAGGAAAATAGTGTTCTAGGAACCCCTGTGCAGGTTCGATTTGTTTTTTGGGATGGTTCTTGTTTCACTTTTGCAGACCCCAGGAAAGGGCTCAAATAAGCCAGTATACGCAAAGGTTGGATGTCTTAAGGCCCACATTTGGTGATAGGGAAATCCTCTTCAATTGCCCAGGTACAAAAAGGCCAGTCCCAACCATTTAAGAGGGAACACTTCACAACCAAGCAAGCAAGCAAGCAACCAGGAAGCAACCAACCAACCAAGCAACCAACGCACCAACCAACCAACCAACCAACCAACCAACCAACCAACCAACCAACCAACCAACCAACCAACCAACCAACCAACCAACCAACCAACCAACCAACCAACCAACCAACCAACCAACCAACCAACCAACCAACTAACCAACCAACCAACCAACCAACCAACTAACCAACCAACCAACCAACCAACCAACCAACCAACCAACCAACCAACCAACCAACTAACCAACCAACCAACCAACCAACCAACCAACCAACCAACCAACCAGTCCCAGGCTGTGCGCAGAAACAAGAATACATACACACACAACCTGGGCTCTGGGCTAGGCTTTGGTGCATCTTTGAGCTGGCCGCATACCGTGCCGCCAATCCGTCCGGCGAGATTCGCCTGATGCCGCACTATTTCGCGCCTAAGCGAATTGAGGTGATCGTTTTTGGTTCGTATTTACCTGGACCCTCAAAATTCCAGCTGAAAACTGGGTGGTTGCTCCACCTGATTGTGTGAATTCCCTTTTTTAAGGGTAGTTTGAGGGTCCAGGTCGTCAGTTTTGGATTTGGTTATGTTTGTTTTTTCCAATTCCTTTGGTGAAATACCATTCAGTTCGAGCCACACATGGCGTTTAATTTGTCGTCTCTTCCGTGCAGACCAGGTGGTGGTGGCTTTTCTCGCGCTGTTTCTGGACTTGGTCTTGGCGATGGCTCTATTGGGCCTCCGGACAGTCGAGTCAGGCGATGAATCTTGGGCTCACTTCCTCTTCATGTTCTTAATCGTATCTTGGCTAGGCTCCCCAGTGCCGTTTGACCGTTTCTTGCTTTGGTTGGGAGGGTTCCCTACTAAAATAGACTACAGAAAAGAAAGGGCACCCTTATTCTAACCCCTCTACTGGAGGACCTAGTTGGCGGTTCTCAGCCATAGCTTGGTTTGCTCCGACTTTTACCAGCACCCCCCCCCCCACCCAATACAAATGGCTCCCAAAATCGCGTTTAAGGAAGGCCACTGGATAGTTGTGGGGGGGGGGAGTACTAGTAGAGTTTAATGGATGGCTGTGGGTCAAAACCAATGGGATCCCATTTTGGGGTAGGTGAATTCACCACCCAGTTTAGGCTTCCTAACCACCTTCATTTTAGGCTTCTTATTTTAGTGGTTGGATTGAATGGGATGTTCACTGGGGCTAACCGATTGGGCTTTGGATTTTGAAAAGCCCATGGCCACATGTCATGCAGGTAGAAAGTCCCCACTTCGCGCCAGTTCGCCCGGGCCGGTTACTCTTTACCCAGGCTTCGATTCCCAGCCCTGGGAAAATCGTTTTTTTTGCTTCTCGACTCATGAACTATGAAGAGTTCAAATGTCAAGGGATCTGTGGGTGTTTTTTTGTTGTTTCCCTCAGTATGCACAGTTCCAATTTCTTGGCTCCCATCCTGTTCCTTAGCTTTTTGTTGCCTTTTAGTGTTCAGTGGTAGAGTCCATTTTGCCCCCTAAAAGTTAGCCACTTTTCGCGGGGGCTCTGAGGGCAGCCCAGATGTCAGCAAGGGATCCGTGGGCAATCTGAGGTGCTTGGGGCTGTGCATCTCGGCAGAAGGGTCAGCTTGCAAAAGCAACGGCTGATCGAGCAGTTGGAAAGCTTCACGCTGGATGGCGCGGGCTGCCGCTTAGAAAGTGACCGGGACTTCATCTACGAGGCAGTGAAGCAGTGGTATCCCGACTCAGGTGGCTTACTCTCGTGTTTTTTTTTGGGAGAGTGTTTCCCTTCCAAAAATGGCAGGTACTGTGGGTGGTGGAAGTCCTGCACCACCTAATAAGCCATGGAATGATGATTCGTCTGTAAATATCAACAAAGCATGGGTTTCCCATGGCTTCAAAGTGGTGCAGGATTTCGTCCAGCCACAGAACCCCCCAATTGGTGGTTTGGCTTGGCTTGGAACTGGGGAATTGAAACCTCTCCAGTGAACCACCAAACTTTATTACTAGGGGGGTGTTCCCCTTCAAAAGTGGTCTGATATTCCACTAAACCTGGACCAAAACACCGTCAAGTTTTAAATAAACTGGGCTTGGTTTTCATCTGGGGTAAACCCAGAATCGGACATCGCCCTATTCATAAACGGGGGTTGGCTTCATAGGTCGACATAGGGAAGCTGACAAGATGTGAGCTAGATGAAGCTTAGTAAAGGACAGTAGCCATAAATCGCTGCGGAGATCCGCCTTCCTAATTCTTCACATGGTTCTGGGATTACGACCATTTTAGTAGCGGACTTTGAGCAAGTGACTCATGTGCCGTTTTCTGCTGAGATCCACTTGGAGAGTCCCTTCATGAGCCTTGGGCTCTGGGCTTAGGTATGGCGGCCTGGATCAGTTCACCGACTTTGTCCGAGGCCCCTTGCGAGGACAGCTGCTCAGATGCTGCTCGCAGATCCCTGCAGATTTGCTCTTGGATACTTGGCTGACCTTTGATTGGATCTTAAGCCTTTCACTTTTTTGGAGGTCGCTCCCCAACAAGCCAACAAGTTAACTGCCGTCTCCTCCAAACCTATTTTTTCATTTCAGGGTAGACTAGAAATGAAACAGTGTTTGAACAAAGCATGTTTTGTGTGCCCCAGATTTAGTAGCCAGCCAACCCGCGAAAAGTGTAGTTTTGCAGGGGGCAACAGCCACCAAGGTTATGTCCTTGCCCCTCGTAGCCTACAAAGCGGAGTTTTTGCTCGCAATGTGGAAGGGAGGCGTGCCAGGCATCATCATGGGTGAGCTGGTTAAAATTCAATGTCCAATAGTTGTGTAAACCTAGTCTCCATGCGACCCCTTCAAAAATGGGTCCATGACCCCTTTCTTCTGGGTAATGACCCCATTTTTTAAGGGTCATGGAGACTCCAGGAATGATCTGGAAAACCTCAAATTGTGGCTTGGATAGACGTGTTTGGGGAGATCCGCTCGGTACTTATGGAGGGTTAATGAGGAAAGGCCCTCAACCACCAATGATTAGCCAAACCACCAACTAGGGAAGCTGAAATGATGCTGAAAGCTACGATGCCTGCCAGGCAACATCTTGATGGCGTACTTTTGCAGTTCCATCCTGGGCTTCGGGCTTTGGACGGCCTTCATAACCAGCGTGGGGCTGTACACAGTGGACTTCTTCGCCAAGCCAACTCGTTCAGGAATCTCAGAGCCACGCGCCAACCCCGCGTAAGTGATGGTTAATGAACGGAGAATTGATGCGGCCGCTCTGGTCTGTTTGTGTTGCATTGTTCTGGCTGAACCATCTGAATACGAGGTTTTGATTATGACTATTTGTCGATTGCATCCTTGTACCTGGAGTCCCTTTAGACATGGGTCCATGACCTCTTTATTTTGGGTATTGACCAACCATTTTTTCAGGGTCGGACGGAGACTCCAGGTACTTGTTTTTTGCCCACAGCCATTCTGCGACCCTTGCAAAGGCTCAAAAAGAAGCTATTTGAGGGCACGAAAAGGAGGTTTCTATCAGGGGTCGCCCCCATAAGAAGGCGCCACGAGCGTCTGGACTTGGAGTTTCTCACCCAAAAGTTCATTTTCTGAACAAGACAGTTGAAAGGTACGACCCCAATTTTTACGGGTCATGGAGACTCCAGGTACATGTGGCTGCTGAAGCTAAACTCTTAGCAGGGTAGCAGGAAGCAACCGAGTTTGGGGGCATGACCCCTTGATTTTGGGTAGTGACCTCATTTGTTAATGGTCATGGAGACTCCAGGTACTTGTTTTTGACCAGCCATTTGGCAGAACAACACGGCCGGACCGGCCGGCCAGCTGGCAGGACTTCTGCTGGACTTCTGCCAGTCCTTGGCCATCGCTGCGTTGACGTCTGGGACTTATTTCTCGGGCTATGTGCTCGACATGCAGGCGCGCCAGGGCCACGCGGAGATGATTGTTCTTTGGGCAACTTGGTTTTTGTAGAAGTTTCGGATTTCGGGGCCCCCAGAGCCCCAGAGATTGTTTTTAGCTACTTTTAGACATTTGGACGTGTGTTGTTGTTTTTCTTGTATTTTTCAAGGGATTCAGGATACATCCCTGAAGTCACTGAACTTTGAACAAGGGAACACCCGGCCACCTAAGGTAACTTTAGCCTGCCTGAGCGTGGCGTGGTTTTGCTGGGCTGTGCGCGATGGATGGCTGATAGCGCCATTTATCGGCCTTCCCTTCCAATGCAAGCCGCCGACACCTGAATGATGATGATGATGCCATAGCCGCCATATAACCATGTATGCCCGCCGCCCTTGCCGCCGCCGGCAATCATGCCGGAAGCTAACCCGCCCTTCCACGCCAGCCGCCGCCATACGCCACGCCCGCCGCACACGCCGCCGCCGCCTTCCATGCACGCCGCCTTCACGCCACGCCGCTTCGCCGCCGCTTGCTTGTAACCATACTTCATATTGCACCTTATGCTTGCATACTTCACTGTATATGCCATGCATGTATAGCCTGCTTGTATGCCAGCACCATTGTGCTTATAACATGGTAGCCAGTTGCAGCGCGCGCCGCCATGTTGCCGCCATAGCCATGGATGTAGCGCTTCTGTGCGAAACGCCGCCATGGATGCCTTGCTGTACCTTAACCATGCGTAGCATACTTCGTAACCATACGCTTGGTAGCCGCCGCCGCCGCCGTAGCCGCCGCCGTAGCCGCGCTTCGCCGTAGCCATACGCCATACGCCATGTATCGCCATGCCATGGCGCCATGCCATGTGTGCTTGCGTGCGTGCCAGCAGCCAGCAATATGGCAAGCGCTTCTGCTTAGTGCCTTCTTTATTATTGCTTATTGTGCTTGCATTGCTTCATGCTTCGCTTCATGCTTCCTTGTTAGCCATGCCTTTGTTCATGCTTGCTTGGCACTTGTTAGCAACCATTGACATGACGTGAATCTAAGTTTTCCCCGGTGTATTGGCAATGTGCTTACACCTTTGCATACGGTGGATGCTGCTTGTGTGCTTCAGTGTATGGCTTGCTTGTATGCTTTGTTGCGTAATATGTGCCGTAATAACAGCAACCATGTTAATAGTAGCCAGCAGCATAAATTATTAATAGTGCCATCTGTCATCATCACCAAATCTGCATCGCATGCATATGCATCTTAAAATAGCAATGTCATCATAGTAAGCAAATATAAATACTTAGTAATAAATGTAAATAACAAGTATGCGTATAAATATAAGTAATAATCATCCCCACCACCACCACCACCACCACCACCACCACCACCACCACCTGCTACCGCCACCACCACCACCACCACCACCACCCCCACCACCACCACCACCACCACCACCACCACCACCACCACCACCACCACCACCACCACCACCACCACCACCACCACCACCACCACCACCACCACCACCACCACCACCACCACCACCACCACCACCACCACCACCACCACCACCACCACCACCACCACCACCACCACCACCACCACCACCACCACCACCACCACCACACAGAAATGGTTCTTCCAAAATGACCCAGTAGTCTGATGACAGCGGAGTTTCACATTGGCGCGTCTGGCTTTTTGTTTCACACGATGACGATAGCAAAGGCAGATAGTGCCAGCTTCCGTTGTCGCCGCTTTTCCATTTTTTTGGGGCAGCTGCCGTTGTTGCCCCTTTGTCCACTTTTGAAAATGGGAATTGGTGGGAGAAACGTCAAAGGAAAATCGGAGTGATCCCAGAGTAGTTCCCTTTCCCCGCCTACCTGCGTTCCTTTTGCCTGGAAAGGGGCTCCCTTTAAGATCAAACAAGTGTTGGCTACGGCAATCCGGGCTTCTGAGGCGAAAGAATGTCACGTCAGAAAACTTGCGAATCGTCGACATAGCTTGTTGCAATTGCCAGTTGCTGTAGCTGAATTGCCAACCTATGCCATTGTTGGTGCCAACCTGTAATAGATGTGTATATCATATGAATTATTTATATACATGTTAATATATATATATATATATACTCTTCAAGGGAACTTCCTATACTTCGCCCACCCACATGAAAAATTATTCAACGCGTCAACTGGTACCAACCTACCTGAATCTCTCTCGATGTCCAGCTGCGCATGTAATGTACATGCCCGGATTCTCAGCGTGGAATCGGGCGAGCGGCTTTGGGAAGGGGATCCCCCCCAAAAAAAAGTCCGCAGGAAACTCCGGAAGCTCCGGAGGAATAATAGACCCGTCCTTTTAGCTTCACCAGAATGAGCTCCCCCTTTTTGCGTTTTTTTTTGGGGGGCTTTTTTTGGGGGGGGGTTCCTTTGTTTTCCACCAACCAGGCAAAAACTATATGTTTTTTTTTGCCGGGGTCCTAATTCCAGCCAAGTTAGGGGGTGGTCACCAACGAAAGTAACAATTCCTCAAAGGGGGCACGCGAGGGGTTGATTGGTTCGGGGTGAGTCCAGTTGTCATTCCAGCTTATGATGGAACAGTTGGCTGTGAAAGCAACGACCATTGGGAGCTGTTCAGTGACACCCTTCTTGGGTGTTCAACTTAGCAGGTTACAACAATGGTTTTAAGGGCACGAGCACCCCAGTTGCCCACCAGTTGCAACCATGGTTATAACCCATTTGCGCCCTCGCAATTCCCTGAAAATGAGTTGTTTCATTCCGGTATTCTTTTCTGGGTAGTTTTTTTCGGGTCCAGGTAATTGAGTGGGTTGATCCAAGTTCTTCCGTACTCAGTTTGCTGTTCCCATGGGTCAACCCAACTCGATTTCGGGCTCGGATCTTTAAGTCACTTCCTGGCTTTTGGCCATCCTTGGGTCGGTTTGAGTCAAGTCGACGGCTGGCTCGTGTTGTACTTGTACACTAGGGCTCTCGGCGGTTCAACCGCGGGTGGGTCATCGAGTCGACGGCGGCCTTGCAGTGGGGGATTAATTGAAGCCTTTTGGGCTGGGGACATGTGGGTGGTCAGACATAGGTACCCAAAATCGAAAATTGGGGAAAAAAAACTACAACCTGCGGTCCCCTGGTGGCTGAATTGTGAGCCACACCCATACCCATGTGATTTGTCCTTGGCTTCCTTAAATTTTGAGGTGTTGACGGTAATCCTTCCCTTTAGGCGGGTTTCGCTTTCGAATCTCGCAACATTGAGCCGGGAGTTGTTTAGAGAGCAACCTTCAACCACCAGCAATTGCGATTTCTCCGGCTAAGGTTGATGGATGCCTCTTTGATCAATGTGCCTACCCCTTTTCAGATAGCTTGCAACCATCAGCTTGGGCCATTTTGTGGGATTTTTGTGGAAGGGGAGATGTGGTTTAAGAGCCCAACCGAGTAGATGTACCCCCTAGCATCCTTTTGGACGGATAGGGAAGCTGCTTTATAGGTGCTTTTCCTTCTGGTTTCTGATGAAATTCAACCCACAAAAAGGGAACCAGCTCAAAGACACGGGACAAAATACCCGGTGATAGTCTGTATTAAAATATATCAAGGTGCCATTTGGGGCGCCTTGTGTTTTTTTGCCAGAGCCCCATATGCCCTTCATGGACCCTTGTCGAGGTGCGTGAAGTGTCCCTTGTCCGCTCACGGACGCCCAAAGTTGCGTCGCAGCCGTAGGCTCAGGTTGTGATCATTAATTGAGTCTATTTGGGGTCATAGTAAGGGCTATATTGGTTTGTAGCCATCTTCATAGAAGCAGTTCGTGCGCTGCTTCAAATTTTTAAGCAATAAGAATTATCGAGCCGATAGCTCGCCAAACGGGGCATGCGCTCCGCGGATTGTGCATGCTGCACGGCAGGGAATCTGCATGTGGAGACAATTGAGGAGACCGCACATCCGGAAGTTGAAACCCATCTCGGGGAGACAGAGAATAAATCCTCAGGAATGAGCACCCCGTCGGATGCTCCCGCTATGACGGATCACGTGAGTATGCTGATCGAAGATGATCATCTTGTTCGAGGCATCTCAATCCATGCAACTTTGCGCAGCGGAGGTTCTTTGTGGAAGAAGTCCCCCTGTGATATGAGTGAAGCGGAGAAAGTTGGCCTGTGGCAAAAATCGAGGCGTGTCGACGAATTCGACATATTTCTGTCACATGCTTGGGTCAGTTCTGGCAGAGCCAAGTTTCTGGCCTTGCTGTTCTACACTGGCAGCGGATATTCTTTCCTGTTCTGGGCTATTGCATTGGTGTGCTCTAGCGGACTATGCATGTGTGATGTGCTGCCAATGCCATTTGTCCTGCCCTTGGAATTGCCGGAGTTTTCTGGCGACTGCCCGCTAGGGCTGTGGATGTTTCTTATTTGCCCAAAGCAAACCAACTTTTTGACCTTGGATGTTCATTATGCCGGTCCACTTGCAAGGGCCGGTCCACTTGCAAGGGCTGTTTGGCCTTGTTTGTTGGTTATCAAGTTGTTTCCAGTCGAATTTCCGAAACGTTGAGCTCTTATTTTCCACTGCCTGTGGTTGCGACTGAGGCTGATATTTAGCTCCATGGCGCAGCTTGCTGGCTTGGCTTTGAGCCCTTACTTGCCCCATAGAGACTTGAATGCCATTTGGTTGGATTGTTATCCCAGTGACCTTGAAGGTAAGTTTGAACCAGCAACTTTGGTTGAACCCCAGTGTTGGAGATCTGCATTTCCCCACTCGCCAGCAGTGAGTTTTGTTTGGCGTTTGGGGCAACAGCAGGAAAGTGCGACTGCTTCTTGGACGTGGTGAGCATCAATCAGCATGATCCTGCCCTGACGAGCCGCGGGATTTATGCGCTGGGCGGTTTTCTGAGCCGGTCCAAGGACAGAATTCGCCAGTATCGCCAGTATTTCCCGTTTTGTTGCGGGCTTTGACTCATCACTTTTGGGCCCCAAGAGTGAGTTTCCCTTGGGAGGGTGACTTTTTGCCAGGAGCTGCGTATCCTGTGGAGCGCGCCGCTCTTCACCAGGCTTTGGCACCTGGCCTGACTAAATATGTAGTGTTGGTCGAGGCTTGGAAACCGGTTTCGTTTTGGCTCAAACAGGTATGGCCATGGGTCAAAAGCCAAATCGTACCCGCAGTGAACATCCCAATCTCCACTAAAATAGGTTCTAAAATGGGTGGTGCACGTACCCCAAAATGGGAGCATTGGTTTTGAGCCACAGCCATATTTCCATTTCAAACATGCTCGTTTAGCCCAAATCAAAGTGAAGTCCCTTTTGATGTGAAGCTGAAAGTGGAAGTAGGAGCCCTGTTCAAGGGAACCTGAAGGAACACGGGTCATGGCCAGGTGCCCTGAACAAGGCATTGGCCGGTGAGAGGTGGTCGTGTTTTGCCTTGCAATGACTTGGCATCTTGATCTCAGTTGTTCAGGGCTGCCTTTTTCCATTTCTTTTGGTGGCCCCACTAAACTGGTCCAAGCCCCAAAAGGGGTTCCCTTTTTTTTCCATCACGGAACTGAGTGATGGTACTTGTAAAGGAGCAACCTTTTGCATTTCGCCGTGTTTGCCCTTTGGGACTCGAGATTCTTCGACACGGAAAGCTTAGGTGCGTCTTTGAGCTGGCAGCCTTCTGCGCCGTGAATCCATCAGGCCGGATTCAGCTGATGCCTCAGTATTTTGTGGCCATCGCTTTGCTAAGCATGGTATCCATGATGGCCCTCCCGATGGTTTTATGGGGCATGCGGCTTGGCGTTGACTTCGGCTGGCTTCACTTGCCCTTCACCTTTGCAGCTTTACTTGGATCTATACACTTTGGAAGGCGGGTCAGCTTGCAAAAGCAGAGTCTCATTGAGCAGTTGGAAAGCTTTACACTGGATGGAGCGGAGTGCCGATTGGAAAGTGACCGGGGCTTCATTTATGAGGCAGTGACGCAGTGGTATCCCGACTCAGGTTGCTTACTGTTTCGCTTTTTTTGGAGAGTGTTTCCCTTCAAAATGGCAGGTACCACCCAATTGGTGGTTTGGATGGGTGGGAAGCTGACCAGATGTGCGTTTGTTTTTTGTATTCCATGAGCTCCACTGGGCTAAGGTATGGTGGCCTGGATCAGTTCACTGAGCTTGTCCGAGGCCCGTTGCGACGGCAACTCCTCCAATGCTGCTCGCAGATCCCCGCAGAGTTGCTCTTGTTTCTGGTCTTGCCCCTCGTAGCCTACAAAGCGGAGTTGTTGCTCGCAATGTGGAAGGGAGGTGTGCCAGGCAGGGTTGGGCAAAAGCATCATAAATATGTGTTCAACGACCAGATGTTGTACCCCCTTTTTCAGCACCAAAACAAACGTGTTTGAATGCTATTTGTGTTTTTGTCTGAGGAGTTGGAACGCCCAAGCCCATCGCCAGGCAACATCTTGATAGCGTACTGTTGCAGTGCCATTCTGGGCCTCGGCGTTCTTTGGACGGCCTTCGCATCGAGTGTGTGTCTTTGCTTGGTCGACTTCCTTGCAAAACCGATTCGGTCAGGAGATCTCACCGCTGCTTGCATGCTTGCATGTCTGGTTTTTGCTTTTGGGTTTCTGAGAAGTGTCGCAGGAGTTGCGTGGGACTTCTTCCAGTCGCTGGCGATTTCTGTTCTGACCGTCTTTCCATTTTATTCCGGCAATGTGCTAGAAGCAGGAGCGCGCAAGGGCGACGCGATTTTGATAGCCACTTGGGCCGCTTTACTCTGCCTGTGTGTGGCTTGGTTCTGCTGGGCTGCAAGCGCTGGGAGGCTGACAGTGCTCTTTCCCCTTCAATGGAAGATTGCCAGGGGGCCGAAATGCCAGCAGCACACCGAGAAGTGAAGAAGGGAGCTGGTACTTGCTACTTGCTACGTGACCGGGTTTTCGAGGCTGGCTTGAAGTCGAAGGGACCGTCGCATTCTGCCAAGAGACGTTCTGTTTTGCCTGGCCACACGTGTCCAAAGCGGTCCCCCAGTACTGCCCCCCAGTACTGCCCTTTTGCCGTTTCTTTTTTGGGGGAGGGTTCCCCTACAAACATAGACACAACCGGAAAACCATTGGCACCCTTCTTCTAACCTCTCAAATCTGGAGGCCCCAGTTTAGCCTCTCTTTTTAGTTCTTCACAGGAAAGGTTCGCCTTTATGGGTCCTTTGGGCACCTGAGTAACCACCGACGAGGGTTGTCTCAAACAAGTCCGCCGTTTGATTGGTGTTCAGACTTTGAATCTGAGCAAAGGCCCGCAACCAAACAGCTCGCCAGCACCAGCTGCAAGGAGGAATTGCAGCCCAAACAAGAGGAGAGCGACAAACAAAGAAAGCCATGAATTCTCAGAGACCATTTTGAGGAACACAATGGGTGCCAACCTACAAGAAGTAAACGTGTATGCCTATAATATATATATATATATATATGTCCCTTTTTTAATTGGGGTACCGGGTACTTCCTATGTTGTGGCGATAGCCAACCCAACATTTCCAGTTAACTGGCGGCCATGAATTTCTGTCTATGTGTAAATATATACGTTTCGTGAAATATATTGTTTGGAGTCTCCTCCAAGACCGTATCACATGTTTGCATTTGAGCCCGAATCTGAACATACTGTGGATGAGCGCAATTCTGCACCGTCTAAAGAAACCCTGGAATGAACTGTACGTGTCCTGTAAATACCAACAAACATCATGGGTTTAACCATGGTTTCACTAGATGGTGCAGGAGTCCATGCAAAGCACAACATCTGGGCGTGTCTATTTTTCAGGGGCCCCCCTAAACAAATGTGGTTTTCCTTGTTTTTCTTCAAAACCATCCAACAAGGGGCACAAACCCATATTCTTAGGCAACGGGCTTGGTTGCCGTTGACCCCACGCCCATTGGCAACCGCGCAACCATTGGGCGACCCGGAATCTCAGAAACCAGTTGGATGTGGAGGAAAGGGTCATTCCAAGTTGCTTAGCTTCTGTTTTTTATGGATCTGTAGGGAGGGGGGGGGCTACGGCGGCTATCCCCAGGATAAGCCCAGGATAAGGCCTTAAGTCCTTTTAGATCATTTTAGTTGGTTGAGTGGTACCTGGAGTTTCATTTATGGAGTCTCCTTCTGACCCTTAACAACTGCTTGGTCACTACCCAAAATCAAGAAATGTGTCATGGACCCATTTGATTTCGCTCAGATTTGCAGACTCCAGGTAGTGTTCCGTATATCGCCCGCGAGCTAAGCCCACTTTTCCGCGGGATCTGAAAGCGGAGCTCGGCGCAGGCCAACTTCCTGCGCTGGTGGCTGGGTTCTGCTGGCCTCAGTAGCTCGCTCGGTCGCTCGAGGCCTTTGGCCTTCATGCGGCCGAAGCGAGGGAACTGAAGACATCCGCGAAGTGGCTGCGCTTCTTTTCTTTTTTTTAAGTTACTTCCAGAGTTCTTGGACTTGAGTCACTTGGACTTGAGTCACTTGGCGGGAGTGGCCAACAACAAGTCCTTCTATCTTCTGTTTTTTTTTAAGCAGGGGGTTCAATCCCTTGAAAGCCGAACTATCAAGCACAGCGTGCCTTTGTGGTCCCCGACAGCTGAAAGCTGTGGGGTCGCAATCGCCTTTTTCTCCCGATCTGGCCTAGAGGCTCGTTCGGGGTGGTTTGGGGCAGCTTTTTCTTGGGTAAGAGGAGATTCAGCTCCAGGGATTCGGTTCCACTTAAAGGGGCAGGGTGGGTAGCAAGCCTGCTTAGAACCCACTTAGCATGGTCATAAGTCTTCTAAGTGGGTTAGAACAAACCACTTACTAAATACCCTGCCCCTTTAAGAAGGGCCTTTGGGTCTCGCTACCACCTTTTTGCAGGTTTCGATGTACCGGTCTCGGGCGAAAACCGAGTCTGACGTGCTCCCGAGTTTCACATGTGAAAAATCCTTCGGCAAAATGCTGGAGGTAGAAAAGACAGTCAGATATCATATCCTCCCGGAAAAAAATGCGGCCGCCGCACATACTTTGCCCTTGGCCAGCTGGTCTTCCCGTTGAATTGGGGCGCGGCCTATTACATATACATATATATGTGGTACCCCCCCCCCCCCGGTGCCTAGGTGTTGCTTGATTTCAGTCATTTGTTCAGGTAATTGTGCATTTGTGTTGGCCAAACTTGGGCACCAAAGAAGGGTGTGCCACAATTCTACAATCAAGAATTCTGGACCAAAGATTGCTGGGAGACGTTCAATGTGACAATCTGGAATTCAAGATTAAATATTCAATACAATCTTTTCTGGAATTCTGGCACATTGAATCTTGCATCCCATATTTTTACATTTAGAAAAACACTCGGATTCAATATTCAAGATGTCAATACTCTCTTTTTCTGGGAATCTTGAATCTCGTATTTTTGAATCTGTTTAAAAAACAAAGCACCTGGGATTCAAGATTCAAGGTTTAAACATATATATTTTTCTGGGAATCTTGAATCTTGAATCCCATACATTTTTTGAAGACAAAAAACAGGTTTGTCCCAATACTCCCGGTGTTCAATAAGATTATCGGAAAAGCTTTCCGTGAAATATGTCAATCTCGAATCTTCAATCCAGTGGTAACATACTTTCAAAGCTTTAGGACAACTTGATCATTTTAGGGTTTGACCAGGATGGATGAGTCTCAGGAAAGTTGTTGTTTGTGCAATCCTCGATATTGAATCCTCAATCCAGTGGTAAAGCACTTTCAAGTGTGAGAAGAACTTGAATGTTGTTTGGGTTTGGCCAGGATTGACAATTCTCAGGAAAGTGTTCTGTGTAATCTTCAATATTGTTTTTTTCCATCCAGTGGTAAAATACTTTCAAGTGCTCAGCGATCCAGTGGAAACACTTTCAAGTTATTGGTTAGACAAACTTTCAAGTGCTTTTAGTGAGCGATTTGCTTCATGTTAGCTATGAAGCATGTCGACCCTTTTCCAGGAGGTAAACAAAGGTAGGTGTAATGCTCAAAGACACTGTATTTTACAGTATGTTATGAAGAGGCGCAGGATCATTAGGGGTACTATATATATATATGTATGTATGTATGTGTATATATATATATACATACATATGTTCACACACCGTCACCCCCCCTCTTGAACTACCTCTCCACATTTGCTCATCTACTACCTCCGCCTTTTGAGATAGAATGAATGTTGTTTTCCTGTGCAAACAAAACTTTAAATTCAACTGATTCAGTTAGAATCCCTGTTTGGAAACAGTTTTTGAATTTGAACCTCTCTTCCCTTGACATTTCCTTTTGGAACACCATCTAGCAAGTTTAATTTCGGACCTTTCTTAACACAAATCGCATTTAATAGTTTAAACCATAGTTAATATATGTAGAAGTCCCTTAAATGTTTAACCATAGTTAATATGAGCTAAATTTGAGAAGTAGTCACTATTAAATTGTTACGGTGAAAAGCTAGTTGAGTTGTGTTCGTATTAGATTATATCTAACACTTAGATTACATTTGGGAATAAACTCCTAACTTGTTTTGTTGAAGATTAGTTGGAGTTTGCCCGAAACTATGCTTATATTCTTATGTAGCTCCTATTTGGAAAGGATTTGCTTATATAAGCTGTAGTTAAGCAATGTTCAGCATAAACACATTTTTGAAAACTATATCCTAACCAAATTATATTCAAATTCCAATTCTAGTTGAAGTAACATCCTATTTTGAAATGGTATCATATTGGGACATTTCGGATCTTGCCATGATGGACTGCAAGCCCATTCGTCTGTGCTTAAAATATATTGCAACGAATCTAAACTCTACAGCCTTCGCGCTGAAATCAAGCAAAACCTAGGTGCGTAGCATACATATATATATATATATCCCTTCAGAAAAGGAACTCCCTATGCTGGGCGCCTACTTAGGTTTGCTTATCAACCAACTGGTTGCTTGTCTCGCTGACCATGACTAAAACCGTGGCAGCAAAATCAAAGTGTGTGAGTTTCTTTTTAAGGGAACCCCCAAACAGGCTTCGGCTTTCCTTTTGGGTTCCCTTGAAAACCACAAAAAGACACGTACCAACTCCGAAAAATTGCGCCACACTCAAGTGCCAATGAAATCGAGTCTACCTGGAGTCGCCTTCTGACCCGTAAAAAAAGGTTGCTCATTACCCAACATAAGGGGGTCATGACCCATTTGTCAGGGGTCAGAAGGCCAGGTATCTAGGGAAGCCAAGCAAGGCAAGCAGTACGAGAAGGGCGTCGACATCAAGGTGCTGCGACGGCTGATGGAGGAGCTTGCAGCCATACTGCGGATGGACCAAAAAGTCATTTCGCACCACCTGATTCGATTCCCCCGTAAATACCAGCAAACAATGCTTTCCATGGTTTCAAAGTGGTGCAGGATTCCGTCCAGCCACAGTAGGTATTCTGTTGTTCACTTAGTTTGGTCAAAAATAGATGGGCAATCCACTGGTTTAGATGGGTTTTCTTCCCGATCTACCAGAAAAACCCATCGATTTTTGCAAAAGGCCACCTGCTTCCAGCTGAAGCCCGCAAAGAGCTTGTGGCTGAAGGCGATCGCGGAAACCCCCAATCGATAAGTGCGTAATATGTCTGAGTGACCGCCTTTACAGAAGAGACTACAGTAAAGGCCGGGCGGAAATCCGCGTGCTGAATTGCAAAACGAGGTACCTTGAGTCTTCAGGACCCTTCAAAAATGGGTCCATGCCCTCTTTGATTTTGGGTAATGCCACCCATTTTGATTCGGGTCATGGAGACTCCAGGTAGGCGCACCCTCGAAACGAGGTACAGGGCCATGACATTCAGGTGAAATCACAAAGACATGCGGCGTTGGACGAGCGTAAGGTTGGAGAACGCCTTGGGAACACCCCACCATTCAGCCATTGCAAAATACAACCACTGCCTTTGCATATATATATATATTATGTAGTATCTATATGTAGATATAGAGATACAGAGACAGGTCATATGCACATAGCTGTGTATATGTCTGACTAATGCCACAATGTATTCGGAAAGCACTGACTATTGTAGCGGTGAGACATATGAAAGTAGTTCATGGGGGGGCCTGACCGCAATATTATATATACATATATATATATATAATTATATGTAACTTTCACGGCACAGATGCGTGCATACATGTGTATGTATACAGGGCTCCTTAAAAGATCTCCATTTTGCAACCATTTGAATCATGCTGCTTTTTCAACATCAAAAAAGGGGAACCACCATTTACAAGTCAATGTTCAGGTGTATGATGCATCCGGATCCCTGATATGTGGCATTGGTGAGCCTTCTTTGAGTCTCACCCTGGGTGTTTTTTGTGCACTCCAGTTCATCCCGAAGAGAAGGCGCAAAGGAATTCGTGGATCCTCGATTCTTCAGGAGTCTCCTTCTGTCGCTTTAAAAGACAGGTCCGTGAGCCTTTATTTTGGGTAAAGACCAACCCATCTTTGGCAAAAATGGGTTATGAGCCGGCTGGAGTCTAAAAAAAAGGGGCGTTGTTGGGGGAGTTTGGTTCGCCTTTTTCAGGGTTTGCTCGAGTGGATCCGTTCGCCGATACCGCGGCCCTCGGTTTGAGTTTTCCCCAGGAGTCCTACAACCGGAGCCCGGGAGAGAGGCAGCGGCGCAGGCTGGAGGAGGAGCAGCGCAAGAAGCAGGAGCTTGAGGAGGCCCGGGGATGCCGAAGCGAGGTCGAGGTTTTTCGGTGGGTTTTTCGCTGAGGCTACCTTCCCCTTCTAATTGCTTGGGGTTTCTGGAGGTTTTTTCTAGGAGCCACCAAAGCCTGAGGATTTTATTCATTCTGAATAAGGCCGCAAGTCCCCCCTTTTCTAGGGGTCACCTCCAACCATTGATTCCAGGCATCCTTCTTTCTCCAGCCAGAAAGATGGGTTGGACCCGAATCAACAATGGGTCAGGTCATTACCCAAAATCCAGGGATGCGATCATGGACACATCTGTGATTTGGGTCAGATTTGGAGACGCCAGGTCAAGAAATTCCCCCCCCAAAAACATGGGTTGCACCCCGAAATTGTGGTTGGCGACTTGAACTCACCAATCATCAGATCGGGTTGTGGTGAAGTTTTGTCTTCTGTGAGTCTGCCTGAACCCGAAAGAACTACCCTCCAAGCAATTAAAGTGGAAGCTGACGTTCAGGACCCGGTCCCTCGAGGAAAATGGTCCAAACAAGGACCCCCCAAACGCCAGGTTGTTACCCATCGAAAAGTTGGAGAATTCACCCACTATACTTCTAGGGCAGCGACCCATTGTTTAAGGGAGTGTTTGAGGGTCCAGGTGTCTTGTTGAGGAATTTGAACCGCCAGCATGATGGCTTTCCTTCAGGTTTCCCATTACCAACCGCAAGGTTTCAAAGGGAACCACTCTGAAAGGACTAACAAGCCACGGTTGAAACCGCTGTTTGTTGGTATGTTAGGTGCTGTGAAATGGTTTTCGGCGACAGTATGTGTACCATGGTGAAAAGACGGGTTTCTACTTGTGGTGGGGATGCTTATGAGCCTCCAAGGGTTGCTAGACCAAGGGAAGGTTTCTGAACGCAGAAGGATGTACCAGGGCTCCTTAAAAGATACATTTTGCCCATTTAACACATGGCCTTTGTCCACCAAAAAACGGGAAACCACCATTTACAAGGCAATGTTCAGGTGTATAATGTAAGGATCACTCAAAATTAAGGGTCATGGACCCATTTTCGAAGGGTCATGGAGACTCAAGGTCCCCCCCCCCGCCGCACATGGGAACCTGACGAACGAGGCTGCTTTGAAAGGGGCCCCACCAGATTGACACGTGGTTCATCCCGGTAGGTTTCATCCATCCCAACTGGTGCATGATTTTGTCCATGTACTATAAGGGGTAAACTAGTTAGTAATTTGTGCCCTAGTTATGACTTCGTTTGGTTTCGAAGTACCCCACAACCTCATTCTGATTATTTAGGCCCTTGTAGAATGTATTTATATTTATGTATATATGATATTAAAACCAGAGCACATTAGAAACATGGAATGATTTGTAATGGAGCAATTGGCACCTTCGCCTTGGAGTACGCAGAGCAGGAGAACGCGTGGAGTCGTGCTAAGCCACGGCTTTCAGTTACTTGCATAGCAAGTTGCAGCAGGAAACATCATGCAAGACCTTGTTGGTTTTCCTTCAACTTCTGTTCAGCCAAGCAACGCCTAATGGGTGCTTCTGGAAACAGGAACAGGCCCCCTTCCTGTTGCCCTGTAATTCACAAAGCTTCCCATAAATGGCAACAACAAAGACACACACACACACACCAAAAAAAAACCGAGCCCAGGTGGTTTCCCAACAGCACCCCCTTTTGCACCCTTCTGGAACCCGAGAAACACAAATAAGCGCAAGTGGCACCCCCAACAACAACCCGCTTGGTAGTGTCAATCAGCGTGATTGACTAGGCGGCCTGTTGCCAGGTTCATCGTGCTATGCCTGAATAGCTATCCCCACTTCTGAATGAAGCGGGTTTGGCTAAGAAAGGAGTTCAATACAAGCAGAGGGGGCAGGTTATCGCGGCAAGTTGGACCCGATGTTGTTGGAGTTCTAAGCTAGGTTTGCAATTGGGTTGTTCCCTGAGAATTGGGGAGGGTGTGATCGCCAAAATCGTGTTGGTTTCCTTTGGCTTTCCTTTACCCTCTCTGATTGTTCATTGGTCATTGGGGTGTTTGAAGGTGCGCCTGCTGTTTGTTGCAGTTAGATGGGGTTAGTTGGCTTATACCACGGTTGTAGCCTACTAAGTGGTTGGTTGAACATCCAAGTATGACTGGTTGTGGACAAGAACGAAGGTCGAACAGACTGGTCGCAGCTCCCACAGTTTCTGAACTCTAACGTTTCGGAGAAGCCATTTTAGCGGGAAAGAGCCAGTCCGGACTCAAGCACGGGTCAGAGTACCTGCAATTTGAAGGCAACAACAGAGCTGGGTGTGAAACAACATGGTGGTTTTCCTCTTTGTTTCCCCTCGAATCGAAGCAACCTTGAAATATGTGCCCTCAAATTGCACCCAGTGGGTTGCTTGGGTTTGTCCTTTTGTTTTGAAGGGGGGTTCCCCTTGAAAGCAACAACCAAAAACAAGTGCCAATTAGCTTAATGAAAATCCACCGCGTTCAAAGGTTTGCGCGCACAGCCAAGTTCAACAAACGCCTCGGGGCATTTCTTTTTCGCAACCAAAGGTCTGCCTCAGAAAAACTGCGACGCAACCTACCCTGACAGAATGGGGGGCTCCTGTTTGCCCCAAAACAAGACCTTATTCCGGCCTGACCGCTTGATTTTGGAGGAAATGCGGGGGAATGGCCGGTTGGGAGTGGGGTGTGTGTGTGTGGCTCCTGTGACTTTCGTGTTACATGGGCGACTGGCTGACTCGCTGAAGACTTATTCACTCAGAATATTAATCAACCTGGAGTCTCCATGGCCCTTAACAAAAATGCGTCCATAACACGTTTATTTTGGACAATGACCAACCATTTCTTCAGGGTCATGGAGACACCTAGACCCTCAAGCTACCCATAACAAGGAACTTCACGCATAAATTTGGGTTGCAATGTTTGCTCATTCTTAAACTGGAATTTGAGGGTCTAGGCATGTCTAGGCACTTGTGGGAGAAGTTGTTGCTTGGACCTACAGGGAACCAACCCCAAAAGAGCCCCTGCCCAGTTGCCCAGTGGGTTGCTTCCTTTTTTCCAACTTGGTTTTGGGGAAGGGTTTCCCTTTAAAGTCAACCAACCAAAAAGCATGTACCGATTATTTTTTCCATATGGAAATCCACGGGGCATCTGAGCCACAATGAAATCCCACGTAGATGAAGGTTAGTAAGGGGCAGTCCCAGCCAGAAATAGTTGTGGATATTTGCCTTTTTACTTCTTGAAGCATGGTTCTGGGATTATGACCACTTAATACCTGGTTTTCACTTTTTGGTCGATAGAGGTCTCAATAATTACAAAACAAATCGCCTTCAGTTTCTTGGTCCTTTGGTCGACATCTGGTATTAGAAAACATACTTCTTGTTCGTCATTACTATGGTTTTGATTGCGACTCATCTGAGCCAAAATTGGAGAGGCTGAGGAAAAGAAGCGCGCGGAGCCCCAATCCCAATCCAAAAAACCGCTCGCTCAGCGCTTGAAGAGCTGGCTAGATATGTCTACGTGAGCATACACGTACAAATTTGTGCTTGTTTTGCGTGTTTGGTTGTTTGGTTGTTTGTTTGGTTGCTTGATTGCTTGCTTGGTTGCTTGCTTGCATGCTTGCTTGCTTTCTTGCTTGTTTTTGTATTTCTTTTCCTCGTTTGTTTTTCCCCCTTGTTTGTTTGTCTGTTTGTTTGTTTGTTTGTTTGTTTGTGTTTGTGTTTGCGTTTGCGTTTGTGTTTGTGTTTGATGTGTCCGTTTGTTTTTCTTTCTCTGAAGGTACCCATTTCGGGTTTGTGTAAAGAAGAGGCAACCATCACGTTTGGGCTCCACTGATTTGACGTGTATCCATGTGTACATACAAGCACATGCACATATTGTGTTTGACACATATCCATATGCATATACAAATTCATACATTAATATATATATATATATATATATATATAGATGTGTGCGTATGTTTATGTTGTTTGTGCAATATATGTTATAGCTGGGCCTCACTCCACTTATGTTCACTATTTGCTTGAATACTTTCTGGGCAAACTCGAACACAGCCTCACCAGACTCACCAGGGAAGTTGAACCAGCCTTGCCAGGGACATGTTCATGTTAGGTGAGGGAAACAATGCGCTCGCAGGAGATTGGGGCATCCCTGGTACAGTATGGGCGTGTCTTTTAAATGGAGGACCCCCATATAGAAGTGGTTTCCTCTTCAGTGTCCTCTCATGATAAGAAGCAAAGGCTACCCTCAAAACAAAGACACCCATACAACCTCCAAACCCTCCATGCTCTGTCTCTTCCTTAGTCCGCGCTTCCGGGATCCAAAAGTCTCTTGGATTGATTCTTTTTGGACAGGGCTGATACTGTGTTTTGGGACGAAATCCGCTTCGCACCACCTGAGAACCCTTGAATGATGATTCCGCTATAAGTCCCCAACATGGGTTACGACGTGGTGCAAGGTTTCGTTCATCCACAAAGAAACACATCGTCAGCTTTGCCTGTTCCCTCTCTTCCCTTCGGCTTTGGGAAGCCGCCAATTCATCTATTCAGATGTGAATGGTAGGGAGTAAAGGGACGCCCTGGGAGTAAAGGGACGCCCTCCCCACCCGCTGCCCTAACAAACGAGGTACAGATTCAGATCTCGCGAGGTCTTGTCCAAGCTTTTATTTTAGTTTCCATCTGATTGAGTATCGTTCGACTGCTTCCACTTGGTTTAGTATGGCCGCTCAGAAAATGCCCGAGCTCCGGCGGTCGTTTTGGGTGTCTGAAATTTCCGCCCAGCCTTGAGATTTCTTGGGACTTGGTTTTGTTGGCTGCAAGCTGGGCCCAAAGGCCCGGAGAGGTCCTGTGGTTTGGAGTTGGGCTTGGCGTCCGGATTCCGGACAAGTTTCTCAGCTTGCAGTTGGGAGTTGGGGGAAAAGAGCCACCTGGGCGCAATATTTTTTTCCCACCTCGGCGGTTTTCCGTTTTCTCTTTTAAGAACTTGTGCCACTAGAGGTCTGGGGCTTGGGGACCGCACTTGGGGACCGCACTTCCGGGTTGTTTCCTTGCAGGTTCGAGATCAGCCGCGAAAAAATCGCACCAAGCATCCCTGGCGTTTTTTCTTTGAGCCCTGATTCCTGGAGGAAAAGTTCAACTTGGCGGTTCTCAGTAAAGGGGCAATCCGGTGCTTGGTACGTGGTTAGCAAGCCTTGCCATAACCCACTGAACGGAGACTTAGCACCATGGCTTTTGTGCGTTATAACTAAGTACAACGCCCCTTTGAGTATCGAATCAGCCTTGAGTGTTTTGAAACTGAAGCCTTTGAAAGATCATATTGGGAACCAGCCATCCAACTGTTGCTACTATCTGATTTAAAAAAAAAAAAAAAAAAAAAAAAAAAAAAACGAAACAAATCCCCAGCCCCTGGTTGCCTTGTCGAAACCAGTGCCAAGCTTACTAACCAACGCAATTCCCGTCGCCTTCCGAGCCAAGATCCGCCTGGATCGATTTGCCGCATCGATCCGCTGCGAGGCGAGTTGTCTCAGATCGGTTTCCGTCAGAAGTCCGCGAAGCTGAAGACCCAGAAATCCAAGGACGCCGCTCAGTGGATCCCAGGCGTTGCGCCCGGATCGTAGGGAAGCAACAGTTTGTTTTTGTTTAATGTTTTTTTTGCTTTTGATTTGGTTTTTCAATCGTGGATACCTAGCTGACACCTACTACCCTTACAGATAGTAGGTAAACAATAATTGTCCTTTTGGTTGTTTGAAGGGTGGTTCCCTAGGTGACTACCCACCAATTGCGGGTACTGTATAGTAGGTAGCCAACAAGTTTCCTTTTGGTTTTTAACGGGTGGCGCTTGCTCTTGGTTATCTACTACACAGGTAAATGGAAGTGCTGGATTGGTTAAAAGAAGGGGCTAAACTAACAAGGATCTACCTGAACTCGAAAGAAGTTCCATCTTAGCAAAATTGGGTATTACCACCCACATTGTATGGAATCTGTGAATTCCCTTTTCATGGGTAGTTTGAGGGTCCAGGCAAACAGAAACTCTGGAATGATTCGATTTCCCTGCAAATACCGTAACATACAACGCTTTCAACCATCTGGAGATTTCTGCTCCTGCTGCAAAACCCCTAGTGGCTCAAATGGAGCCCGCATTTCTTGTTGAAGCTGACGGGTTATCTCTGAAAAACAGCAAGTCAAGCAGCAGGACATGGTTGTGGAGCATAGTTTCCAGGGGCACTGGGCCGAAGCTCAAGACGACCTTGTGGGGGCTTAGTTGGGCTCCCTCCCCCTGCCCCTGAGGATTTCATGATACTTGGTTTGACCGCGCTCGAGCCCTGGAATCCCCAAGACATGCGAGACTCCGAATCTGACCCGAATCAAACATGGCAAAATAAAAGGGCCATGGACACATATATATTTTAAGGGTCATGGAGACTCCAGTTAAGCTTCTCCCTAATTTTGGGAAACCATGTGAATTCAGGTCAGAAAGAGGGCTCCAGAAGTCTTTTGGTTGAATCCTAGGACTTCCTTGGCGAAGCCAAAGGCTGTGGGTCCCTTGTTGAGGTATGGGTTTTTCATGAAGCCAAGAGGAAGCCACGTGTTTTATCCTCACTCCCCTGAGTTCATGCTGACTTTAGTCACTTGTTGTCCTTGCGGCTTGCCAAGTGCACTGAGGGCACGGCGCTGTGGGGGGGGGGGGAAAGCAAGTCCAAAAACGGACTCAGAATGGACTGTAGCCACTTTTCGGGAAAGCTTGGAGTATTTGAGTGGTAAACAAACAGCTTAGATAAAAGAAATGTTTGGGCCGGTGCACTCAGGAAGTGAGATGTAGGGGGGCTGCCCTATTTTGACAAATAGACCCAGGTCAACGTGGAGATGATAGCTCTTTTGACTGCTACTGCCCTTACGCCCTTTGTGCAAACAATGCAAACAAAGACTAGAACTGGTTTCGTGGTTGTACGGCTTTATACTGTAAGGTTTACCCAAGCCCTCAAACTACCCACGCAAAAGGGAATTCACTTCATAATTGAGGGGCAACAACCCATTTGTTTAAATGAATTCCGCGTTCAGGCACTAAATGCGGAACAGCGCATGATTTTCAGCGTCCAGGCAAAACTCGGCATTCACGTAAAACCCTCCGGGGTAAGAGCGGTGCCATCCGCGTCTTGAAGGTCCGAGGGACCCTGCCCGTTGCATCCCAGTGGCAAGCCCTCATGCTGCGGAAGACTTCGCACCACCGAACTAAATCCGAAACCCAACGGAATGATTCGAGTCCCCAACCTAAATTCCGGAACAAACGTTATGGTTTCATGGATGCAACGTGGTGTGAACGGATTTTCCTCCATCCACAGTAGGCAGCACTTCGCCATTGTCCTTTTCATTTAATATCGGGTAACAAGCCCTCGGATACCTATACCTGGAGTCTCCATGACCAGTCAAAAATGGGTCCATGACCCCCTTGTTTCGGGTAATGACCCCATTTTTGAAGGGTCATGGAGACTCTGCGACGATGGATCAACGAAGCACTAAGACAGGCGAGTGGCGAGTGAGTCAGAAAGTGCCGTGCAGGACTTCCACTGAGTGACTGAGCAATAGGCCAGCGATGTCCTTGTCGCTTCAGGCGGCCAGGGTGGGGCTATGCTTGAAGAAGCTCGAGGGCTACCTTCCAACCATTCTGAATCCAGGGATCCTTCTTTTCAGGAGGGTGTGGCTCAAAATTAAACAGGGGGGGGTTACGCAGGTTTAGTCCATGTTTCCACTTACCAGGGTTCCATTTTGGTACCGGTTTTTGAGCCACAGCCAGGAAACCATCAACAAACCCAATGAAACAGCGATCCGGTTTTTGGGTTAAGAACGATGGTGGAAAAGAATGGACAAGGAATCAACCCCCCTGAAGAGGGACCAAGAGAAGGTTGTTCAAGCAAGAGTGCTTTAAGCAGGTCTTGCCCAAATAGGCTTAAGTCGATGCCAAATAAAACGTGCTTTTGTTTATCACCAAAATCGTCTTCTCAAAAAGGACAAAGCCCAGAGAGACTCAAAACGGAATCTATAAGGGAATCTGTACATGTGTCTCCCAAACAAGACACTGCGCGGTTACAGGTGCAACTCAATCATCCCATGCCAGCTAGTGGACCTTTATAGAAGAGAACTGTTCTAGCACATGGCCAGGATACTACACGCTGACCCTCTATTTAGGTTCTAATGAGTTCAAGGACATATGGGTGATTTCTCTAGGTTCTTCTTGATATTTGGGTGACCCTAGGCTGTGACACATGAGTTCAAGGATTCTTCGCGCATGAACCCGTCCCCGACCATGGAACCCTCCGCCCTCGCCCAAGGTGAGGGCAGCCGAATGAATCGATCCGGACAAGGTACTGCGGAGAAACCACGTTTCAGTGGCAAACAACAAGTCGACGCCTGGAAATTCAGCCATAAAAAAAGGGCATTCAGCCCATACTTTTGGGCCAATAATTAAACCATTCTAACGGAATTTTGAGGGTCCGGGTATATATGTATATATATTTATTTATTTGTATATATGTATATAGATGGCTTGGGAACCCTGGGTCGTCCATATTGAGATCTTACAGCAAGCTCGCAAAGCAGGCTCACCACGATGTAGCTTGTTTACTTGGGGACATGTGGGGCCTTTTCCGCAGGTATTAGCATTTTTGCAAAGCCTTAAACATGGTCAGTGGACATGAATCCCCACCTGCATGATGTCCACCAAGGGGTCCCTAATTGTAATTCACGCGCATACATACCTGGACCCTCAAAATGCCCACATACAAATGGGCGATTGCAACCCGAAAGTTATGTTTGGTGAATGTCCTTCTCCAAATTGTTTGGCCAGGGATCCTTTGAATGCAGCTTGCAGCGCAGGTGCGTTTTTCGCCATGTCCGCTAGAGAGCGATCCTTCTCGCGTGCGATCCTTCTGTGCCGCTCGAAGAAAAGAGTTTCAGCAAGGGCCGGCGCCCACGGCCCCTTTTTCGGGTCGACCTGCCGGTCACTTAGAACACGAATTTGGATGTGGCTAATCTTCACCGGAATTAGCTCCCCTTTTTGCTTTTTTGCTTTTTTTGGGTTCCTTTGTTTTCCACTAACCAGGCAAAATAAATAAATAAATATATATATATATATATTTGCTGGGGTCCTAATTCCAGCCAAGATCTGTGGATCCACCCCTGTAGGACATTAGAAGGATTACAAAAAAAAGGACCAACAGCGGGAAGAACAGGTGAAATCCACCAGAAGCGCATCGAAACCTTGTTGCAGCAAGTTAATCTAAACAACGGCAACCAACTGGTACAAAACAAATTCTGTCCACATGCACAGCCAGAAGCTGCGTCTTGGGAGATGCTAGAGATGTTCCGGGGCTATGTCCAGTTGAACGCACCTTTAGCAAATCAAGCGAAAGGGGCTCAAATCCCGGGTTCACTTGCCCAGCCCTATTCCAAACACATGGAACCGTTTGCGGGGCTTGGCCATCTTTCTAGAAAACGGCTTGGATGTGGCTTTTGTGGATCCACGCTGCAGAATGCAACAACAAGACCACTGCATTCCTGGTAGTGGTAAGGGAAGCCACGAGGAACAGAACCCGGAAGCAAACCCCAGATCCCTTTTCCCTGGTTGCCTGGTATCCTTTTAGGTGTGCAAAGGAGTCAAAAAAGGCCCCTGATGAGAAGTGGCATGCGCGCTTGCGCCAACAGGAGTTGATGGTCACGGTAAATGAAGATCATTTGCAGCCATGCACCCCTCTTGTGAAGGAAACCCACGCTTGGATACCAGCATTTGACTTCCTTTATCAGGGAGCACCTCCCCCTCCCCCCCCACCGCCAAAGAAATGACACACGTATTCCAACAACAAACAAACAGCGGGTTTGGCAAAGCTGATCGCCGAGCCATTGCAGCATTTAGCTTTCAGCGGTCATGGTATGCGGCATATTCGAGTGTCCAAGCTCGCCTTGACTCGTTCAGCGCTACTGTTGCTTTGCTTAAAGGAATAGATCTTTTTGACGGTTTGTTCGTTCCGATGTTTTCCATTCATAGTCAGCACAGTGATTCCACTTGCCATGATGGTCAGAAAGCATGCAGGTAAAACAGGGCTCCTTAAAAGATACATTTGCCCATTTGAAACATTGCTTTTTCCACCAACATGAAGGGAAACCACCATTTACAAGGCAATGTTCAGGTGTATAATGTAAGGATCCCTGTAAATTAACTTCCTGCCTTTCTTGAGAGTGCCTGGCTCCAGGCTTCTTCCGTCCGCAAGTGAGGTTTGCCGCGTTTTGGTTCTCTGCCTTTGGCTGGGTTGGCCCGGAAAGGCGACAACATCAGCCCCGCAGCCCTCTTGGCTGCTCTGGAAGGAAGCGCAGGGGGAGTTTTGAGCCAGACGACATGGTGCGGTTGCCCGATTTCGCCCAGTGGCACCATTTTTTGGTCGCATTCCTTTTTGCATAGTATTCCTTTGAACAATGACACACACACACACAAACACACACACACACACACACCCACCCACCCACCCACCCACCCACCCACCCACCCACACACCCACACACCCACACACCCACACACCCACACACCCACACACCCACCCACCCACCCACCCACCCACCCACGCACCTACGCACCCACGCACCCACGCACCCACCCACGCACGCACGCACGCACGCACGCACGCACGCACGCACGCACGCACGCACGCACGCACGCACGCACGCACGCACGCACGCACGCACGCACGCACGCACACACCCACACACACACACACACACACACACACACACACACACACACACACACACACACACACACACACACACACACACACACACACACACACGCGCGCACGCACGCACGCACGCACGCACGCACGCACGCACGCACGCACGCACGCACGCACGCACGCACGCACGCACGCACGCACGCACGCACGCACGCACGCACGCACGCACGCACGCACGCACGCACGCACGCACGCACGCACGCACGCACGCACGCACGCACGCACGCACGCACGCACGCACGCACGCACGCACGCACGCACGCACGCACGCACGCACGCACGCACGCACGCACGCACGCACGCACGCACGCACGCACGCAGCACGCACGCACGCACGCACGCACGCACGCACGCACGCACGCACGCACGCGCGCACGCCGCGCGCACCACGCCGCGGCACGCACGCACGCACGCACGCACACGCACGCGCACGCGCCCACCCACCCACCCACCCACCCACCCACCCACACACACACACACACACACACACACACACACACACACACCAAACATTCATCTTTCCCGGTGTTTCCAGTTCCCATAGAGAAAGCCAGCCTTTTCTACGGTGGATGCCCAAATCATTGCAAATAAGGGAACAACCCTCACCCTCATTTATGTGTTTTAGTAGGGTTGGTATACTTGCAATATTTAGGGCATCCACTGACCCCTTCCAATGACCCCAAGCGTTCCATCCTTATTCGGCCTCAATGAGGCTGATTCTGCTTTCTGCGGTTCACAAAGTTGATCAAAGTTGGCTTGCCCCGCCGCAAGCTTCCTGATTGCCTGGAAAAGGGGCACCAATCACCAATCTCATTTATTTTTGATATTTTCTCCAGACCCCATGTGCTTTTGTTTTGCGACCCCCGCATTTTTTCGGTGAGGTTGATTTGCACCTCCGACAAGCACCACAAGTTCTGGGAGATCGAGGTGTCGGGCAAGGAGACCACCGTGCGGTATGGCCGCATCGACACCAAGGGCCGCACCTCCAAGAAGTCCCACGAGGACGCGGATGCGGCCAAGGCCTTCATGGAGAAGCAGATCAAGGCCAAGCGCAAAAAGGCCGGGGCTGATCCCTACCTTAAACAGAGTATGTTGTATTTGTATTGTTGAAACGGCCCACCTTGAATATGGAACTGGGGGAGGAGGGAGAAAACGACCTCTGGAGACCATGTGAAACATGGAACCTAGGTCCTCCAGTTCTTAGTGCCCTGTCTCACCCTTTTTTGGGGGAGGGTTCCCTTACCAAAATAGACTACAGCAAAAAGGTAGTTCAATTCTAACCTCTCTACTGGAGGACCTAGGGAACTGGGGGAGGGGGGAGCAAACTGGAGATAAATGGATGTGGGTCCCGGACCTTCCACGACTTCCTTAAGGTAGGGGGGTCCGGGCTTCGCCTGTGGGGTCTCCGCAAAGTACTTGCGTAGCCAAGGCTTTAAAAGGCAAGGGTCAACTGGCCAGGTAAGTGAACGTTAGGGGATGCCCGGAGTCTTCTGACCCTCTTAAAATGGTTTGTCATTACCAACAATTAAGCGGTTGTCACCCCATTTTCTAGGGTCATGGAGACTCTAGGTAGTCCCAACCACAAATGGTGCAGCCGCCCACCTGTTTAGTACCGATCGGATTGGATTGTTTGACCCTGGCAGCTTCTGGCTGGATGGGTTTGCAAAAGAGATGTATCTGGAGTCTCCATGACCCTTAAACCAAGGGGTCCAAAGTCCCTTTAAATTAACCCTCCCTTGGCTGGAGCTGCTTTGGATGAGGGAACGAGCTTATTTGGGCAGCGACCTCATAGCTTTGAGCTGTTGGATAAACAGCATTGTGATGCAATGTAATGTCCGGCCACCCCTCAGCTGTGACAAGCGCAATATGAGGGAAAGAGCCGGCGCGAGCGCGGTACCTCACAGGGAGAACCCCTGCAGGTCGGGGCTGCGCGCCTTTTGCAGATTAGTCGTGATTTGAGAAAGCGGTAGCCCATGCCTCTACCCGATCTGATTCATCCATGGCAGAGGTGGGCGGCGGCCCGCAACAAATTGGATGGCAAGCGCCGAAGGCTGGGCTCCTTCCTTTGGTCAAAAAGGTCTAACAGTCGCTCCAGCGAGGCTCCCTGACACTTCTGGTGCCCGAGGACATATGCCACTGAGATGTCAGCCAATCCACAGTCAATGCACAAAGGCAAGGTAAGCAAAAAGGGGCTGACGGCAAACGTGCCTGCTGGCCACATTCCTGACAACCTCACAAGCCACCAGATCCGCGTGCGCCTTCAGCCAACATGAGCAAGCAAGAGTTTGTAGTGAAGTCGCCGTGGCTGCTTGGCAGCTGGGGTCCGGTCACCCCCCAGCTGCCGCTCCGGCAAGGTTCAGAGCATTGCCAACCATCTGGATTTTTCTCAAATTAGGAATCGTAGCCACCCAAGAAAGAGACCGGTTTCGTGCCAAAAGGGGACCCTTTAAAGAAAGATCCAGTAGTCAAGGCACAGTCCTGTTAGACAAGCTTGACGTGGTTTGTTGCTCGTATTTTTTTCCAACAGAAAGCTACGGGGTCGATAGGCTCAATTGGGCTCCGGATTGAGTGGACCAAAGCCGAGGGTTCCGGGCTTGGCTTGTTTTTCCATTTCCAAGGCTCAAGGAGAGAGTGGGTCAACCTGTGCGCCCAAAACTTTGGGGCCCTTCCTGTGGATGGTTGCGAAATCCAGAAATCGCACCACCTCAAAAAAAAAGAACATTCCCATGGTTTCAACCTGGTGCACATCCACAGTATGAGCAGTCTTCGCAGAACGAGGCTCGGTCAACATGCGCAGTAGTCGGTTTGCCGTTTGAAAGTTTGGAGGGACAACAAGCCCTAGCGCAAGGCTGACAAACCCTGCAGGGTTTGAGACAAGCTGAGTCTTGCCTGTTCAATCCAGGGGCCTTTAAGACTTGTTTGGCGCATGGACGATCCAGAAGTGCAGGTGTCCTTTTGGTACGCTGAGCCGGTCCCAAAATGGTGTCAAAGGACCACCCTGGTTCAGTTGGCGTGCTCTCTTATATTTTGTATTGTTGCGCAGTTTCTTCTTCAACTGGACAGCCCCAAACTCAGAGGAGTAGTCTTTGATTCGGGCACCGCCAATGCGTTTTGCATACAGGAAAATGCAATTTTCCGCCCCGGCTGTTTTTTATTTGCTGTCACAAGTTCACTTCAAGGAAGCGTCCCAAAAAGGCGAGAGTGTAAACCTTGTTCACCCCCCCACCCCCACCACCTCTTGGGCATAATTTGCTCTTATGTTGGCCTTACCCTCATTGACCTTGGTGTGGGTCTTTGGGTCCCTGACTTCTGACTTGACCCCCCATTGCTCAAGGGCTACATCGAGCCTGAGCAGAACGAGGCTGAGACTGAGGACTCAAACTCGAAGTCGCACCTTTGGGTTTGCGCGTTGGCTTTCCCATGTCTGGGACACCCCCCCCCACTTTTCAAGCGATGGTTGATCAGTCTCAGCGTGCGACGGGGAATTCAGCCTAGACGAATGGCCCAGTGGGTTGTGGTGCCTTTTTTTCGACTTCTCCCTCGAACATCAACCGCCAACCCTGGCCACATGGCTACTGTGTTGGGGTCAGGGACCCTACACATCTCGGGCTTAGCCCGTTTGAGTTCCGGAGAATCTATCATGTCTCACTTGTTTCCCCTGCTGCCTGTTTGTTCTTCCTGGTTTTCAGGGCTGCCCGGTCCGTCCTCTCATTGATTTCAGCGTGTTTTCGGGCACATTGCGGGCAGACCCCATTTGAACCCAGACGGTGCAGCAGTTTTTGGCCGCAGTTGGCTCTTGCTAGCCCTTTAAGCCTTCAGGGGAGGGCTGGTCTGTAGGGTCCCAGGACCTGTTTGCTTTGTTTGCTTTAGTCAGGGCAACCCAAATAGCCCAAAAGGTCAGATTGCTTTCCAGGTTTGAGTTGGCATCTTTTGGATGAACCGGAAAGCCATATATATATATATATATATAAAAGAAACCTGCGAGGTTGGACCAATTTGGCACCATGGGCACCCCGAAACGCAGAGTCCCAAGATTCCGATTTCGTTTGGCCAGCCCGGGATCCTTGCCGATTCAATTCAAGTTGTCAAGGCCTCGTGGCAGTACTCCTTCCATGGGTAACATGCCTGGACCCTCAGAATTTGCACGCACCAAACATGGGAAGTCACCCCACAGCGTTGGGGCAAGAACCCATGTTTAAGTTAGAATTATGAGGGTCCGGGTAAACATGTAAATTGTGAAGGAGCATCTACGGAAGCAAACACCACAAGAAGACACAATGATCTCACCCGTGGAAGAAAAACAACATCCAATGTCAACATGTTGACCTTGACTCAATGTAAGGCAGGTTTCCTTTACGTTTTACCGGGGACCCATTTGCTTGGTTTTAAGTTCACGGGACCATTCGCAAAACACTTGGTTGATTCCCCTACTTGGATGGCTCGGCAGTTTTTGAGGGTACCGTGTGTGGTTCATAGAAACCACACGTAAAATCACAATTTTGGGGGGTTTGGCAGGCAACCTCCAAACCAGCAATCCAAACCCTATGGAATCCCTAAGGCGGGGTGCAAGGGGGGTGGGTAGTGGGAGTCCTAGTGTTGCTTAGGGTTCTTTAGGGCAGCCTTAGGGAACCTGGACAGAAATTAAGGATTCCATGGAAACCACGAAGTACGAAGATCTAGGGGTTGATTCCAACCATTCTTTTTTGACCACCATTCTTTTCAATCACCGAATCGCCGTCTCCCATGGGTTTTGAAAATTTCCTGAAAAGAAAAACGGATCCCTGGAAAGAATGGAAATGGAAGGTTTTTTCTAGAGAAGAGGGGTTTCCTAAAATTCCTTGGGCAGCCTTGGAGAACTTGGGCAACCCTTAAGGATTCCATAGAAACCACGAGGAAGCTGGTTTCCTCGGATCCCATGAGGAGACCGACAAGGCCCCGGTGCCGGCAGTGGACAAGGCGGTGGCGAACCCGCCCAACCTGGTGCTGAAATGGGGGGACTTCGCCGGGCACGGCGCCTGCAAGGAAAACGCCTTTATGACGCTTGTCTACAACACCGGCGATTTGTCCCTTCAAAAATAATAAATAAACCTCAACTACCCATGCAAACGGGAATTCACCAATTCCACCATGTTGGGTTGCGAAGTGATTTTTTACCCAACTGGGACCGCCCCACCCCATTTGGCTTGTTTGAGGTTGGACCCCCCAAAGTGGGCAACGGCTTTCCTGTTTTTTTCTTAAAACAGCAAAACAAGGCAGCCTGAAAAAGACAAGCCCATCTAGCATGTGCGGTGGGCCAACACCAATGGGATCCCATTTGGGGGAAGGTGCACAACCCATTTTAGAACCTATTTAGAGGGGATTGGGATGTTCACTGGGGGTACGATTTGGGTTTTGACCCATGGCCACATGGTTGTTGTTGGGAAACATTGCACCTGTTTGCATATTGTGGTTTAGTGGTTGATATCCAAGCACATAACTGCTAAAATTCGAAAATGGTTGCTCCTCTTCCAACGTCAACCAAGAACACCTGAGGCGATTCGTCCGTTCCCCGAAAAAGAAAGAAGAGAATCCTGATCCTTGAAACTACCACGACCGGGAATTCACCATTTTTCACCATGTTGGGTTGCAAGAAGCCATTTTTCTGGGCGATATCTTTCGGGCTCAGATGGTTGCCAAGATCCGAAGTCGCCAGTACGAAGTTTTGAAAAGGCCAGTTCTAAACCTACACGGGCCGTCGATTTCTCCTGCCGATCCCAAGTGTGTGTGTGGGTGTTTCCTTTGGCGGGGGACAGTCCCAACCATCAACATTGGTGCGGCCGCCCTTTCAATTCCGTACTTGGTATTGGGCAGACTGTTAATACCAGGTTTGCTTGTGACTGAAACAGAAAGCCTCAAAAGGAAGGTGGGTGTCTACTTCTGTTGCCGGGGGGGGGGAATCTCTTTTTTTGGAGGGCACCAAAATATCCACCGAAGCAAAACCCTTGTAGCCCACCTTTGCAGCCAGCCCATGTCTCCCAAGCTCTGAAGGGGTGGCTCGTGTTTGTTTGGAGTTGGTGCCCTGCTCTTCTTATTTGGGCCGGGGGCTTTAAACGGGGACCAAAGGAAGAACAAAGCTGTGGGGCCCCCAAAACAAGACACATCCCAGATAGACGGTGTTGCGATCAGGACCATCAGGGACAGATGTGGGCCAAACTTGCAAGCTCATACTACTCAGTATGTAGGTCACAACAGGGTTATGGGAGAAACTGAGGTTAGTTGGCTTCCTATGGCTATAGCCTACTTACTACAGCGGTCCCTAAATATGTTGTTCCTGTTGTTTGTTTTCAGAACCGGCTTGTTGGCCCATGTAAGGTGAGTTTCCAGTAGGGGTGACTTTTCAACTTGTTTTTTGGGAGGGAACCCAAACTGCCAAGTGGGTCCCGGACCCTCAACATTCCCTAAAATCGGCCTATGGCGCCGACAAATTGTGGGGTGAACTTCCCTTGGAATTTTGAGGGTCCAGGTATTTTCCTTAGAGGTGACTTTGCATATATTTTTTTTGGGGGGGGGGGCAAGCACCCAAAGGGTCCCTTAGAGGTGACTTTGTTTCTTTGGGGGGGAATCTAGTGCTACCTTACCCCATTCTTTCCAGGCATCAGAATCTTTCTAGTAAACCTCCGGAAAATAAACAAAAACAATGGTTGGAAAGAATGGGGAATCAACCCGTAGAGGTTTGTTCTGAATCCGAAGGAGCTTGGAGGAGCCCGAAAAGTGGGTTTTTGTTGATGTCCACTTCCAGAAAGGCAACCATCTGAGTGGGTGCACCCAAGTTGGACACCAAAGTGGGATTTTCGATTCGAGGAAGGCCAGTGGCCGGGAGTCTGTGGGAGCGCGCAGCTCGCAGCCGCTGCCAAAGGATGTCACCTGGACGGTGAGGCGCCTGGGAAAAAATCGAAGAGTCCCTTGAGAGGCGTGGAAGACATACACCCGTAGTCTCCATGACCAATCAAAAATGGGTCCATGACCCCTTGATTTTGGGTAATTCATGACCCCATTTGTGAAGGGTCATGGAGACTCTAAGTGCGAGTCACGTCCTCAAAACCGATTCGGGTAATTGTAGGGTAAGGGACAACCCGAGACCATTTTAACACCGGGTTGTGAGTATGACTTATATGTGGATGGACGAAATCCATGTCGCACCTCCTTTCAGAAGCTCTGGAATGATACGATTTCGCTGTAAATACCAAAAAAGAATGGTTCCCCCAAAGGTGGTGCAGTATTGCGTCCATCCACAGAAGGACCCCCCTCAAGGAATTCTTCCTTTGGCATTCTCGGGGTGTGGCTAAGGTTTGAAGTGCCAGGCACGGTGTTTGTCTCTCTGGCCATTTTCCATGGTTCCTTCTTGAGCACCTATCTTTCCGCCCCCCATTCGCGGATGGTTGCCTTTCTGGAAGCGGACATCAACAAAAACCCCACTTCCGGGGCTCCTCCAAGCTCGGAGTCATAACAAGCCGCGAATTGCGCAAGTCGGGAGTCATGGAGACTGCAAGAGCCACGCGAGCCAAGGACTCCCATTCTGACGCCGCCCCAGGAAAAAAAAGAAAAGAAGACACCTATTTCGTCCTATGAATCGGGGCGGTTTGAGCCACTCAAGCGGGACATCCCCCATGAGCCAGTTTGGCAGACATCCGCAGGGTCAGCATGATCATAGGTGTCCTTTTTGATTCATTTGGTTCAAAAAAATCGCAGGGGGCGATGCCTGGTTGACCTGGTGGTTTTCAATCCACCAGGGCCATCTATGGCCCCAAAAAACGGACACCTGTGCGCTCACAGTGAGCCACGGGAAGGCAACCATCATGTTTGGTGGTGCGGATTTCACCCGCGGAGTTCACTCGAAACCATTTCCACAGTGGAAATTCCACTTGCCTTTTCAGAAGACGTCTTTTCCCCTGTTGGTTTTTTATAGGGACTGTATCCATACCTGTGTTCTTTTCTCTTTTTTTTTCTGACTCAAGTTGTTTCCTGGTTAAAGGGGCTGTTTTGCCATATGGCTGTGGGTGAAATCCCATGGTACCATTTTGGGGTGGGTGCACCACCCATTTCAGTCTATTTTAGTGGGGATTGGGATGTTGTTCACTGGGGGTACGGGATTTTGACCCATGGCCATATTTGTTTCCTTTCGGACGGTATTTCTTCAAAAGAATCCCGGAGAGCCTCTTCCCTACTCAGCTGCCCCATTGGCTCCATTGGGAAGCCATCCACAGTAGATCCATTTGATTTGCCTTTCAGAATATGACTTCCCCTCTGTTGGTTTTTAAGGGACAGTATCACAACTGAACATATGGACATATTTGTTTCCTGGGGCACGGTTTCCCCTTGACTCGAGGTATTCCCTCATCGGCTCCCACCAAGCTGTGGGTGTCGCCACAAAGGACGCGCCCCTCTGCCGCCCGGCGGATTTTTTTTTCTTGGTCGCCGTTGGGGGGCTAGGTCCCCCAGTAGTGCGCTTTGGCCCTTTTTTGGTTGGGAGGGTTCCCCTACTGAAATAAACTGCAGAAAACAGTTGGTACCCTTATTCTAACCTCTCTACTGCAGGAGCTAGGAGGGCGGAAGGGTCAGGTGAGGATGTTCTGCATGGGGAGGTTTCGTGTCAGGTGAAGTTCGACATGCTGGAAGCAGCGGGAAGCCGCTGTTTCCCCTGCTTCTTTTTTGTTTTGTTTTTTTTTTTGGGGGGGGGGGGTGGGGTGATTTCGCTCTTCAGGGAACCACACAAATGAGTGTTATTATTGAGATTGGCTCTTCGTCTACCTTCTTTTTGTTGGTTGCGGGTAATCTGTTTGGACCTTGAATGCAAACTGCGCAAGCTGTAACGAACTCACCTGGGGAAGAGCCAATCGGTTTAGCTTGTGAATGAGCATAATCAAGCCCGTGGCATCTAAAAGAGTCTGGTTGCAAGGAATGTTGGTCCCAGATTCATAAACCCTTCCCATTAATAGGGGGTGTTCCCTCCAAAAGTGACGAATCCGATCAAAGTACGCCAGGAGTTTTGCTTGCTCCGGGGTTCCCAGTAAGGCATGGACGGCTATCATTTTGTCTTCGGCGACGAGACGGAAAAAGGCGCGGCCCAACCTGTCGTGTGATAAACGAGCGTTGCCAAAATGTGCCCACGGTCAGGTAACAAGAGTTTAAGGGGGATAGTTGGCTCAGAACCATGGTTCTGACTCACTTAACCAGTGGATCCATGTACCTGTATAGTAGGTAGCCAAGGGAACCTGCCTTTAAAAGCCAAAAGGAAAGTAGCGGTTACCTGCTACAAGGGTAACTGGGATCCACTCACTTATTAACCAGGCTCCCGCCTGCTGCCGCCGACCCTCGGCGCATTGAGGGAAAAGTCAGAAGGACCGGTCCTGAAACACGTCCGCAAACCCAGGGACCGCTTATAAGATTTTCTACGACCACAAACAAGGATTAACGGAAAAGTCAGAAATATGGCAGCTAGTCCGTTAATTGCCGCTTCAGCCGGCTTGCGCCCAAGTCACTTCGAGTTGGCCCGGGAGCAGTCGCCTGTCCCGGGTCGCCCTGAAACTGGCCCTCCCGAAACTGCCCCGGCGACAGTGGCCCTAGTGGCCCTGGACCAGTCGCCGGCAGTAGATCCAGGGATCCTCTACTACCACAAGGATTAGCGGCGGCAGCTCGTCCGTCAATGACCGCACGGGCCGGCTCGCGCCCAAGCCACGTTGAGCTGGTCCTAGAAACAAGGCCGTCGGTGCCTCAACCGGTCGCAGGGAGGGACTGGGACTTGGGACCCTGTCCGGTCCTAAACACGGGTGCCAGTCCGGAAACAGCGACACTGAAAAAACAGGTGTCTGGAGCTGTTTGAGGTGGCACCGGGTTTCTGCAGCGGTTTGAAGTGGGACCCGATACCAGCGGCTGGGACCGGACCAGTCCTGAAAGCGGTCCTGGCCGCCAGTCCCAGGACCAGTCCCAGGACCGGTCCCAGGACTGGTCCTGGGACCAAACCTGGGTCCCAGTCCTGCGACCAGTCCCGGACCGGTCCTAGGACTGGTCACTGGTCCCAGGACCGGTCCTGGGACTGGTCCCGGGACCGGTCCGGACCGGTTTTGGCTGACTGCAAGTAATCCGAAGCGGTCCCAGAACCGGTCAGGACTGGTCTGAGGACTGGTCCCAGGACCGGTCCTGGGACCGGTCCCGGGACCGGTCCCGGGAATCCACTTTTTGTACTTTCGGGCGTGCCCCGCAGGGACCATCATTGATTCCAATCACTTCCAGTTGCATCCCACGCAGGAGGTTGGGACGGGAGGCAGAGGGTCGGCGGATTTAAGTGGCCAAGTTGGGTCGGACACGTGGTTAGATTCACTCCTCTCACCCTAAAAAGGTTGCACTGGTAGTGAGACCTGCTGGCGGACATCATTTAGGTGGGGATGTATGTCCACCAACAACTTTTGGGTGGTTTCCCACTATTCTTTACAACCCTATAAGTCTTCAATGTCTTGTTTAGCGCACACCTTGTGTGAATAAGTTACTTCCACGGATCTTACCACTGGCTTGTCCAAACAGTCCGTACTTCAATAAAGAGTCCATTTGCCTTGTTCGGAGTCTAGAGGTTGTGTTGAACCCAGGTCCGGTTTGATACGAGTCCATTTTCCGTCGGTTTCCCTCTTGGATGACGCCCTGGTCCCCTACGGCTTGCACCCGGCAGGGTGAGTCCGCGGCAAAGGGGGACTCATTTGTGGTGTAGTTGGCAGTCATCCAATCCGTCGCCGAATTTCTGGGTTTCCATTAAAAAGCAAAATTAAAATGGGGCTATTGCAACCCACATGTACCCTGTGCTTCCTCGACTATTCTTTAAATAGCCTCGACCATTTAAAAAACAAAAGGCTATAAAAGTAATGTCCCTCGACCATTAAAAGTAGCTCTAGACAAACTTGGCCAACTCGAGACGGCTGGCTCCTGACATCCCCGCGCGCTTCTGTGCAGTGAGAGGTTGAAGAACTTGATCGCTGCCTTTTATGAAATCAGCTAAGTATGTTTTACTGTCGCTTCATCCCGTTGTAATCACACGCCGTCACCATGCTGTGTCAATTTGGCTTGTCCCTCACATGCCCGTGCGTGCTTTTCCACTTCTTGTCCACAGCTCCACAGAGTCTGATCGCGTGTTGTGCGTTGATTGTTTAATCAATTTCGATAGAAAATGAGGCGTGGACAAACCATGGACAAACCGTGGAAAGTACGTTTTTTAGCGTGGAAAGTACATTTAAAAGCGTGGAAAGTACGTTGAAAAGCGTGGACAACCATATCCCCAGAAGCCCACAACGCATGCCTGATCGGCAGCGATGCCCCGAAGCCACTAAGTTTGCAGCATTTTCAAAAAAGCCGGACTTCAGTACCAACATGCGAAGAATCTATGCACGCCTCTACAGTAGGCGGGACACCTGGCGATTTTAACAAGTAATGCGACCATACATTTGGCAAGCCGGGGAATGAATGAGTGGCTTGGGTGCAGTCATTTGCAGCTGGGAGGATGAGGCGGCGTGACTTTCAGTGACCTGACCCTACGCAATTGTTGGGCAACATGTTTTTTGGGATATTCAGGGCCAGGCGCAAAAAACGGTCTTTCGGCAAAAAACAGTCTAGCGACCTCGACCATTCTTTTAATGGCCTTTGGAAGCCTAGGGTGTACAGTTGGTAGTGTGAGGGACCAACTAAAGTGGTGTTTTCCAAGATTGCTCTAAGCAACCCCTGGACCCCCCCAAGTCCCGGTCCCATGAAACAAAAACAAAAACACGAGGTTAGGTCCTGGAGCCCTGTAGAACCTCAAGTAGGTTGTTAAAACACCAGCGGTTTTGTTCAGCACTTTTAAAGAATGGGGGTGGCGCAACCCTGCTTGGGCTCTTATTTGGATGTGAATTTGAGCTTCTCAAAATGGGTTTGCCATTGAAGTTTTAGAAGATGAGGGATCATTTCCAGACTGGCTTTCTTTTTCCTACCTGCCGGCCTGGGTTGCCTCCATGTCGGATTGCTTTGGCCGAGCGGCGGTTGGGCCACCAGCACGCAACTCTTGCCCAGGGTGAGCTCGTCTAGGAAAGCCCTTCCAAGGGAAGACAAACAACTTGCTGATTCTGAGTAAGGAACGACCTAGGGTTTTGGGAATGAACCCAGGGGTTCCCTTAAAGGAAACCACAATGGATGGTTTATAGGGGTCATTCCATTTCTCATTCCCTGCTGAGAACCAGGAAGACAACACCTTGGCAACCAAAAGATGGACATCCACTCTTGCCCATGTTTAAGGGGATCCTCAGAACACCCCCCAACTGGTTGGGTCGCCGCGTCGTTCCCCCGGCTAGATCCGCATGGCAATCCAATTCGGATTGGCACCCTAAACCCAAAATCATAAACCCCAAACCCCAAACCCGAAACCCACCTTTTGCCCCACCAAGTGAGATGACCCGTTCGAAAGATAGGGGCTCCTCCCGTGGTTTGGAGGCTTTCACGGACAAAGGTACACCTCCGCTAAGTGAGATGAACTTCTCGGATTGTCAAGTATTTTTCCCTGAACTCTAAATCATAAACCCCAAGCCCACCTTTTTCTCACCGTTTCTGGGATGAATTGACCCTGAAGCATAAACCCCAAACCCACCTTTTGGCAACAAGCGCCCAACCCCAAAATGGGCTAAACCTCTTCCCGCACTAAGTGAGGTGAACATTCTCGGATACCTCCAAGCAGGATGAACCTTTGGGTACACCTCGCCCAAGTGAACTGCAGGGTCTACCTCCCCCAAATACCTTAGGTTTTCGCCATTCTTGGCAACAAACCCCACCTTTTGCCCCACCCCCCACCCCCACCCCCCACCCCCACCCCCCACCCCCCACCCACCCACCCACCCACCCACCCACCCACCCACCCACCCACCCCCCCACCCCACCCCTGAAAGGCGAGAGCTGGGCGCTGTGCTTCACCAAGTCCCTGGACGAATTCCTGGCGCGCCACGAGGCCCACGAGCTCGAGGAGCTGCACTCCGAGACGCCGTTGAAGGAGGGCCAGGCGAAGACCGGACGCCCGGCGGACCGGTTCCACGCGGGGCATGGGAGAAAGACCTCCGAGAGGTTTGCCCTCAATTGCGGGGGCCTTAAAAAGAAAGGCCTTTGGGAAGCGGCCGTGAAATGTGGGGAACGTGCTTTGTTTGCAAGCTGGACGCTTTTAATCGGGTTGACCGTGTTTTGTTTGGCCGCAGTAGCCACATAGCTTTGTAGTGCTCGTGGCTGAAACGTACGCTTTCCAAAGTTTCGAGAAAACCATGTAGACATGTTCAAGCTGTTCAATGCTCAAGGTCTTCGACTTTATGGGATTTCTAGAAGCATTGATCATGGGCTTATCAATGGGAAATCGACAAGGGGAAAGCGTGAATATGTCGTGAAATTAGTGTGAACGGCCTTCGCAGGTCTAGCTTAGTGTGGAAAAGGCCTGTTGCTGACGATGTATAGTTTGAATCCCACCCAGGCCCCCATCCCCCAGCTAGCCAAACAAAGGATGTTCATGTAACGGTCTTTGTTTTAAAAAGCCTTTTACCCCCCGGGTTTGTGTATATTTGTTTTATGTTTGTGTCTACTCATATTAACGTAGATGTGTGTATTGTATATATACAATGTATGCATGTATAAGAAAAACTGGACTTGAACAGGGGTTATTGCACCCCGAAGTTGTGGTCGGTGAGTTCCAACATGTTCATGGGTAGGTTGAGTGTCCAGGTATATATATATATATATTTATACATAGATATAGATATAGAGAGAGAGATAAGCTGAAAAGTGGTTGGTGGACATGAATTGGAACGTAAATGATGTCCACCAAAAGGTCCATATTAAAGCTGATGTCCATACTGTGGTTGTACAAAATCCACGTGGCGCCACCTGAGAATCCCTGGAATGATGATTCCCAGGCAGAAAAAAGAAACTATGGTTTCTTGTGGTTTCAAAGTGGTTCAATATTTTTTCCATCCACAGTATGCATGACCAACCCGTGGCAATGGCTTCCTAGAAAGGAGGAATCAGCCCTTTTTGGGCATTGGCTTAAATTCAGGGAAAGCCAAACGGAACTACCACGTGTTGTTTTTAGGATACCCGTTGGGATTGGCTTAGATTCGGGGCAAGCCAAACGGAACTTCGCGCCTTTTTTGTGACTTTTTCCAAGTCCGGAAGCCCACGGGCCAGGCCGTGGAGTTCCAGCTGCGCTTGTCCAAGGGCAAAGAGCTCTACGTGCCTCAGACAAAAAACGCCCCATAAATATATATATATATATATATATATTTTTATGTATATTATACAGGGAAACACCAAGGGGATGGGTCGGATGGGCAATTTCCGGATGTGTAAAACAAATGCCCAAAGGGAAACCTCAAGGGATAGGCAATAAGTAAACATGCCAGGCCACCCAACGAAGCGCCCAACATTTGAAGCACCGCTTGTGGCACTTGTTGCCGGGCAGTGGGTGGGAGAATGGGTCCGTGACGGCGCAGTTCAATCAAATTCAAGTGTTGGCTTTCAATCGTGCAGACAGCTGCGTATCCTCTTGACTTCGGGATGTTTTCAGTGCACAAATCCAGCGGGATTTGCCCGCACAACTTATGGAATGGGGACTTGGGGTGACCCAGCTACTGTGGATGGCTGCGAAATCCCACAACTTGCACCACCGAAAGAAACCCTGGAATGATTCGATTCACCAACGAAAATACCAACAAACGTGATGGTTTCCCATGCTTTCAAAGTGGTGCAGGTTTTCGTCCATCCACAGTATGGCCAATCAGTGTTGAGGGGTCTTGGAGGCTCCGAGTTGGGTGCAAACAGACCAGGTCCACTTTGAAGAGAACACCAGCGGAGATTGCTTTAAACACCACATGATTTAAAATGAGGTTAGGTCAACCACATGTTGCTTTCCATGGCGATTCCCTTTCAGAAAGAGGGCACCACATGTGCCTGTTGAAACGCCAGGTATTCTGCAAAATGGCGTTCAAGTTGCAGAACTCTTTGATGGCTTCGCTTGCAAAATTGAGGGTGGTTGGTAAACATGCTTGGTTTTGCCTCAAAATGGTTATTCTCCCCTTTCAGATGGAAGGCTCCCCTTTGACACAGATGGTTTCCTTTGTTTATGCGAGTTTCGTATACGACATGGCTGTCGTCGGTCTCGCTTTTAAATTGGTGTTCTTTTCTCCCAGAGGGTCAGTCTCGCTGAAACATCAAGCAACCAAAACGCGGGCGAGTCCACATGAGGGACCATATTTTCATATTGGTGCATGTTTTCCTCCATTTCCATGCTTGGAACCTCCAAATGGTGGCAGTGTCAACGGACACCAGCTGTAAGTTGCAACCTTTGAAGGGGAAATCCAGTCCCTGTAGTACTCGTTCTTTGAGTTCTGCTTTGTTTTCTATTTGTCAGTCATTTGCCCGACAACCAGGGGCTAAGTTTAAAAGGCATGTCCATGGCTCTGAAAGAGGATCGTATCATATGCAGATCCGCGCTAACCTGGATGTTCATTGTGGCGCGTGCAGTTTTTAAATTGGTGACCCTTCGGTGGACATGGTGGGGACCAACCAATTTTGAGGCGGTTTCTTATTAAGATTCACCGTTCCTGGTTTTAATAGACCTCGCTCCTAACCCCCCCCCCCCTAGGCAGGGGGGTTTATTCAACACGGCAAAGAAAACGGTGAGGGGTGGGTTCTGGGGTTTAGCCAGTGGATCAAGGCATGGCTTATGTTTTTGTTTTTGTTTTTGTTGTACCCTTGTGAGTTTTTCCAGGGAAGCCAAAAGGAAGCTGCCAAAAAAGGGGTCCCCCCCAATTATTTGGCACATTTATGGGAGTCAGACAATTGTGTTGGTGTGTGGGTTGAGGGCGGGGGATTTCACCTCCGTCCAATCTCGACGAGCCAACTTGCGAGGAGGGCCACCGCCGAAAAACGTGACTGGTGGCTTAGGGGCTACGGACCACCATAGTCGTGGGGTCCCGTACGGCTCTAAGTAGCTATGTGATGTGTCAAAGTTGTGGACGCCCAAACGGGTGGTGTTCGTTTTGCACCACCCACAAATCATTGCCAGCTCTGTGATTCCCAGGGGCTGGTTGGATTTGTCTGGCCCAATACCGCGTTTCCCTTGATACCTGTAGAAGTGGGTCACCATGACCCTGAAGAAATGGGTCCATAACCCCCTTTTTTAAGGTAGTGTAGTAGTGACCCCAGTTAAACCAAAAAAACACACACGCACAATATTCGCGCCTGTCTCAGAGACTCCAGGTAAGGTAGTGATCGCAGTTAAACCAAAGAACACACACAATCTTCGGGTAAGTCTCGGACACTCCATGTAGTCTTTCGAGCCACAATCACAACCCGGGCAAGTGAATGTTAGTAAGGGACGATCCCAGCCATAAGTAGCTGCGGCCGCCTTCTTAGTTCTTGAAGCAGGTTTCTGGGTCGACCATTTTACGCCGGGTTTTGATTGTGACTCAAATGTTTTTGCCCAAACTTGTGGTTGGTGAAGTCCATGTTGTGAATGGGCAGTTGGCGGCCAGGCAGCCATTCTGGAAGACTCCAGGCCAAACTCTCTCGAGCTCCGAGGTGCGTTTGCCCAACTCCAAGAAGGAGGAGCTCCTCTTCAGCGACCTGCCAGAGGAAGAGCTCTATGCAGTGGCCTCGGCCACCTATTATCACACCCAGGCTGCCTAGAGCGAGCTCACCGGTTTGCGGTTTGGGGGGTAGAACGAGCGACAGCCATGACAAAGGTCCTTTGGAGATCCCTCAATTTTAGCTTTTTAGAACTTTTGTTGTCAGATTAGCAGATTCGATTCGGGTGAAGTCGGAGTCCAATGTTCGGGTTGCTTCCTCCGTGGCTTCACTTGGTGGTTTGGATGGTATTGGTTTCCCAGCCCTACAAGACCAAGGGCTTGAAAAATCCCCAGACAATCCATCCAAAGTACCAACTGGGGGTGGCCGGACAGTTTATGGCGAGCTCGCCATGATGTATCCTTACGGATTCCTTGTCTTGCTGGTGCTCAGTACGGAATGATCTTCCGGGTGTTGGGAATGAACCGGAAGGGGGGCTTCCCTTAAAAGAAGCCAAAGGGGATTGTCTTTCTCCGAGCCATTGTCATTCCAACTCATTCCCTGCCTATCGCACCAGCAAGTTTTTGGCAGGTTTTGGATTTGTAGGATTCGCAAATGGTCCAGGTGCAAGTCGGAGTAAATGGAAAACAACACAGGAATTCCCTGAGGGTCATGGTGCTTAGTTTGGAGCACCATTGGCCATGTTCCGGCTCTATAGCTCATTTAGTCGGTTTAAAAGTTAAGAATTCCTACTCCAAAATTCAAAAAGAACTTTTTGGCCTGAGGACACGGGCATTTCCACTTTCGATCGGGTATTTCTACTCTTGAACGGATATTTTCACTACCATCGAAGTGTTCATAAATCAGCACTGCACATAAATTATCAAAGGCTTATTGCGTAATGTTGGCGTATTTTTTACGTACCTCCGAACAGGTCCGAACGGGTACGAACGGGTTCGAACGGGCTCGAACGAGTTTCGAACGGGTTTCGAACGGGTTCCGAACGGTTCCGAACGGATGCCTGAGCAGTCGGAACTACCCGAACGGGCATTTTAACACGGAGTGAAAATTATCACTCCAGCATGGAAGAAAGTACTTGTTTCTTTTTGGAGTGGGAATTATTAACTTTCAAGAGATGCAGGTAGTCAGATTTAGCTTATTTCCTTGGGTTGGCGTTAATCGGCCGGCAAGCACCAGAAGATTCCTGGGTGCAACATGTCCCACAATGTCTAGATATTCCACAAGGACACAAGCAGGGGATGGGCATTGTTTTGTTTATGTTTTTTGGTCAAATTCCCTGTTTGGCACCCACCTTGGGGCAGAAACAAATTTAACTCTTCCCCAGCCTTTTTTTTGCGGGGAAAACCTTTCTAAGGGCGAATCCAAGCTTGCGAGACAAGTGTCCAAGCTGATGGTTTAAGTCAAACTTTTGTTTAAAGTTTAAGGCGAACTTGGTTTTCAAATATGGCTGCGGCTCAAAACATGGGACCCAAAATGGAACCCATGGACGCGAAAAATAAGACTACCTGCTGTTTGCCCCAGCTGTTTCATTTTGAGCCACGCCCTACCCAGAAAAGTCGATCAACCACTTTATTTATACCTGGCCCCACATTGAAAAACACTCGGTTCATGTTTCGTCCATTGGGAAGTGGACTTCAGACTGGGCTAGGGTCAATGAGGTTGAACCCTGCAACTGCGCCCAAAAGAGCCGCCCATCTAAGAAAAAGGCTCCAGTTCCATAAGTTTGGGGCAGCAACAATTCCCCATTTTCAAGTTGGAATGTTGATCGGCCTCAACCAAATACCCGGACAGTACTCGTGCCGCAGGTGGTCATCCAAAATCCCAGCGATCCTCAGCCCGCCCCGGACCTCGACCCGGACGCGAAGCAGGTGAAGAAGATACCCACGCGGCCGCACCCGGCGGCGGTTCGAACCCCCCCACCCAAAAGGAAGAAGCGTCTCGGCGGCGAGTTCTTTGTCTTCCATTTGTTAGTTGTTTTTGTTATTTCGATTATTATTGTTCCCTGTTAAAGGGAATCGATTTCACTACTGGACATAATTTTCTTCCAGGGAACTGAAGCAAATGGAGGTATGCGTCCCTTGGCTAGGATCTATGTTCACCCCTGTTTCACTTTAGGCTGTTTGGTAGGATATTAACACTTGTTGGTTGAAACATGGTAAGACATCTTTGTAAATTATTTTTTTTTTAGTTGAAACAGGTTCATGATATGTATAGTCATAATTGCCCAATGCGCTGATTGCACTCCGTGTGGTTTTGGCTCAAGAAAAGGGTGCGCTCCGCAGTGCACCCCAGAGCCGAGATATTGCATTTTGATGGTAGCGGGTGAGCCTCGACGGTCCATTTGGTTTGGAAAGCCGTACGAGGGGCCCAAGGGCAAGAACAAGGGCAAGAAGGGCAAGAGCAAGGGCAAGAAGGGCAGGGGCAAGAGTAACAAGGAGGAGCCGCCGTGGAGGCGGCCCGCTCGCGGCAAAGGCAAAGCCGCAGAGCCGGTCGAGGAGACCGGGGCAGCGGAAGAGCTGCCGGAGGAGAGGCCGGAACTAGTTGCCCCTCCGAGTGAAGAAGAGGAAGAGACCCTGTCCGCTGAGCCTGCCGCTGAGTCAGAAGCAGACTGGGGAGGATCCCAGGCTGCATCTCCTCCCTCCTCAGAGCCAGAGGCTCTGCCAAGTGGCCACAGGGGCCCAGAACCGGCTCGAGGAAGCCGGGCAGAGGAGAAGGAGGAGGAGCTGGAACAATACACCAACGAGGACAAGAAGGAGGACCTCCACCCGCCGCAGAAGAAGCAGTTTGAGCCCGAGGCCGCGGACTTCGACCTGGAGCAGAAGGACCAGAGCGAGGACGAGAGCGTGTGGGGCGATTGGGGCAGCGGGGGCAGGATCCAGCCTGAGCCCGAGCCCAAGGTCGCTCACACGCCTAGGTCGTCAGGATCTCGGTGGTGGCAGAGTGCGACTGGCAAAGACAAGAGGAGAAGCCAAAACAGTCGGCACTTTAGGATCCTCAAAGGCCTCCTGAAGCTCGCGCAGAAGAAGCAGGAGGAGCCATCTGCGGAGCTCCAGGAGGAGATCGAGAACTTCGGGCAGGCGCCCTGGAAGAGGCGCCGGGTGCAGCCCAAGACACCACCGAAGTCCCCGCCTAAGTCCAGCCCTGCTCCGAAGACACCGCCGAAGGGATTCACAAAGGCCCAAGGAAAGGAGCCTTCACCGGGCGCTGAGCCCGAGCTGCTGGCACCGGTCGCCGAGGCAGCCAAAGCTCTCGGCCGACGGGTTACGGTGCACAGGAACATCCAAGAGCTTGCGGTGGCAAGGACGTCCCGCGGTGAAGGGACGAGCGAGCAGAACCTGGCCTCGAACTACCGCCTCAGGAAGGCGGCATTGGCAGAAGCTGCACACCGAGCCGGAGCAAAGGGCTCGGTGGCCAAAGCCATCCAGCAGAGTGTGCTGCAACTGGACGGGTTAGGGAACCCGTGTTCCTCGTGCGACGAGAGGACTCGCCTTCAGAGGCCATCATTGTTGGCCAGGGCCGCAGCAATTGCAAAAGGGGCGACAAGGAGGCGCGCACCGGTAGGAACGACCTCAAAGTCAGTACCGGAAGCTATCGCGAAGCCTCAGGTGAAGCCACCTCCTGCAAAAGCGGCTGTAGAGGCGAGGGTACCACCTCCACCGCCAAAGCCGAAGCGGGTGCTCAAGGAGAAGGCCCACATCGAGAAGCCCAAGAGCGAGCCGAAGGTTTCGCTGGCTCGGCCGAAGCACCCGCCGAAGCGGCCGCCACCTCCGCCACCGACTCCGTCGCCGGCCACACCCCTGAGCGAGACCGAGGGCAGTGTTCACCTTCACGATCAACCGGCGCCGGAGCCGAAAAGCGGATCGAGCTCGGGGTCGTACTATAGTACAGAAGAGTCCGGGAAGGCGGACTGACCTCCCGGTGCTTGGCACCGGATATAAGGCATGGAGGAAACAGTGCGAGAGTTGCAGCAGGCAGTTGAGCGGTTGTCACAGGAGAATCAACTTCTTAGGCAAGGCCAGGCAGGTATAGCTGCTTTGGCAGAGAACCTTGGTAGGTTAGCTACAAGCCTGCAGAAAGGCGATAGGAAGTTGTTGATAGACACCAAAGGGATTGGAAAACCGGAAGTCTTCTCCAATGATGACGGCCACTTCCGTAGATGGGCCCGGTCTGTGGTGAACCTCACAACGGCAATCTTTGGATCCAGTTTCCAGTCAATCCTTGAATGGGTAGTTGATCAGGATGAGGAGATCACTGTTGAAAAGGTAGAAGAGGAACATGGAGGCGAACTAGGAATGGCCGGACTGGATGATAAGGGAGACCAACTGTATCGGTTGTTGTCATCCCTTACTACTCATGAGTCCGAAGATCTGGTCATCAATGCCAAGAACGGGTATGAGGCATGGCGAAGGCTTAACAGGAGATGGGACCCCCTCACCGCAGGTAGGAAGAGGAACATCCTAAGGGCCATCCTCAACCCCGAAAGAGTTAAGTCTTGGGAAGCAGTTCGACCGGCCATGGAACAACTAGATGATTTGATGCGCCGATATGAGGCCAGAAGGAACGAAAGGGGCGAGAGGGAAATCCTCTCTCAGGACATAAAGTGTACGTCCCTAGAACTTCTGGTTCCAACCGACATTGAGCGCCACCTCATTCTGAACAAGAACCGGCTGGGAACCTACGAGGAAATGAAACAGGAGATTGAGGTTCTGATTGAAACAGTCACGGGAGCCAAGGGGACGATCCATCGACCGGGGTCCAGTGGGGCTTCGAGATCGGGGCAAGGCCCCGCTCCGATGGACGTGGACGCCATCACGAAGGTGCTCAACTCGCTGGTCAAAGGCTCGAAAGGTTCGAAAGGAGGCAAAGGTAAGGGAAAGGACAAAGGTGGAGGCAAAGGCAAAGGAAAAGGTAAGGACAGCAAGGGAAAAGGTAAAGGCAGTGGTCCAGGCAGCTCAGGATCCGCAGGAGCATGCTTCAACTGTGGTAAGACCGGCCATAGAGCGGCCGAGTGTTGGAGCAAGAAGAAGAAGTCTGGCTCCAAGCAGAAGCATGTGGCAGGATTCGAGGACGCCGACTACGAAGCTGGAGACCAAGAAGAACAACCGGAGGCCGAAGTGGGAATGTTTGAGCTGGGTGCATTCACCCAGGGAGAGTCCCCGAAAGACCCAAACTGGGTTCGGTTCAACCTTGATACGGGGGCTGCTCAAACTGCCATTCCAGTGGATTGGAAAGACCGCATCCCCACTAAGGAAGGAGCCCAGATGATGTTCAAGACAGCATCGGGGGAACTGGTCCCTGGGACCGGAACCGGGACGTTTCAAGGTAAGAGTGAAACAGGTTCCAGGTGTAAAGTCACAGGGCCATTAGCACCGGTACACAAACCGTTGGTTTCAGCTTACAAATGCCTCAACCATGGAAGGATGGCTGTTCTTGATCAAAATGGTGGACAGTTGATTCCAGCAGACTCAGCGACAGGAAGGAAAATTCAGCAGTTGCTCAACAAGCCCAGTAAAGCCCAAAAGAAGACTTGGTTGCCCATATACCAAGAGAAAGGAGTTTACAACTTCTATTTGAAGTCGGAAGATTGTTCGGGTTTTGGACGGCAGTCCAGCGAGGCGTAAGTCCGGCCAAACCACTTGCAGCGGCAGATGATGCCGTGGGTGCCGGACAAGGGAACCCAGAGGCACCAGCGGGCCGACCCGCAGGTGTGCCCGAGGGTGATGAGATGGATGAGAGCGGCGAGATCGCGCCGCCCGCACTGGTGAGAGCACCAGGAGGCCCATCGAGGGCCGAGGTTGCGGAGCATGAGGCAACAGGTCACGTGCAGTATCGCAACTGGTGTCGGCATTGTCTTGCCGGCAGAGGATTGGGTCAGCAGCATCGCTCACGACCCGAAGAGGACAAGGCGAGCGATGAGCTCGCGACAATCTCGTGCGACTACACATGGATGACGCGAGATGGAAAGGAGGATGGGAAGACTAAGCCTATCCTGGTGATCCGAGACAGTCGGACACTGGCCGTTGCGGCCACCTTCGTGGACGCAAAAGGACCGACGCCATATGCGGTCAAATTCATGGCGAACTTTATAAAGCATCTTGGTTACCGTCGTGCAGTCTTCAAGAGTGATGGTGAGCATTCGATCGTTGCCCTGAAGGAGCAGGCGGCCAAGGAAGCAGGAGTGGAGAATGTTCCACAGGAGTCGCCGGTGGCTGACCACCGGGCGAATGGCGCAATCGAGAACTTGTGCCGAGAACTCAAAAGGCAGGTGAGAGTCCTGCGATCCTCACTGGAGGAGAAGTTGGGTCGAGTCTTGAAGGATGACGACCCTGTGCTGTCTTGGTTTCCAAGGCATGCAGCAGACCTGATGTGCAGGTACAAGAGAGGTTCCGACGGGAAGACACCGGAACAAAGGAGGTGTGGCCGAGAATGGAGAAAGCCGGCAATCGCCATAGGAGAGCGGTTGTATTACCGTGAGGTAGGAGAAGGAGCTAGGCCACTCAAGGAAGGCAGGTACATAGGTCACCACGGAAGGACTGGCACTTTGCTGGTTGTGACCTCAGAAGGAGTGAAGAGAGGCACTGGTGTTCGTCGACTTCCAGAAGAAGATCAATGGAATCCACAAGGATGGGAAAGCCTTAAAGGCTACCCGTGGGAGGTCTCAGTGCGAGCGCCGGGAACGCCGGGGCAGAGGGCCCCGGGAACTCCTGCTCAAGGAGTGGAGGACCTGCTGGTCAGTGAAGACCGGGTTGAGGTTCCGCCTCAGGTTGTGCCTGTTATGGCACCGCCACAGCAGCGACGGATTTACATCCGTAAGGCAGATGTGGAGAAGTACCAACCTACTGATGGATGTCCTGGATGCACTTGCGTGCTACTAGGGGAATCCACTCAGTTGCCGCACACTGAGATGTGCCGAGCGAGAATCGTCGGTCTCATGATGGATGATGAGCAAGGACGACGCCGTGTCGAAGCTCACAAAAGGAAAAGAGAGGAGACCGCGGAAGTAGGAGTGGAAGCAGATCTCCCAGCCCAAGAGGCCATGGGAGAGCCGGCCGCTGAGGCCGGAGTAGGATCTAGGCAAGACCCTGGACAAGTGATGGAGTATGTGGAGGATCCCGCGAAGAGGGCTGAACTCAAGAGAGCAGCAGCAGACCCGCCAGCATCGAGTAGCCCAAAGAGCAAGGCGAAGCCGACCACGCAGATCAAGAGACCGGGAGCGCTGTATATAGCGCCCGGAGCCAAGCAGAAGACGCAGCAGAAGCAAGGTGAGAAGCGAGAGCCCGCAGTATCTCCTGAAGAACTCCGAACGGAGACTCAACCGGCGGCTGACGCCGAGACTTCAAACACCCCGGACAAGCCCCCAGACGTGGGTGGACTTGAACTGGGTCGATTGAAGAGGATGTTGAAGTCCATGGTTGGACGGAAAGTAGAGAGAGCGTTTTTGGCTCAGGAGGTGGAGATCAACGCGGTCGAGCTGGAGCAGATCACCAAGCTGTGCGTGGAGATGGGCGCTGTTGATATCATGGAGATCTACAGCCCGAAGCGGTTCACGGCCCAAGCCGGGCAGTATGGCTTGAGGCCGGGCTTTGCGGTAGACCTTGAGGAGCAGAAACCGGACGGTTCCTACTGGGATCTCAGCAAGACTGAGGACGTCCGAGAGCTCGAGGAGTATGTGGACGAGGTCGAGCCGACATTGCTCACAGGGAGCCCACCTTGTGACCAATTCTCCCAGCTCCAGAACATCAACAAGTACAGGGTGAGCCCAGACAAGAGGCGCGAGAAGATGGATAGAGCAGTTGCTCATTTGCATACCGCCTGTAGGTTCTACAGGAAGCAGTTGCAGGCAGGTAGGTTCTTCTTGCATGAGGCACCGTGGAGTGCTACCTCTTGGAAAGACCCGGAGGTCCGTGAGCTCACTGAGAGACCGGACGTGTACACTGTCCGAGGCCCAATGTGCAGATGGGCTATGGTCGCTACGGACCGGAGGGGTTTGCAGGGCACAGGATATGTGCGGAAAGAAACTGGCTGGATGACCAACCATCCAGGTTTGGCCCAACTGTTGGAGGGCGAATGCACCAACAATGTGCCGGGGAAACCATGGCACCGGCACATCCACCTGATCGGAGGACTCGCTAGACCGGCGGCCCGTTATCCGCCAGCGCTAGTGCGAGCGGTCCTGAAGACTTTGAAGAGCCACCTTGTAGAGAGTGGCCAGTTGAGTGCATTGGACGCAGCAGTTGCAGGTCCAATCCCAGAGGAGAGCTTCGTGACGCCGGAAGACGTGGAGCAGTACTGGGACGACGTGAATGGTGGGTTTTTGCCACCAGACCGAGTCAGGGAGGCACGTCAGCTCGAGTTGGACTATCTTAGGAAGCAAGAGGTTTACGAGAAGGTGCCGCTCGAGGAATGCCTCAGAGAGACCAACGGGAAGGGTCCAATCACCACCCGTTGGATAGACACCAACAAGGGAGACCCCGCCAATCCCAACTTCAGGTCGAGATTGGTGGTCCGGGAGATCAAGGCCCGGAAGAGTCCAGAGGAAAGGATTCCTCAGAACATGCTGTTTTCGTCAACACCGCCTTTAGAGGCTATGAGGCTGCTATGTAGCCTATGGGCCACTGAGCGTGTATCCCATGGAGGACGACCACTCAAGATCGGACTTTGGGATATATCAAGAGCCCACTTCTATGGCGTACCCAAACGCCGCATATACATCCAGTTGCCGGACGAGGACGCCAGTCCGGGAATGGTGGGTCGTTTGACTAAGTCGATGTACGGGACACAGGATGCCCCTAACATATGGCAGCAGCACTACACGCAGCTGTTGATCAAAGCCGGATATCTCCGGGGAAAGTCAAATGGCTCAGTGTTCTATCACCCGACACTGGGAATAAGAGTGCTGGTGCACGGAGATGATTTCATGGCGTTAGGAGACGCCGAGGCGCTGAAGGAAGTAGATACTTTGCTTCGCAGTGCCTACGAGTTGAAATGGCTCGGGACGATAGGTGATGAGGAAGGAGACCACAAGGAGGTCCACTTTCTCAACCGGCTCATTCGTTGTGAACAACATCAAGGAGCGAGTGCGATCCTGATCGAGCCAGATCGACGCCATGTTGATTTGCTTGTGCAGCAGCTTGGCATGGAGAATGCCAAGGGAGCGGAGACACCGGACGTGAAGAAGTCCGTGGATTTGCAGATGCAGGAAGCCCGGAGCCCAGCTCTACCGAAAGAGCAGGCTTCCCTGTATCGCTCATGCGTGATGAGGGCAGCGTACCTGTCACAGGACAGGTTGGACATCAGCCACGCTGTGAAGAATCTTGCGAGGAAGATGGTTTCTCCTACAGAGGCATCTTTGCAGGATTTGAAGCGACTGTGTCGCTACCTCATCAAGAAGCCGGACGTGTGTCAGGTCTTTGCACGGCAAGCCAAGCCGAGCAAGCTCCGAATCCAGGTGGATTCCGATCATGCCGGAGACGCAATAACGAGGAGATCCACAACAGGCATGGTTGCTCTGTATGGGTTGCATGTGCTCAAGCACAGCAGCAATGTGCAGTCGACCATCGCTTTGTCGACTGGGGAGTCGGAGTATTATGCTCTTGTCAAAGGAGGTTCAGTTGGTCTAGGCCTACAGTCACTCTTGGAGGACTTTGCGGTCGAGACCCAGGTGCTGATTCAATCAGATGCGACTGCAGCGAAAGGAACTGTCAATCGGGCAGGTCTGGGAAAGGCCCGTCACATCCAGACGAGGTTCCTGTGGTTGCAGGAAAGGGTCAGCATGGACCATCTGAGGGTGGAGCATATCCCTGGCAAGTCCAACAGGGCGGATGCTCTAACAAAGAGCATTCCAGGTGTACAGATGTCTGAGACCATGCGAAGGTGTGGTTATGTTTTCCTTAACCAGCGTAGCAAGGGACAGCTTAAGCTACTAGAAGGCTAAGGTCCCTGGCCAGACTCCGCTACCTATATTGCTGTGCGAGCGTGTACAGAGACGCTCTTCCAGCAAGGAGGAGTCATGATATGTATAGTCATAATTGCCCAATGCGCTGATTGCACTCCGTGTGGTTTTGGCTCAAGAAAAGGGTGCGCTCCGCAGTGCACCCCAGAGCCGAGATATTGCATTTTGACAGGTGCGACTTGTCATTCCCATAAAAAGTGAACAACTTTTGGCGGAGGGGTGGTTACAGCAGCCAAGGTTTGGCCTCTAAGGTGCTTGGACCCGGGTTGCTTTCTACCGGTGAGGTTCCAACTCTATTCGCCAAGGCTGGGTGAAAACCTCATTACCTGGAATCTCCATGACCCTTTAAAAATGGTTGGTCATTACCCAAAACAACCGGATCATGGACCCATTGTTGATTCGGGTCATGGAGACTCCAGGCAGGTTTTTAGGGGTTGGTGGGGGTTTCCGCTTAGCCCACTAAAAGTTAAGCTTATTAGCATGGGATCTGAGGATTTGCCCTTCGGTTTGTGAATTTGCCGCGAAATGTGTTGTTTTGGGCATGGCAAGCTATGGCAAGACCTTTTGCTGGTTGACCAATTGAATGTTTTTTTTTTTTTTTTCTGACAAATGAGTTCCTTTCACATGCGAAAAGCGACATGCTTTTCCTGCGCAAGATATTGGATCCCATTTGGGGTGGTTGGACCCCTTTCTTTGGGGCGGTTTCCATTTTCCGAGCGCAAGCTGCACGGAAGTGCCTTTTTTCGGCAATTCCAGGGAACCCAGCCGTGAAATATAGGCAACTAGGTCCCCCAGTAGTGCCCTTTCTCACCCCTTTTTTGGGGGAGGGTTCCCCTACTAATATAGAGTACAGAAAAAAGCTGGTACCCTTATTCTAACCTCTCTACTGGAGAACCTAGCCAAACAGGGATCGAAGGGTTACCGCCTGTCTCAGTGAAGCGAATCGACGTTTTGACCTTTGGTTTTCCCGTGTTTCCCCATGGGAAAGCTATGGGGTCAATAGGCCAACAGTAGAAAGGCTTATTCGGGGGGGGGTGTGTAAGGCAGCTGAAAGAAGGAGGGTTCCTGAGATTCGGTTCCAGGAATTCGGGTGCCAGGGCTGTTGGGGTATCACCTGAGCTTATTTTCCATATGTAGTCCAGGTTCCACCATGTGATTACCTTGAATTTCCTGCTGCAAACTGTGCAACTGAGTGGCAGGCGCCTACCCTGGGGTTCAGTTGCCGGTTAATATAACCACCATTTACCTAAGGATGGTCATCATCTAAATTGGGTCCCAAGGCCTTTGTTTTACTGGGGGCGAATCGGAACCCCGGTCTGGGCTCGGCCCAGGCGAGCCTTCCCGCCCTTGCCGGCCTTTAACAAGAAGGGCCTCGTCGAATCCGCCGTGGCGAAAGTGGAAGGCGGGGGCGGCAAGCCGGGCATGACTTACTTGAAGTTTGCATGGACCCTTTCAAAATGGGCCCACAAGCCCTGTATCCCCTTGAGTTTCATTGATGGAATCAATGCCAACAATTTTTGGAGGTCGTGGAAACTGCGCGAGGAAGCCAAGTTCCATTGTTCGGGCGTTTGGAGGTTTGTGTGTTTTACCTCCTCAGGGCTGGGTTGAGTTCTTGGGTCTGGTTGCCTGCCTGGTTGGTTGGCCGCATCTCCGGATCTAGGGCACTGCCTCTGATTTGGCGGCTGGGAGTCAACAGCAGCCTGTCAGCCCCAAAAAGAACCCAAACCAAGACCCAGCCTCAGTAGGAGCTAGGGGACAACACAACACAAGTAAGCCTCTGAAGCCCTTCCTGAACTGATTGAACCCCGCTATCGACCCCAGGGCTGTCAGGTGTTGGGAGTGTTTTGGTTTTGAGTTGGTGCGCCCTTTTGGTAGGTTCAGGGAATCCAATTTGAATCCCGATGCCATTTGTTGAGGGCTCCAAATTCTAAATGAACCGCCCTTGACAACTGCACCATGTGTGTTTCAGTAGAATTTCAGTTGCCCACATAGTGGCCAGCTATCTCCCTTTAGTTTTTATATCGGATGGTGCGGCGCTTGCCCTTGGTTGCCTACAAACTCAGGTACCCTCCCACCCTTCTCACATGGAAGCTGACGTTCGATTCGGGGCTCTTGGTTTGGACCATCTTCCTCAACGATGAGGCCCGAATGTCGGGTTCCTGGTGAAAAGAGTTGGAGGGTGCCTACAAATCCAGGTACCTGGGCCCTCCAAATCCCCTCAAATAAAGGGAATTCACCCCATAACTATCAGGTTCCATGTGAAAAAAAGTTGGAGGATAGCTACAAAGCTTGGGTGAACTGGATCCACCTGGAGTCTCCATGACCCTTCAAAAATGGGTCCATGACCCCTTTATTTTGGGTCATGACTCCATGTTTGAAGGGGCATGGAAACTCCAGGCACGTCTTTGTGTGACTTCAAGGCTTTCAAGTCCTCACAACTGTCAAGCCTTTCAAATCCTTTCCAATGACCTTTCTTCAGTGTGTGAAAAGGGTGGGAAGGTACCTACAAAACTTGGTTAACTGGATCAGGATCCACTTGGTTTCAAGTCTTCAGGTGGTGCGGCTTGGGAGCTTGAGGAGCTGGAGCGGAAGGTCTTGAAGAACGAGCTCCTCGGCATGCCAGGTACGGAAAAAAGTTGGTACCCATCCTCTCTACTGAAGGACCTAGGTGCCCGACTCCAACGCTAGCACCCGCCTGGAAGAATTCGATTCCCCAGCAGAATTTCCAAGACTATGGTTTCAACCACGGGGTATTAGGTGGTGCAGGGTATTGTCCAGCAGTAGGGGGGGGCGGGGGTGAGGCCCCTCCAAAAGTGGTCTGATTGCCCACTAAACCCAAAAGACACCCCCCCCAAACTGGGGGGTTTATGTCATCCGGGGCTAAGATGAGTCACGGAAGACCAATTGAGTCGCAAGCTGATGGCTAATGCCCTGGCCAGTCTACCTGGAGTCATTACCCAAAACAAAGGGGTCATGGGCCCAATTTAAGGGTCAGAAGGAGACTCCAGCCTACTTGAAATCCAAAGGAACTGCCTGGACGACCGCATGCGTCAGCAGATGGCCTTCCTCATGCAGTACGGCATCATGTTCCGGGAGTGCGACTCCCTGGAGGCGAGCAGATGCCTCCGCCCCCCACAGGCCAAGGATAGATGAGTCAGGATCAAAACTCGGTGTTGAAATGGTCTACCCAGAACCATGTAAAGAATTAAGAAGGCGGATATCCGCAACTTTTTCTGGCTGGGACTGCCCCATACTAACCTTCATCTACCCGGGTTTTGATTGTGACCCTGATGAGCCTGATTGGAAGTAAGGCCCGAGGGCCAAGTAATTGGCACCGAAATTCCTCAGGCCCCCTGAATTGGTGAAGTGTGTGCAATTTTCGCTCATGTATGCATACGTCAATGTGGAAAATCGTATGTCCAGAGGTCGTGATATTCCTCGACTTTTTGGGTGATGAGCACCACTTGGTTGCCTTGTTTCCAGCTTCATTTTGCAAAGGTGATGTTTAGGGACACCAGGAGTTTGAAGGTTTGTTTGCGGAGTGCTGATATTCCCCGATTGGGTGATGAACACCACACTCTGAGGTGCTATGCTTTCAGGCTCCTGACCCTACCATCTTACCTCCAACTTTTCGTTGTTGTCTTCGATTGGCTGGAGCCAAGAAACAACCAGCTTGAAGTCACTGGAACTCGGTGATCTTCGGATGCTTGGAGCTTGCAGCAACTGCACAAGGCGAGCATTTTCCGCACCAAAGCCGCGGTGTGTCACCGGTGTGTTTCTTCTACCAGGGTGTTTGTGCATGTGTCGTGCTTTGAAGGGAAACCGACAGCAACCACCCGTTCTGTGAGTTACATCTTCCATTTTTTCAATGAACCGCTTAAAAGACTCCATAATGCATAAGGGACGTCTAGTAAAACAGAATGTCCTGAATTGAAATCCCACAGCTCATTGCCTTATTTGAAACCGCTTTGTTCACGTTTTTTTTTTGGGGTTGCCAGGCATGCTTCAACGAGCGCGTGGTGGATGACGGCATCATGGTGGTCCGGACGCTGAAATCGGCGGCGCTGCCGAATGTCCTGCTGTCCTACTTCGAGGGCGGCTTTGGGGGCAACTCCATGGGCTTCATGCAGCTCGATGCAAAGAAACATGGGCGTGTTCTTTTTTTCAGGATGCCCCGTTTATGGTGGGAAAGCAACTTTTCACAGAATCTATGCCAGGATTTCGACTAGTAATCATGGAAAATGGAATTTACCAACCACGCTTTTCGGTTGCAACAGCCCATGTTGACGGGAATTTTGAGTCTGCAGGTGTTTGTTTTTACAGGATACCAACAATTTGTGGTGGTGTTAATTAAAGGGAAACCTGAAGGACAACCACTGTTGACAGAATCCATTGAAGAATTTGGACTAAGGGAGCTGTGATCATTACCTGGATTTTTGACCGTGGAGCATTTACTTGTTCCTCCAGCACGACATGTGCCTGTTCAGAGTGGTCTCCAGAGACCTCACACCCCCCAACCCCCACCCCAGCTTGTTTGCTTTTCTGGCAGATACATCACTCGTGTCCACGTTGACATAGAACCCAGCAGAAGGCTCTTTTAAGGGAAAGTAGTCCAAAACAGGATCCCCGTGTCAGGTTCCGTGTGGATGAAAGTCCAGGATCCCCCAAAAATTGGATGCCGATCCGTTTTTTTGTTTTTGTTTTTTCCCCTCCCCATGGGACCGACCCTGGGCAGCTGAGCCATCGCACTATTTTGTTTTTTTCGCCTGCGCAAAGTACGCCTGTGGCTGTGCTTCATAGAAGCACCCCGGAGGATGGTGGAGGAGGATGGCGTCACAAAGTGCATCCTGGAAACCTTGCCTGACCGAAGCCTTACCTTTTGAGCTGTTTCTTCTTGTGTTTTTCTCCCTGGAAACTCACGCCTTAAAGTACCCTCAATTCAGCTTTCCTCTAATTCGTGGTTTGGATTGGCGGTTTGGGGATTTGAATCCGTAACCTTTGTAGAGAGTTCATGGGAACCCCTCCTTATCTACCAAACCACCAATCCAAACAACCACTAAGAGGGAGGCTGAACAACAACGGTTTGTTGCTCACATTTATGGTTGGTGAACACCAACTTGTTTATGGGTAGTTCTTTCGGGTTCCACAAATTTGTCCCTTTCAACCGGCCGAACGTTACCTTTTAGGGAGCCGTTTGGCCAAGGAAAATTGCGACACAGACCTGAGTTGGCGAGGTCCCAACGAAAAGTCGAAGGCGCGGTCAGTGAGGGTATGCGGAGGGTCAGAAATGCTTGGACCGGACCTGGCTATGAATTTTGAGACTTGGAACCACCTCAAATCTGATTGGTTGACGCAAATCCCTACACACCCAAAGCTTCTGGGATGGATTTTGAGTGTTTCTCGATCTCCCAAACATATTATGTGGGCAGTCTAAACCTAAACCAGAATCAGAGCACATTATCCTGCTCAGTTGCCCAAAGCGAATCGACCTTTTGATATGTTGTCAAGGTCAGAAAGGGCGATCATCTCTGTTTTTTCAGGTCCCTAGAAGGAGCAAGTGAGTCTTCTACGCACCATTTTGTAAATGCAAGTTGGTGTGCAGAGTGTCCATTTCGTTTTTTACTCTCGGCCCCGCTTCAGCACTCTGTCGATCGGCGCTGATTTTGTCCATCAACATTTGGCGTTCCTCTCAAGTATCCTTCCGTTCGAAAATGGCTCCCCAGGGAAATGGCTCGCAACACATTGGACACGGGCAGACTTAGACTATCAGTTTTCACCTAATTGGTGATTTGGATTGGTGGTGTGGGTTTTTGACCCCCTGGTTCTTGTTGAGGGTAAACGGGAAGCCACCCCTTAACCACCAAACCACCGGGCTCCAAACCACCAATTAGGGCGAAGTTGAGCTTATATTGCCATTTTGGTTATTCTCAATTTTACTTTTGAAGCAACACAAAACACACATAGTTGTTTTTGTTTTTGTTCTTCTTTCCGGGTCGTTCTTTTGCCAAGTCAACAGAGGGGTGACGAGAATGGAGACACTCATTTAATTGAACACCTGGAATCTCCTGCTGACCCCTTAAGCATTGGGGGTCAGAAAACCATTTGATAGTTTAACCGTGTGTATTTTCCTTTGATGGTATCTGTAAACATTAACAGGAATTTGCCTCAAAATGGGGGACCACTTATGGTGGCTGGTTTCCTCTTGGTTTGCTTGTTGCGGCCATCCAAGCTTCCAAGAAAGGGGCCCCCGTTTTGATCAACGCACACTTTTTCTGAGGGTACCCCCTTTTTGGTGGTCCTCAAGGGAAACCAAGAGGAAAGCGCAACACTCTTTGGGGGGGTCCGTGTGCGTGCTCAAGAACTCCAGTTTTCTCCTGGGTTTTACAGGGAATCCGTAGACGAATTTTGGCCGGAGGACTTCAGGAAAGCTGAAGCCTCGCTGGGGTGGGGGGGGTACCCTAAAAACGCCACCCCGGACCCTCAAAATCCAACTTAAAGATTGGGTAATTGCCTGCCCCAAGCCTATGGAGCTGGTGAATTCTAGCTGGTTTTTCTGGGTTCTGTCGGGTCTAGGCACCCTCAAAACGCAACTGTGTCTCATGGACATAAACCAACAACGACCCCCATAAATTAAACCATCCCCTGTTTCTTTTCAGGGCCCCCGGGTTCATTCCCACATTGCTGAAGCAAGAGAATCGGGATACATCTGGCGGTGTCCCCCATTTTGAGCATCGCACACTTTGTCTGAGGCTACCCTTTTTTGGTGGTCTTAAAGGGAAAGCCGAAACACTCTTGGGGGGAGAAAAAAGCCCTAGAACTAACATAGTTCCGTGTGCGTGCTCAAGAACTCCTGTTTTCTTCTGGGTTTTACATGGAATCCATACTACTGGACGAATTTTGGCCGGAGGACTTCAGGAAAGCTCTTGGGTGGGGGCCGGGGGAAAAAGACATACTTCTGCGTGCTCACGAACTCTCGTTTTCGAGGTGCTCCAAGAACTTACGGCCAACCTAGTTGGCCCAGGCCCAGCCCCAAAAGCCACGGGATCGATCCTCTTGGGGAGGGGGGGGAGGGTTCCCCCCCCAAAAAAGAATGCCACACCCCTTGGACTTACGTTAAGGAAAGCAGAAACCCTCTTGGAGGGTGGGGGTTCCCCCCCAAAAAACCGCCACACCCCTTGGCTTCAACTGGAACCGCCTGCTCGCGAGTCCGCAGACGCCAGGCGGCAGAGGCCTTTGTCCAGGCCTTTTGGACCATCCGCTACGACGACTAGCCCCCCCACTTTCGTGGGGATTCTCGAAAAGAGTGGCGGAGCCCCCCGGTCTTAATTGTGGGGAGACAACGTGGGTCATTTGAGTTGTTGCTTTTTGTCCAAAAGGCCGGTTGAGTTGAAGTTTCTTTATTGGAGGCAGTTGTGTTTTTGGGGGTACCTGAACCCTCAAACTACCCATAAATATATAGGGGAATTCACTCAATGTTTGTGTTAATCACCATTTTTTAAGCTGACAATTTGAGGGTCCAGGTACCTATTTCGGTGTCTGAGAGGAAAACTAAAAGGAACCACTTGCGCGGGCCCCCCAATTGACGCACTTAGTGGGCTCTTTTCTCCTTTTTCAGCTTGTTTTTGGCTGGAGCTTCCAACCTTCTTGAAAATCAAATGCCAAAGGTGCCCTTGTTTCCGCATCTTCGCTGGGGATCTGGATTATTTAGAAGATCATTTCAGGGAAGAAAAGGGAACCCGTATCTGATGCACGTTCCCTTGGGGAAGGCCCAACGTGACCAGGCAAGTTGAGTCACTGCGTGGCTGCTCCCCGATTGATTTGAAATCGATTAGATGCCTAAGGCTCCATGTGAGTAAGACTCGGTTTAGTTTATCCCCAAATGGTTCTGGAAATGTGGAAGTACTGCATTAACAAATGCCCACCAAAAATGAGTAGGACATGGAGCCTTGGGGACGGGCATGTGTCCACCCGAGCAAAATTTATGACTCAAAGAATCTGTCATATTTGTCCCCCAACGAGCGGCCCTAAATGGGTCTGAATCGACACATTGCTCAGAGACCCGGTCGGGTCTTCTAGAGATCGGCTTAGCTGCAGAAAAGACTTGAGCCATTGGCACTGCGTCACTCACTTCCCCATTGGCAAGCGACAGGGACTTTTGGGGAACCCCAAAGAAATTCCAACTTAATGGGGTGAGTTGCAACCCAAGATATGGAACTGGTGAACTTGCCAACTTGTTTTATGGGTAGTTTGAGGGTCCAGGAAGATAAATTGAGCATCCTACCTGGTGGATCCCAGTTACCCATATAGTCGGCATCCAGCTATTTTCCTTTTGGTTTTTACACCGGGTGGCAAGCCCGTGGTATATACAGGTAATCTGAGGTTTCATATGTACCCGGGCCCTCCTTACATGCCAGGGCTTTGGGTGCTCCAACACTGCCCTTCATGTGGGAGTAAGCAACTCACTTCCGTGTATGGACTTTAGTCACTTTTCGGGTTTGGACCATTTAAGTGGCAAACCAAAAGCTTGAATTAACTTGTTTGGCCAGTCCATGGGTTGGAAATTGGTAGCATCTTTAGGTGGTGCAGGATTTTGTCTATCCGCCATAGCCGACTTCCAAACGTGTTGTACGGTGCTCATATAAGCAGAACATGGGACAATATCCTCATGGGTACGTATTGCCCATTTCCAAGCTTGTCTTCACCTCATGTTCCGTTTGAACTACCTGGAGTATCCATGACCCTTCAAATTTGGTCAATGACCCCGTTTTTGATTCGGGTCATGGAGACTCCATTTGGCAGCAACATTTGAGTTTTTACCGGTTTTTGGCACTTGTGCTGCTGTCACTGCACCGTGCCCGCGGCTCAAAGGATTGGCCAAGATCAAGGGTCCATGAGAGTGAGCAATGAGTCCTCGAAGATCAAGTACCTTGTAAGAACCTGGACTGTTCTTACTCTCAAGACCGTCTGAAAGTGGGCTCGGAGGGACATGGAAGCTTGTTTTGGATGAAATGGATAAGCGCACAGCTTTTGGAACACGTGTTGTTTGTTCAATCTCGATCACGAAACCCGGGCCCCGCGCTCGCGCTTTGACTCGTGCTCGTCAAGACGCTTGTCACAACGAGTTCCCAGCCCAACTTTCAGATTAAATGAGAGAGGTGTGTGACACAACCCGTTTGTTCAAGAGGTTTTGTGGCACAGCCCACACATCAGTGACTCATCACATTCATGATCTGACTCTTAGCTCGGGAGTCAGAAACCCTCAGAAACCTCATGCATGGAGCTGCTGCGTGCATGGCTCTGAGCCCGGTCGCCGTGTCCTCGGACGAGGCGAGCATTCAGTTTGAAAAGGATGACACCACCAAGACCCCCCCAATGCCAAGCTGTCAAATGGCTTGTTGCATGACCTCCTTTGGAGGGGTGACAAACACTTGACTGGGAGAATAGCTCATTTGGATGTGACTCAGAATCAAGCACCCAGGCCGCAGATGTTGTGTTTTGGTTCTGCAAACTGAAGGTGGGGCAGGTGGGGGGGTTCCCAATGATTGAACCACAGCCATGTGGCATTTCTTTCCCGCCACTGGAGGTCTGAATCAGCCCCCTGAGAGTTCGCTGTAGCCAGCACTGGGCAAGTAAAATGGGTCTCTTTGAAGATCCCATTTCAGCGGCCGTGGCTGGGCAAATCAAATTCTCTTTGATCGAAGGGCGAACGGCATGGTATCTGCAGGTGGCAAGCCTAACCTCCACCGATAGCCACCGATTGGAAGTAAGCTAGGCTAAATTTCTCCAAATAATCATAAATATATATATATTATGCGTATATATATATATATATTATGTATATATATATATATATATATACATACACGAGTCTGCCTATTTTATGGCAAGCCCAGCTGGGGGAGAAACCCACCTCGAGCTCACTATGATTTGGATTTTTTCTCGGGGATCCCGTGCTTCCAGACTTGACATCATTCAACTTGTTGATATGGATGGGGTGGGCGTAAAACTACCTGGAGTCTCCGTGGCCGTTTAAAAATTGTTGGTCCATACCCAAAACCAAGGGTGCTGCCCCCATTTTCCAAGGGTCGGAAGGAGACTCCAGGTAGGGATTAGCTTCAACCGACACCACGTAACCCTCATGGGGGCTGGAGGCGGGGGCCCTAAATAAGGCAAGGCTTGCTGGGGCTTCCTTCCCCTCCCCTCCCTCCCCCCCAACCCACATGAAACCCAAGGGTTGATGCATTTCTTGTCCTTGCCGTGCAAGGAGCCGGATCCAGAGACTGCGAACCTGAAGCCTTTGCCTCAGCCCAGTCCTACTGTGGATGGACAAAATCCTGCACCTCTTGGAAACCAGAATGAAATGATTATTTGTTGGCATTTACAGCAAAATCATCATTCCATGGTTTCTTTGGTGGTGCGAAATGGATTTCGCAACCATCCACAGTATGTAGGCTTTGAAACGTCGATTCTCACCGTTCGGCTAAGGTTTCCACACCTTGAGCGGCGGTTGGGGTCTGTTGAGGGGGGCTCCCTCTAGAATCTAGAGTCTCCTTCTGACCCCTAGAAAATGGTTGGTCATAACCCCCTTTTTGGGGTAATGACCAAGCATTTTCTTCGAGGGGCAGGTCATGGAGACTCCAGGTACCAAACATTTGCCGCTAGCAACCCGGAAATGCCTGAGGGGTTACGATCGATCCGTGTTGTTTCTCCAGACAGGCAAGCCCCTGGTTTTCCCGTAATGGGGGGTGGGGGCCCTCCAAAAGTGAGGAAGCTCCAACGAAAAAGGCTACACCAATGATAAACTCAATCAGGGGTTTATGAATCCGGGGTAAACATACCACCGACTTCCAATTTAGAGCAGCTGCCAGCTTCAATCGGCAAGCTTTTCCACTGCAGCTAGACAATTGCATGAAAGAGCCACGTAGCCACGCGGTCAACACAGGCCACGTTTGCATGTGATGCACTCAATCGTCCTAATTGTTGGGAACCCTTTTGGAGGGCTGGCGAAAGGGAAATGACAAGAAAGCCTGCCACGTGTCGTTTGATTCTTATTTCTGGACCCCACCATAGCGTGCAACATATCATGTCAACACGCAAGGTGAATCTGAGAAAGAATCTCGTCCATCTTGCAACGTTGGGGCATGTCAAATGTTCCGATTCTTTTTAGGCATATTTACCTGGACCCTCAAAATTCCCTTAAATCAGGTTATTGCCTCAACATTTTGTGAAATTCATGTTTTTTGGGGTAGTATGAGGGTTCCGGTATATAATGTATCTTTGTCCTACCGAAGGCGTGTGTCACCGAGCAAACATGTCATGCTTGGATTACGTTCAATGTCCCAGACCTCCAGCCATGGGTCATGCGCGTTTTGTCCGCGCGAGTTGGCAAAACGGAGACCAGAGCAGCCAGAGGCAGCAAAGCGCCTTTCAGCTTGCTGTCCACTTCTCTGGTGCTCTTGCTGTCTCCACACTCACCATGCGGAGTCACTCGCGCCCGAATGAAGTTCCCATAGCCAGGCGAAGGAGAATGCTGGAACGACCGCGGCAGCAGTTCCGCTCCCAAACCGGGCGGGCGCCCCAGGACAAGGGGCGCTTCTTCCTGCTGACCCCCACGGATCCTAGTATTTGTACGCAGGTGGGGAGAAGCGAAGCGGCAGCCCCCATTCGACGAGCGATCAAGCACTGCCGCTCTAGAAAGGGGCTGCTGGATCATTTGGCCTCTGCCTCATGCAAGGGCTTGCTGGACACTAGCGTTCTCGCCGCAAGCCTGCAGACATGTGGCAATCAGCAATGGTGGGACACGCTGAAGGCCGTTTTGGCTTTGGGTCGGGAGGGCCAGGTTCCATTCAATGGCATAGCGCTGTGCGTGTTGTTTAGGGCTCTGGTGTCTTGTGTGCGCACGTTTGGTGTACCTCCAAAGCCCTTGTCCAGACGGAAAGAGCATGCGCTAAAGTTGGCCAAAAGGGCTTTGGGCGACTATGTTCCCGTGTCGGAGATCGATTTCAACTCCCTCCTCTCCAGCATGTGCCGGTTATGTGATGAAATCGGCTCTGCAGCAGCACTTGCCTGGGCAGATGAGAAGTGGAGCATTTCCGAAGGCTTTGGCTTTCGCAGGGATATCGTGACCTACTGCACACGGCTGCAGCTGTTGGAGCGTCATGGACGGCAGAAGGAAGTCGATGTCATTCTACGCAACTACTTGACTGGTCCAGATCTTTCTCCGAATGCTGTTGTGCTGGGTGGCTTGGTGAACGCAGCGGCCACAAATTGCGATTGGAAGAGAGCTGACAAGTTGTGGTCTTATTTGGTTGGAAGGCGGCATGTTGAGCCACATGAACCGGCTTACTTGGCTTTTGCAAAGGCACATTTGCTGTCAGGAAAGCCTGCGGAGGCTGCGTGCATCATTGAAGATATGTTGGCCAAAGGCTTTGGCGCTGACGACTACAAAGTTGCTGTGGACTATTTGCAAAGTTTGGTGGTTGTTGCCCACTCTGCGCCGACTCCAGCCAACCTGTCCAAGCTCACCTCCGCCCTGGCCAACGCAGATCTGGTGGCGGCAGCCACTCGAGGGAACGTCCCGAATTCCGCCAGGGTCTGGTGGGGAAGCCTCTCTCAAGTGGTAGACGCCTTGCAGGGCGGTGTGTTGGAGCTGCGGCTTAAGGATGTTCTTGTGACCAGCAATGCAAAGGAGCATAGCATCATGAAGGATTGGGAGAACTTTCAAGCAGGTTCAGCCTATCTAGGATGTAGATCTTGAGCCGCGAGACAGCAAAAGCATGCGCTCAGGATTGAATTCGATTTCATTCTGCAGCAGCATGCAGTCGGGTTCAGGAAGCAAAAGCTGTAGCGCAGATGTTTGGACATTGGCCTTCCTGCAGAGGCGCGGTGTGGATGTCATCACCGTGGAGGACCGTCCGGCTGTGTGCCTCTCCAACAAAGGCGCAAACAATGCATTAGGCGCATGTTTCCACTTGTTTGATTAGGTAACTTGAGCGCAAGAAAAGCCCCCGGAACCGCAGACATACATATAGATATATGTTTTTACTTTTAACCAGGCTCCCGCCTGCTGCCGCCGACCCTCGGCGCATTAAGGGAAAAGTCACAAGGACCGGTCCTGAAACACGTCCGCAAACCCAGGGACCACTCATAAGACCCTCTACGACCACAAACAAGGATTAACGGAAAAGTCAGACATATGGCAGCTAGTCCGTTAATTACCGCTTGGGCCGGCTTGCGCCCAAGTCACTTCGAGTTGGCCCGGGAGCAGTCGCCTCTCCCGGGGTCGCCCTGAATCTGGCCCTCCCGAAGTTGCCCTGGACCGGTCGCCGGCAGGGACCGGGAGGGGCTGGTCCCAGTCTGGCGCGGTTTGACTCGACGTATTGGACTCTCTTGCAGAATAGATCCAGGGATCCTCTACTACCACAAGGATTAACGGAAAAGTCAGACAGATGGCAGCTCGTCCGTCAATAACCGCACGGGCCGGTTTGCGCCCAAGTCACGTTGAGCTGGTCCTAGAAACAAGGCCGTTGGTGCCCCTCAACCGGTCGCAGGGTGACGACCCTGTCCAGTGTCCTGAAACACGGGTGCCAGTCCGGAAAGGCGTCTGGAGCGGTTTGAGGTGGCACCACAGCGATACCAGCGGTCACACCAGGACTCCATGCCGGGACCGGCTTCAGTCCTGCAGGGACCGGTCCCGGGACCGGTCCTAGAAATCCACTTTTCGTGCGTTCGGGCGGTTATGCAGGGACTATCATTGATTCCAATCACTTCCCCTCTGTAGGAGGCTGGGACGGGAGGCAGAGGGTCGGCGGATTCATTTATATATATACACATAGATTTATATTTCTTTATTAAAGAAAAGAGGTGGACGGTAGGCGCATGTGGCGCAGTGTCCGGGCGGGCACTGTTCGGTGTCACCTTTTGGCGCGCCCTTTCTCAGTAGGTCTGCGTTTGGACGCCACGGGGTTTGACTTTTAGTTTTTGTGAATATGTAGATGGATCTATATATATATATAGGTCTGTCGGGTTTTTGAGGTACCTTTTTGAGTGTTTTTTAGCGTGCCCAATTTCAGCTGTTTGGTCCCCTATTTTGGCCAAAGCCCATAGACCTTTATTCTATTTTCGCAAAGGCGCGAACACTTGAAGCCTGTCTGCCAGTTATCTCAGCAGCCCCGCATAGCCCCGCCGTATGGCGCATTTGCTTGCGGACAATTATAGGAGAGGGTTGTGATACTAGACCAGTAACCCAACTGTAGCTGTTTTGGCCTGGCGGGAAGAGGCGATTTTGACCAGCCGACTTGATCAAGTTAGACCTTCCCGGCAAGCCACACACCCACCATGCCATAACTTTAGAGCCTCCGGCTCACTCCGCCGACATTGTCCTCTCCCTTTTCTCCTTCTTCTTCTCTCTCTTTTCTCCTCCCCTGTGTGTTCCCCCATCCTCTCCTCCCCATCCTTCTCTCTCTCTCTCTCTCTCTCTCTCTCTCTCTCTCTCTCTCTCTCTCTTTCTCTCTCGTTCTCTCTCTTTCTCTCTCTCTCTCTCTCTGTCCTCTCTCTGTCTCTCTCTCTCTCTCTCTCTCTCTCTCTCTCTCTCTCTCTCTCTCCCTCCTCTCTATGTCTCTATCTTTCTCTACCTCATCGCTATGCCTCTCTCTCCCCACCTTGTTTCTTTGCTTCCCCCTCCGGTCGCTGCCTCTCTCTCTTTCCTCTCTCTTTCTTTACTCTCTTTGCTCTCTTCCCTCTCTTTCCTCTCTTTCCTCTCTGTCTCTCTCTCTCTCTCTCTCTTTCTCTCTGTCTCTTTGTCTCCTTTGTCTCCTTTGTCTCTCTCTCTCTCTCTCTCCCTCTCTCTCTCTCTCTCTCTCTCTCTCTCTCTCTCTCTCTCTCTCTCTCTCTGTTTGCATTGCAGCGTCATGTCCCCCCTAAGTTGCCTCGATTTCCGTGCGCTGCCCCTTCATGACCCTGATCTGTCATCTTACTACTGGCTTTCCCCTTGATTTCCCCTTCATGTCCTTTTCATATCTCGTCATTTCCCATGATGTCCTCGTCATGTCCCCTTCCATTTCTTTCAACTCCCCCTTCATGTCCCTGTCTTTTTCTTGGCATGTCCGCTGCATTTTCCATGTGTGTCCCGTTCTTTCATTGCCAGTCATTTCCTTGCATCTCCCCTCGTGTTCTTTGCTTTCCTTGTCCTTTGTTTCCCTTCCATTCCCCCTGCACTCCCCCTGTTTTCATTTCTTTCCCCTTCATGTCCCTTTCAGTTCCTCTTTGTTTCCCGTTCCTTTCCCCTTGCTTTCCTGTGATGTCGACTTCCTGTCCCCTGCATGTCCTTGCATTTCCCTTTATTTCCTCCCCTCATTTCCCTGCACTTCCTTGCATTTCCTCTTCGCTCCCCAGTATCTTTCCGCAAAAACACGTTTTTCACATGTTTTTCGCAAACATGATGTCAAAAACACAGAGTTTTCCAAGATTTTCGGCAAAAGGAGGTATGAAACCCAAACCAGCAAAGAGCCGGCAGGGGGATTCGAGCGTGGGACCCCTGTTTTGGGACACCAGCTCCCTGAAGAAAATTTCTAGTGGACCGTCAGCAAATTACTGCGCGGTACGTGGGGGAGGGGGGCAAACCCTCCGCAATTGACGTCCGGGGGGGGGGCTAGGGGGGGTTATGCTCTGTCCTCTCTGAGGTGCCCGACACGCCGAACAATGTCGGCGGATTTCTTCTTCTTTTTGGTTCCATGTGTGCCAAATGCTGGGGTCTTCTTCAAAGCTATATTTTAAAAACGCCCCAGAATATTGCGTGTGCACCTGGCAAGTGTCACCAGCTGGCAAAGAGTTTCCCGCCTTCGAGTTTGCAGGACCGAGAGCAGAGAGAGGCCCGGCGATCGCACCGTTCGCGCGTGACAAAGACCTTAACGTGGCAGGGGTCACACAGTTTGACATACTTGAACCCTCAAATAATCCATCAACAACTGGGGATTCTCCCTGATATATTGGGGCAATAGCAAAATATTTAAGGCAATTTTGGGGGTTTAGGGGGTCTATCTGCCTGGTTTGTGGATGTCGTGGGGCTGGTTCCACTTCGGCGTGATGAGTGGAAAGCAAGTTGCGTCATGATCAGCGCAACTTCTTGGGTTGTTGGAAAGGGAAGCCAGCTGTTTCGCCCACATAGAAAGCACCAGAGCTCTGGTCACTTGACTCGCTGAAGGGCGCAGCCAAACCAAAAAGTCTAACATGAAGCACGCCCTGAGTTCAACTGGACTTTAAGCATTGTGGGATGATAAGTTTAGTTGGCCAAGCCAAGCCGTTTGGACCTAGTTGGTCAAGCTACTCAGGAACTGAGAAGGTTATGCAAGTAAGTCCTTAAGTGCTGTTGTGGTATATGCGTGAGATCCTCTGTTTGTTTACTCCCGTAGGGGGATGCAGCAACACTGACCTGGTTTGTCATTGGGAATATTTCCCGTGCGGGTCTCTTGAAATGTCGGACGTCCTCGCGAAATTCGTTAGGTGAAGAGACCCCGGCAGATCACGCTGACGGCGCTGTGCTGGACACTCAGAAAGAGAAGCTTTTATGTCTGCCTGAAGTCTCCATGACCCTTCAAAATGGGTCCATGACCCCTTCATTTTGGGCAATGACCCCATGTTTAAAGGGTCATGGAGAATCAGGTAGGTCCAGCCTGAGCAACTGATGGCCAGGGCAACCACAAGCCTTGGGGAGGTCTTGGGTTCAGGTTGACCTTCAAGCCATCTTATAGGCCTGATGATTGCGAGTCCGGGTGTGTCGAAACTGTGGGAATGACACCATAACGAATTGGAGCTCGCAACTATCCCCACTATGTCTTCAGCATGTCAGGGCCTAAAGATGTACTAGTTGGATTCTACAATCCTTGAGTCATCACTATATACATGGAGTCTCCACGACCCTTTAACAATGGGGGTCTTTACCCAAAATTCAGGGGTCATGACCAACCATTTTCTATTGATCAGAACAAAGGCTCCAGGGTACAACCAAATCCTCTTTTATATTATACCAATTTTACCGTACTTCACTAGTTGTGTGTTTGAGTGGGGTTGGTATACTTGCAATTTATTTGTATATGAAGGCCGTCCTGGAGCTCCAGTCTTCGGTTTTGGAGAATTTTGGTTTATTTGCCGGGTAAATGTGCCTGGAGTCTCCACGACCCTTAAAAAATGGGTCTATGACCCCTTTATTTTGGGTAATGACCAACCATTCTTTAAGGGTCATGGAGACTCCAGGTGGCTTTGAACGTCCCCCACCCCGTTGGCTTCGAACACTTCGCTCGGACCTTCAGGCGGCGGCGCTTCCGCTTCTTCGGCGGTGCCACTTCCGTCCCGGCGCTGGCGGCGGGACCTGCTGCGCCCAGGACGTGGGCGGAGACGTCAGTCCATGGCTGCGAGTCTCCCCACAAGGATGAATGGATAAATGGGTTAAGCTCCAGATAGGCAACCAAGGGAACCTATCATGCAGAATTTAGAGGTAAGAAACCCAGTGGATGGGTGCGAAATTCATGGATTTTCCCCAACGGAAGTACCGTACAAAACGTTATGGTCGCATTCCCATGATGTCATGCTGGTGCGAAGTGCATTTCGCAACCATCCACGGTATTGAATAAACCCCGCTTGACGAATAGGGGGACGTCACGTTTTAGAAGCGGACCCTCACTTTTGCGGGAAATGGTGCCCCGCGTCAACATCCGACAGGTTGGTAAATGCGAGGTTGCCTGTCAACCCTTGCCAAGATAG